GATTATGGGGTATCGTCATCTATGAACATGCCAGTTTTATCCAATTTTGGTGTATACAACTTTTTGGGGCATAGCCATATGTAGGACGTGTGGACGAGTGCCATAGATACATACTCCACCCTTTTCGATAAAATTGTTGAGACGAGATGCTTTGCTGCGCTTCATGCTGTATGCCGTGAAGGATACCGGACTTGTGAAGTTGATAAAAGAATGCACGGCTTGTAGCTTGTTGATGCTTGTGGTATCAAACCAACGTTTTGGAGTTCACAAGGTTGACATGGCACTTTTAAGTGCCAGTACGTGTTATTGTTCATCCCCAGATGGCCTCTGCATCGTGAAACACCAAGGAACCAGCCCCTCCGGAATGGCTTCGTTGTTAGCCGTGATAGTCCCTGACACCTCTCCTGGCCCCGGGATGTCGGGGAAAATGGACACCTCCAAACTTCACGTGTCCAAAGCTCCCTGGTTGACATGTCATGAGTTAAAGGTGAGCCAACAGGACCTGAAAAAACAACAAAGCTTAAACACAGATAGAGCTGACGCGGAAAAAAACATAGAAAGATCTGTTGCATTCTAAACTTCATGTTCCTCCTGTTGAAATTTCAGACAAACCACATTCATCTTCTTTTTTCAGCATATATAGATACAGCATATGACTGCTTACGGATGATGTCTATAATTGCTGTACGGGTCAGATTCTATCATTGTCATATGGTTGGGGCCCACTCAATTCGTAGCTCCAACTGGCTCCCCGATGGAAAATAGAGAATATGAATACCCCTAGCTCCGAATCGCTCCCCGCATTCACCACTGGATAGATCAACCATACAAGGTGGGTCCCCGGAGTGATAAGTTGTTGTATAAATCCATCTAAGTATAATTAAGACATGTTAAAACTACTATAAATTCCAGTTTTCATGGGCCTTTAAACGAAGTTAGCGAACGTTTTGGGGGGGATGCCTTCTACCACCCATTGGCACCCTGAACCTGGGACCCCCCAGTGCTCCGTAGTGCCACGCTCGTCCCGTTAGGACGTTCAGCAAGCTGCTCTTGCCGCTGCCTGAAGGGCCCATCAGGGCGCAGCTGCTGTCCTCAGCCAAGGTTACATGGGATGGGGAAATTCACCATCAAGTGGGATATCTCATGGATATCTCATGGGCGAAATGATGTGTTAATATTGGGAAATTAACCACGTATGGCCTTATATATTGGGATATATATAATGGGAATTTATAATGATGGGTATTTATGATGTTATATGATCAACAATATCACAAGTTGATCGATATGTGGTATGGTTATCCATCATGAATGGGATTCCACGTTTAACATCGTTTAACAGGGAGAAGTCAACCCTATCAATAACGAGAACATGAGCAATGTCTTCACCATGGTTTACGCACTGAATCCCAGAATGCACTCCGTGAGTCTGCCGTTGCCAGGAGGTCTGAACCATTTTTTACTGGGATAACCCCAAAGAGGACACATGTGCCATCTATCTCAATGCAAACATGAACACATAAATTGACAATATTATACGTGCTTATACAGCACCATTCTATATGGTACAGTATTCATTTAACATTCCAGTTTTTCGGGGTTATAAGCTAGTTGACAACCATTCGTAACATACCCAACATTACCCAACTTCAGCTGTCATCACACCACAGTACGCACCAAGCGGCGGCAGCTATCTCCAAGGAAATATCTTTCAAGACCTGTGTGAGGAAGGATGAGTCAAGCCAACAGTAAATGAGGGCTTTTCTGCCACTGCAATGAGGATTAATTAGGCAACAAGAATGTGTTCTAACGGCGATTAACCAAGCAAAATTTGGATCTTAAACGGTTTTTCCTTTTCGCATGGTGGGGTACAGCCAAAATTGGGCTTACCACATCACACCACCATTGGCTTTCGAGAACTAAGATGCTCCAATATTGAGTTTACAATGATTATTTATATATATAAATTATGATAGGGTTTCGAAACCATTGGAAACCAACATCATTGCGTTTAAATCGTTATTGAGTTTACGTTTCCATGGGTTTCCGTGATGCTCAAAGCGTATCTGAGACTCGTCCTACCAAGGCACGGTATTCTTGGAACTTCGCACTGTCAGGCCCACGTCCTGGTGACATTTCGACATCAACAGTTGAAGGTCAAAGTGGAACACACACTCATGATATATATATATATTATATGCATATACATCTATATCTCTATCTCTCTCTATATATATATATACACATGTCAACACTGAAGTGTATATATATATATATGTGTATGTGTGCATATATATATGTATATGTGTGCATACATACATATATATATATATATATTCATATGCATACATTGAGAGAGAGATAGATTGATAGAGAGAGAGATTGATAGTTATAGATATATAATGATATATAGATAATCACATAGGGATATGTCATGTCTATACCATTCTATGTCTGTCTCTCTTGATTTTGGCTTAGTTCGAGATGTGTTCCCTCAGCTTTTCCAACCTGCAAAACGCAAACATTATGTTTGTTGATTGGATGCCGGCACTTGCTGCTGTCTGAGTTTGCTGCTGCTCTGTATACAAACTCATGCATCGGTACTGTACAAGATCCACTATACCCAGCCACCAAATGGACTCTGGACCCTGGAGTTGCCCGTTAGCCAGCAGAAGTTCAGTGGCTAGTTCACTTACGTATCGTTTTATTGGCTAGTGGCTATATCCTTTTTTGAAAGTCTTGGTTTACTGTCGTTGTTACAGCCAGGTTGAAAGGCACGTGAAATCCCACATGTTTGCTGTAGATTCAGGCTTGCTAGATGTAATGTTGCAACTCCATTTCTTGCCAATTGATAGGTGTGAAAACAAACGCTCACCATCACTTGGATATATTTATGAGAAATCAATAGCTAAGTTGGGTTAGAACCCCAATAACTAGGGTTTATGGTAATGATAACTCTATTCAATGGGGTGACATTAAGTTGATTCTCAGGGGCCCCACCTTATAGGAAATAAATGGGACATGTTGTAATAAACCATCCCGAATTCTCCATTTTCTGAAGATGATTGTTCATTTTTCCAGTGCACTCCACCATTTTGAGGCATTTTGGGGAATCTATATGGTGGGTTCCTAAAATAGGGCGACCCCCAAATCATCCGTTTTAGGATTGACCATTATAAACTACCCAGCTATTGGGGTACCACCAGTTTAGGAAAACCCCCATATCTACGATATCTCTTGGGAGCACATAACTCAGCATTCCTCCGCTTCGCCTGGAGCTGAAATGCAATGCCCACGCTGCCACGAATGCTACGTCTGCCGCTCTCAGGTATGTTTCCTGAGCTGGGAGAAGTTTCATGGTGCAAAAAATGGGTTCTAGTAAACTAACCATAGTAAACACTGTGGGTATTATAAGGCATTTATACGGTATAGCAGATGATAGATGATACTAGTATATAGCACAGTAGTAGATATTAGTACATTATAGTAGTGCCCTCTGGTAAACTCACATAGCGAACTGGAAAATCGCCAGTTTTAATAGGTAAATCAACGAACTAAATGTGCAATTTTCAATAGCTATGTTAAATTACCACCAGAGGGTAAATAATGTGGATGGTTGCACCAGTTGATAGGTTTTTTATCCCGTGATTTTTAGGGGTTCAACCATCCAAGGTGGTGCAGGCTCTGCCATCCACTGTAGGTCTGGTACTGCAACATAATTAGCCTATTTGCAGCTCTAGATTTACAGGAACCAAAGCTAAACCTGCAATAATGATCAAACATGTGGATATAAAAGTGGGTCAAGGATGATTGTGTCTCCATCAATGCCTATCCCCCTAAGACCCAGCAATGAGTAGCGTTCACAGAGAACATCAGAACATCCTCTGACCTTGTCGATAGTAGTTCCATGTATTTCTATGTGTGTACCAGCATCCCTATCTATTTATCTATTTGCATGTGAATTGTCATAACTATTCGAACAATCTGCAGTTGCAAATAAACATGCATGTTTATACGATAATTATCTATCTATCTATCTATCTATCCATCCATCTATCTATCTATCTATCTACCTAGATTGTATTATTTACATCTATAGTATACTATAGTTATATAATTATGTATGTATGTATATATATATATATTGTGGCACGCACATCCATACTCATCTTGATCACCTTCACCATTCGCCTCCGCCAAGGAGCCTTCCGTCATTTCCACCTCCACCAGAAAGGCCTGCAACAGGTGCCAGGCCACCCCGGTTGCTGGTTGTTATGGCATTTACAGCTTGTCGGGCTGTATCCATAGAATTACCATGAATACCATCCATAAACACCATCATTGAGAAAAAAAGTGTTTATACGTATAATTGGTCCATAGCCATATTAATATGATCCAAGGAAGTATAAACCTAGTGAGGGGGTGGTTTCAAGTGGAAGATACTTCAGATTTTTTAAACCGTGCCTCGTGGGCTTGGAGATTCTGCTGCCGAGTAATCTCCTCAGGAAACGCTGCCTGGATGAACATATGCTTGATCGTCATTACACATCTATTGGGGATGGTGTATTGTTGGGTTTCCCACATTGACCTTAATGTGGGCAAAACTTCATAATTCCCCGCGCTCATCATTCAGGGCGAGGTCATCCACTGACCGGGGTCAAGTGGCAGTGTAGAAGAGCACCAGAACGGCCGCAAAAAGCAACCACAAGTGACCAATCGCCAAACAGCCCTGTGCCTCAAAGCGCCATGACACGCCATGACACGCCATGACCACTCAGCTGACTATGTATTTTTGAAGGCATCATCCCCCATGCCCAAGGTCTAAAATGCATGGGTTCTATTTCAGAAGTCAATTCTTTCAAATGGCCAAAGCTAGGCCTGAGTGGCACAGAACGTCGCAGCACTCACTTTGGGTGAGCAGTGGGTCTTCAGTAAACCCCTCAAACAGCAGCATATGCCAAGTTTTTTGGGGCCGTCCTCAGATCAATCCTAAACTTAGAATTCGACTACATCAGTTGTAGAATTGTACAGCTAACTTCGCCCAGGGGGTCCAGCCCTTCAGTTTCATTCCGTGTCCGGTGGAAGAAATATGTGTATATATATATATATGTGTATGTGTGTTTTATATTTTCCAAAAAATGAATGACCTTATATTATATATTATTATATGCTCTTTTTTGATTATCCAAAAATTCAAAAATCACACACGCACACACACTAGGTTGTCTATATTTACTTAGTTGCTCATTCAATATGTATGCTGTTGCTAATTGAAATGCAAGATACATACAAACCATATCTACTTTGTTGGATAAAATCTCAAGTTGCTAGATCGGTGTTTTCTAGAATTGAATGATTTTGGGGTACCCCCTATGACTTTGAAAACCTCACTATCATGGTAATTCATGGTATATCTTTGCTTTCAATTATCAAACTGGCTAGAAATGGGAAATAGTTCAACATGTTTTTATTCACCCCCCAAATCCACCGGCGCGCGTCAGAAACGATGGGTCTTTGCCATGCGTCAGGGAGGCAGGCGGCTGGGTGAGGGGGGGGTCCTCCCACCGGGTTTCGGCGAGGAGCTGGGGGAGGGGGGGGTGGACCGTCCATAGCGTCTTCGCCCTGTGCGGGAAAGTCCAGGAGGCTCGCGGCCCAGCGTGGCAGCAATGGATGCGAGCGCGGCCCAGCGCAGTGCCCAGGCGGCGGCTGCCATAGATAGTGCCCAGGCTGGTTCAAATTTAGGGCATAGTTCCCAATTATTCCGGGTATATACGACATAAGCATACATCATCTCCATAGCATTTGCAGGCATAGCCACACATCTCGTTAGTTACATCCCCTTCTATCCCATCATCCTCCCATAAAATCTCCATTTACAGGTGACCGACAGGTCACAAACCCTAAAACATCAACCCACCACCCCTTGCCGCGATGCAATGGTCACATTCTTCTCTTCCTCTGCTGAGAAGCTGACCTTGGAGATCATAGTTGGTGTAGAACTCCAAGTTCACTTGGGATCTATGGCAATTATAACTATAGTTCGTTACAGTTACAGGGTTATTGTTATAGTTATAGTTACAAAGTTATAGTTTAAATATAATTCTGTAACTGTGGTCAATTATAGTTGAGGGGATTTTTTCCAGCAACTTGTGAAGTGGCCGGCCCCAGCTTGTAGGCTGCAGTAACTTCCCAAGAGTTTGGCTATTGCCTGATGATTTCACATTTCGGCTGAAAACCATGCCATACAATGCGAGGCCCCCAAGATATCTAAGTTGGTGTATAACTCCAATAACTATGGTTTATGATGGTTTATGGTACTTATAACTATAGTTACTGGGACTTATAAACCAACTTATAACTGGGGGGCCTCACATTGTAACCATCCTCCAAGTAGCCCCAGCCAGGAAAAGAAAGGCATCGGCCATCAGAAAGGACATGCTGAGGCAACAGAGTGCGTTGAAGCCGCGCTTTTGATACGACAAGTTGGGCGCCGCGAAAAGGAAACCGGCAAAGAGGCAAATGGGAACCTCTGCCAGGGGATGGGTTGCGTTTTTGGATGTAAAAATGGTTAGAGAAAAAGGGGGACAGCGAACCAAGGAGACCGTCTGTTTTTACCAGTAAATATGGATGGCTGGTTGGTGGTATACCTACCCCTCTGAAAAGTATGAAAGTCAATGGGAAGGATTATCCCATGCATTATGGAAAATAAAAGTCATGTTCCAAACCACCAACCAGATAGGGATTGAAATATGTTGAAATCATGTTCCTATCCCACTCTGGGATTATTGAATGGTTGGGGGTGTCATCTGAAGACAAACTACTGCCTGACTGCCTGACTGCTAAGTTTTCCACGTACACGAACGAGAGCCCACACATTCATAATTACTATGCACGCAGTCTTCATACATATGATGTGAGCAACAAATTCCTAGTTGGGGGCAGGGGTCACAGTTTCAACCCATCCCAAAAACATTGGCAACTCTGAAATTATGGTCGAAAACAGGGATATTGATATAGCACATGAGTTACCATAATGATATACCACCAGCTAGATTTCTCTCCTGATCACAGCTGCCAACTCCCAAGGCACATAGATGAGCCAGACCGCTGCCAAGACCCCTTGCACCTGTAGCAATCGACCAGCCAGGCTCCGTAGCATCACTGGCATACCCAAACACTAACATGTAGTATACCCAACCAGGTATGTTGATACTATACGCAAACACTAAGATGTAGTATACGCAACTAGCTTCTGGTTGGTTGGTAGATGTTGATAGTTGAAACATGTTGGAACCACCAACCAGAAGCTGCCCAGGCTTTCTTTCGTCCAGGTGCCACGGAGACAAACAAAGCACCAGCACCCACCAGCACAAATCGCAACATCTTCAAACCTCGGTGATGCTGGGTGGCCTAGACATGTGGGGTGCTAATTGTCTGAACTCAATGAAGCATCCGTTTTTTCTGGATCTACTTGGGATATTCTGGAGATATGAGAGGAAGGATCAGACATGACCAAAGATCGGTTTTGCCATGTTTTGCCCACGTCCCCAAGTGAAGCTTGGTCGGTGGAGAATCCATGGCCAGAGGAGAACAAGCTGAGGATGAAGGGGAAAAAACCATGCAAATCGTCTGGGAAAACTGAAAAATAATGCTATAATAATTGTGTTATAAATAGCCTATATATAATTGTGAACTGAGTTCCCTTAATGAACATCATCATTATTATGGTGAGGTCGCAGTGAGGTCGTTATAATTTATCCCTAATAATAGTGGTGCATATTCCAAGGACATTTGGTCCATTCATTTCTTCCTGAAACCTTGAGCTTCATGGGACTAGATGACTAGAGGGAATCGCATGAAGGGATGCGAATTGTGCGCAACTCAGAGTTTTTGAGAACGCAATCTTATCCATATTAACTATGTAGCAGGATTCCACCATTGACCTAGAGTTGGAGCACCCCCTTAATCCAACATGGAATTTATGGATAGGCAATCTTGAAAAAAAATGAACAAACAACTGCAAATCTGCGGATCTATGATCTCTTGATGCCATTCGAAAACCATCCGAAAACATGAAAATACCATCCACCGGTGAAATGCACCCCAATCAACTCTGTTTTCTGTTGGATCGAGGCATGAGATTACTTGACAACCCCAACTATCCCGGCGTTTTTTAGCCATCAGATATAGCTGGGTCCCCATTCAATAAGCAGTCCTCGAAGCCATATTACCCTTGGGTAGAACTTCGGCAATCAAATATGAGATTGACAAATCACCACTTGAATATGATGCCTAATTATTCAATGTTGTTTCTGAGGGATATCTGGGGATCTTAATCACGAAAAGATACCAAAGAAAAGAGCCTGGGATGCCCCGCGATGAGGTGTTGCCACCTCGGATGAACAGGGCCCTCTAAAGCTTGGGGAAGGCCCCCGAACATTATCCAAAGCTACAGGTTCGCGATTCTTGGGTCCCCATGTCTGGGAAACTCCTACATACTGTGAAATGATGTGAAAACAAACATATTAGATCCATATAGAACAGCAATGAGACTCCAACTGCCTTTGGGGACTAGTTTGTGGCTGCACGGATGTGTTCGTGTGTTCTTCCTGGAAGCAAATCATGTAATTACCCGTGATTTTGGCTGATCTGAAACAGATAAACCAGGATCTCAATATGACTTCAAGCTGAGTCCTACGAGTGCTAAGCCAGGGTTTACCTACTTATGGCGGATATAATCCCATTCCCTGTCAAACGCACCCGAGAAATCGTGTTGGATGTAGGGGATAAAAAGATATATTTGAAATTTAGATTAGTGGATCAGATGGATCAGTAACTCTGGTGAACGTATGTCCCCATTTCAGGGCTTATCCCACACGAATGGCTTATAACATCTTATGAGTGGATGAGAAGTGCGGCACGAGGAATCGAAGCAGCCACTCAGCCAGTCACTCTACCAGAGTGGCTGAGTGGCTCAGGTGAAAATCACCCTTACGGTAAGTACCCCCCTCCCCTCATCCCGAGAGAATTTCCGAAATGATTTTCAGGGGGTTGATAGTGTCGTCGTAAGTTTTACGACGGAACCGTCTTTAGGGTAAAATAATTTCCTACGGTGGACGCCCCGGGCCGGCCTTGATATAGAGAATCGTTGGCGCAAAACCGGAGGGTTAATTATGTTACACCCCTTTGGGCTACTCTAATTTTTCATAATTTTTCCATAGGACCCCCTCGGAGGGGCACAGCATAATCACTGGGTGGCACTGAACGATACATTGCTTCAGCTGGGGGTCGTGTACTAAAATAATGTTGCATAAATAATTGCCAATTTCATGCAAGAAGCATATACTCGGAGCACGGGTGAAACCATGCTAAAATAACCTGATCTGGACTCTCAGAGTGTTTATGTCAAAATTAATTATTTTAGGGGGGCTCCGCTCACCCATCAAAAAAAATCCAAACATGTTTTTTTGGTGAAGTCAGACTATATAATTCATATCTATCCATCGCATTAGATTTTTGAAATTATTTTGGAAAACATATTTTGGTGGGTGACCCCTCCCTAAAATATTTTGCTTAGCGTAGGAGGGATAGGTGAAATGTTCCACCAACGTCAATCCATCGTATAATTATGGTTACTGCATGTTACTGCCCTCCAGTAATTAAACATGGCAACTGAAAACCTACCATTTAGTTGGATGATCTTCCCATTCAAACCTCTACTTGTAGAGGATTTTCCATCCTCCTTCGCATTCGCCATCCGCCCAGGCGCACTGGCCATAGTGTAGACCAGCAAGCTGCTTTTGGCCAAGGCCACCCAGGGCATCAGGAGCCAGGCCATCATCAGCGTGGTGCAGAGGAGGATCAAACATGGCAACGTCATGCCTGGGGATTCCAAATGATCGCAGAAATGGCTTGGCTTTATGGGAATGACGCCTTAGGCTATCCCACCCTGCCAACCTTCGAACATGAATTAGTCCCATAGCAGGAAGCCAAAAGCCCATGGTTCCCCAAACTGCAAGCCGCTGCCGTCCATGCCCGGATTCTAAACAATGGTTTCTAGCAAGATGCAATAGCTACTCAATTTGATTCGCTTGACCCCCACCTCTTGAAAAAACATTCAAATCTGCAAAATAACTGTCCATCATGTGAAAAGATCCATTTCCTACAGAAGCAAACCATTCTTACTTGGATATGCATCCCAGTTGGTGGCTCCACTAACCATAGGAAATAAACCCACTTACCATTATATACACACACATATATATATAGATATGTATGTATGTATGTATGTATGTATGGATGGATGGATGGATGGATGGATGGATGTGTGTATGTATGTATGTATGTACGTATGCATGCATGCATGTATGCATGTATGCATGTATGCATGTATGCATGTATGCATGCATGCATGCACGCATGCACGCATGTATGTATGTATGTATGTATGTATGTATGTATGTATGTATGTATGTATGTATGTATGTATGTGTGTATGTGTGTATGTGTGTATGCATGTATGCATGTATGCATGTATGCATGTCTGTATGTGTGTATGTCTGTATGTCTGTAAATCTATGTGTAAATACAAAGATAAATAAAAAAACGCACACACACACATATATATATATACACCCATATGAATCACACACTCAAAAAATATATATATATATATGTGATATTATATATATAAGTGTTTATCTCTGCATATATATATATATGTATACATAGCTTAGAGGCTCCACGTCGGCCTTGAAGGGACTTGAAGGCCGTCTGCTCGTGTACCGGCTGTTTGAAGATGAAGCGTAAGGCCACTTCGAAGAGCACCGGGCCGCAAATGGCCAGCGAGAGGCCCAGGCGATACCTGGGGGATCCCGCAGTGGGCTTTGTTTTGGGGATGGGTTTAAAGGAACACCTGCAGGAAACCAAGGTTTTTGACCGTGTGTTTTTTTTTAGGGTGTTCTGTAAATGTTCCCTGAAACCGGTCCAATGAATCATCGAGGTTTTACTGGAAATAAAATTTTGGGGGCTGCTTATTCTGTAATTATCAACACGGAATTGTTCATGGGTATGCCCGGTATGCCAAGCTATTTGATATACGAGCACTTGAGGATGCAACGAAGATACAATATGTAAGGATATACTGTATAATTCTACTTAATGCAATGCAGTGCAATCATTAATGGCTGATCTCAAATACCATCCGAAAACCCGACCTCAGACTGTGGAAGTGGAACATTAATGACGCCGTGGAAGATGCTTTTCTCAGCGAACGGGGCTGATTTCCACGCCAAAGGGTTTGTTAATGGAGCAAGCGGTGTAATACAATATTGATCTCGCAGGTATGTAGTATGTACATCACCCCATTCAGAACTGCAAGGGGCGGCTTCAAAGCTGCAAGAAATGCCTACAAACATATGACAAATCAGGCAATCATCATCCAGCAGAGTGGAGGTATGGGAATCACTTCTATCAACCCCACCGGAGGTCGGTAAAAATCACAAATCACCATCTTCTGAATAAAATCTAACAGGAACCAACATCTTGAGACTGAGTGAAGGATATATCAATATCTTCAAATATGGGGTGAGCCGGCACTAAAATCCGTGGTGATAACTAGGGTTTGTGACCCACTTAAAAGTGCTTGGCCGCCAGTGGTACCTGCCAAACAACCTCTGAGATTCCAAGGGCCCCAGTTTTACGGAGACCCGCTTCGCCAAGGTACCAATTCACCGACCCAGATCCTGGCGCTGAAATCTGCCGAGGTTACCAGGTTTAAGCGAAGATCAAAAGCAGCACATCTACATCGTGCACATTCACTGAATCAAATTCAATGCAAAAATGTAGAATTATGATGAATTATGATGATTTCTTCAATTCGAGAGAATTACCCCATTGATCCATTAATCATGTGGTTCTTCACATGAAGCATTGCCAATGGCTATGGCCACATGCGATCCGCGCCTTCCGCGCAGCGGTTCCACCAGCTGCACTTCCGTGGCTGATGGGATGCTTCCGGGCACCAATGACCTGTGCGGCACATGGAGGTTTACCTGATTTAACGCGGAAAACATGCTGATTTTGGTTGGGCATGTGAAGAATTGAAATTTCTATGCTGTGCAGTATGTTTGGTACGAATCATTGCTCAATAAAAGGATGCAACGATGCTTTATACTATCTGTACTCAGCATTGTCGAGGGATTGAGTTAAGGGAAAATCAACACCGGAAAGCCTGGTTTGTGACCATCAAACCTAGGGGTTACCTGGTAAATCTTCCCATCGTCCAATGCTGGGACATGATGTTTTAAGATTCATATAGGGTATGATGGTGTTATCTTGCTTAACCGGGTATTAATCTATAGTCTATGGCACACATAATGCCACACTACAGGTACACCATAAAATCTAACCATGATATATTTAGGTATCAACAAAAACTAAACCCACATGTAGGCACACACTTCCATGGTATTCCCGTGTTATCTAGGTGCTGATGCGAAACTTGCATACTATATTGCAGTATTCGCATGCTATATTATATCTTATATGTTTTGGATATTTTGGCATATGGGTATATGGGTATTCAACCCACAAAACTGGGCATTAACCTACCAAAAGCATACTGGGTTATTTAGCAGATGCAAATGGATATCATGGCATACCTGCTAGGCCCAACATCTTCCACCAGGGCTTTGGTTGGGGCCTTACTGAGCATGTGGAAATGCGGGGCAAAGTTGGTGCTGAAAAAAGGGATGGGTCTTGTCAGCCATGCAGCTAGGGGGAACGAGACCACAGAACAACAGCCAGTACCCTCTGGTTATTTAACATAGCCATGGAAAATCCCTTATAAATGAAGGTTTTGATGGGAAAATCATCTATAAAGAAAATCTGGGTAAATTAGAATATTTCACTAACCTGATCTAACCTGAATTAAGGCCACCGATCTTCCCTTTGGTCGGCCCCCTCCCCGCAAGCAAGAGAGAACCGGTTATCTGAATTAAGGCCATTTGGGGATGAATTTCCCTTACTAACCATGATTTCCAGTGAGGTCGCAGTGAGGTCGTTATAATTTACCCAGAATGTTCTATTGATAGAAGATCAACCAACTACGCGACTACATGTGCCAGTCAGTTGGCCAGCTGGTTCTTATCATCACTGCAAACCATACAGGTAATCTGTGGATTTGGAATGTTCGTGGAAAAAGGTATGCCTTCAGGTTGCTGGCTTGCAGCATTTTTCCCCACCTGCGAGGTCCAGTGTTCCCTGCCGGACCTCAACCACGACCATCCACGCCCAGTGTTCCCTGCCGGACCTCAACCGCGAGTATCCACGCCAAGTGTTCCCTGCCGGACCTCATGTAGGAAGATTTGCCAGATAGAATGCCAGAAAATCTGCCAGAAGATATGCCAGATAGATATGCCAGAAGATATGCCAGATAGAATGCCAAATAGAATGCCAGATAGAATGCCAGATAGAATGCCAGAAGATATGTCAGAATATATGCCAGAAGATATGCCAGATAGAATGCCAGATGAATGCCAGATAGAATGCCAGAAGATATGTCAGATAGAATGCCAGAAGATATGCCAGATAGAATGCCAGAAGATTTGCCAGATAGAATGCCAGATAGAATGCCAGAAGATATGCCAGAAGATATGCCAGATAGAATGCCAAATAGAATGTCAGAAGATATGTCAGATAGAATGCCAGAAGATATGCCAGAAGATATGGCAGATAGAATGCCAAATAGAATGTCAGAAGATATGTCAGATAGAATGCCAGAAGATATGCCAGAAGATATGCCAGTGTTGAGGTAAGATTCAAAAGCACTGCATGGCATGCACTGCACGCTCGACCTCTTTTTGCGATGAACGAAACCCTTGAGCCTTCAAGGGACGGCAAGTCAAGCCGTGACTGTGCGTTCAAATGCAATGCAAATCACTGTGCTGTGCACTGACATTGGTATCAAAATCTCTGGCTCTATTTGTTGGCCTGAGATAATTTCAAAGGCAATTGAATTTCACCCGCACAAATGACGTTCCACCACTCATCCGCTGACATCATCTTTGTCAGCACATCGGCAAGTTGTTCATCAGTAGGGAGCCAGTGGATCGGAGGCCGACATGGCCTCTGCGGAGTGAGCTTCGCATCTTGCCCATGAAGCCGTCGCCATTGGTGTTCAGCTTCAACCATAAGGATCTGCCTAAGCCCTGCTAGGTCAATCGCCAGTCTCTTCTCGGTAGGAGCTTTCGGAATGCCTTCTCGGTGTATGTGATCGTACAAACTCTTACAGTCTGTCACAAAGTGCATCTCAATGTGCCTTCCACATTCCGCTTCGGGGATGATTCTGCCATGGATCATGAGAGGTAAAGCCCCCGCAAGTAGATGGTCGACTCAGTAGCCTCACAGCAGGCCATAGTCTCACCAGCGAAGGTTGACCTGCACACTCGCTGGCACCCCTTGCTCTTCCAATCCATGACGCTGAACTTGCCCTTCTGATTCAGCAGACACCTTTTCTCTGCTAGTAAGGTCAGAGTGGCAATTTGTGTTGCAACTTGATGACCACCCAACCATTGAGGGTCACCATCATCCACATCAGCGTTGCCCCACGCAGCGTCGTGGTAGGCCAAAAAGATGATGTCCGATTCATTCATCTTTTTCAGAACGATGCCCTTGTCCTGGTGTCGAGATGCTGAAGCCACAGCTCTATTGGTGGCTTTCAGGTCTTCCAAGTTGGGGTCATTCTGCTTCTTCTGAGCCTGAGAGACAGCAAATTGCAAATCTGGTCTTGTTTGTTTGGCCAGCCAGGAAAGAGACCCTATGGAAGTGCGATTCTCTTCTCGCGCATCGCGAGAAACCAAACCATCTTTTGGTATAGTGACCTTGCTGACTCGGCCCTCCACATAACTGCTTTGGTGAATCTGGATCTCGTCAGGAGTGCAGTGGTATTCGCACCCGACGTATTCAAAGTCTCCAGATTGCCATTCATCTACTGGGAACCGCTCCTGAAGTTTCTGTTGGATGTGCAAGGAAAGATCACCATCAGCCATCAGCATCAGGTCATCGACATGGGTAAGGAGGAGTCCAAGTGTTTGATCATGCTCAAAGTCCCTAAACATGAAAACGCATGGGTCAACTGGGTTCTGTTCGACCTTCAGGGTCCGACCCTTCCAAACGATCTCCAAAGTCTTGAGGTCTTGAGACAGCTTCAACCACCAAAGTTTGGGACTTGTGCTCAAACCAAAAACTCCCTTCACCACTTCGATCAATTGTTTGGGGTCTAAAGACCTGATGCCCCTCTTGGGCTGGCTGAAATATAGCTGCCGTGGTGCTGGGATGCCATTGAGAAACGCAGCTCGGATGTCGCCCACAGAAACCAGCCAGCCTCGACACAGGGCTAACTGCAGAGCCAAAAGAATGCTGTGCCTGCCCGTAGTTGGAGCATCCACCGACATGTCTTGTCGTCCGAGGTCGGGATCATGTTGCCCGGCGACACAAAGTCGTGCTTTAGGCCGGCATGGTAGAGTGGGGTCTTTCTTCCGCTTTGCGTGGTTCTTGTCCTTGTAGGCAAAGCGGGATCTCAGAATCCGGCTGGGGTCCACGGTTCTCCGCACCCTCTCGCTCTCTTCAATGGACAAAGGTTTCACCGCACCAAAATCAACATGTTCTTTCCACTGTTTGTCCTCTGCAGCGATGTAGAGTGGCTTCTCATCAGGTGGGATCAATCCCCAAGGAAGCTCCTTCTCCAGCTGTTTCTCTTGAGCTTTGGCAGATGAGCAGTGTTTCATCATAAAGGCTTGATGAGAGGCTTGAGCAGGGGTGGCAATCCTTGCCCTCTTGATGCCTTCAGGGACATCATCCAACAGCTTGGTTCTTCTGACGGATGTTCGGATCATGTCTTCCCGATTGGCCGCCATGTCCAGTAAGCTGTCGGGTCTGGGAGGTTGATGTGAGGAGCCGCCATCATCGACCTCCATTTCCAATGGGCCAGGTGCATCACCATCGTCAATGGGCTCATAAGTATCATCATCCTGTGCTTGGATGAATTGTTTGAGCTCCTTCATGGCGGCTTTCAATCTGAGCATCTCGCTCACTTCCTCGTGATTGGCTTCTCGGGCATGTTCAGGAGCCACCAAGAGGCATCTGCCACCTCTTGCTGCCCAATAGTTCTGACCCTCTCTGCCAATGACAACGGCAGGACCAACCCAAGAGGCAGTAGGTCGTTTGCTACGGCCTTGTTTTGTCTCCCGGTAGATGTAGATGAGCTCGCCCACCTCAAAGCTGCGCGGCTCCACCCGAGGCTTATGAGCTACAGCTCTGCTCAAGGCCTCTTTGCTCTGGACCTGGAAGAATGCCATACGGGCGCCGTTACGCAAGATGTGAGTCCTGCTGAACTTGGCGTCCGTGCTGGCGGCAAAGTTGGCTGCTGCCTCATGGTCACCGTCAAAGAGGTCTGCCGTCTCTCGCTTGTTGGTCCCAAACACCCATTGTCTTGGGCTATAGCCGCTACGGTTTCTAAGCTGGTTCTTGGAGTCGTTGACCGCTGCAATGGCCTCATCCATCTCTTCGGCCATGACGAGGTGGTCTTCCACCAGCTTGGCCCAAATCAGTTTCCAACTTCCACCATGTCTCTCGGCCACGCCATTTTGCCAGTGAGCTTGCCCGGCGGCGCATTGCACTACCACGCAGCGCTGATCCAGCATGGTGAGGAACTTGTCTTTGAACCCGGTCTCAAGGTCGATCAAGAGATGCTTTGGGGCCCCGGCCCAGCTGATCCAGCCGTTGACAAAAGCTTTGGCCAGGTCCTCTGATTTCGTGCTGACCAGCGGGACTACAACCTGATAAGTGGACGCTAGGTCGATCATGTTGAGGCACGGCTTGTTCTTCTCATCTGCAGCATCGATCCAAATGACGTCTGCTGCAACTGCCTCGTTGAAGTCCAGCATAGTGACTGGAGCGGCCACCCGCTGCAGCTTGGCTTTGCTGCTGCGGTCACATGTCCGGCAGGACATTTGTTCAGCTGCTCGCTGAACGCTGGTTGGTGCTCCGCCAAGGCGCAAATGCTTGATCAGATCCCTGTTGTTGGGATGGCCAAGATTCTGGTGTATGCGCTTCAATGCGCTGGCCACTGTTGGATTGACCTTGCCTTTGAAGGAGATGGCGTCGGCGCCCGCAGGCTCTTCAGGTGCCATGTCCTCAATCACCTCGCCGGTCATCAAAACCTCTTTGAACTGGGGCGTTCGACCTGCATCGTAGGCCCTGACCACCGCATTTGCAAACGCAGTGGGGTAGACGGCCGATTTGGCGGTCTCATTGCCTTGGACCGTCTGATGTTCATGGCTGTGATCGCAAAGCTTGGTGATGTGCTCGGCAAAACGCCCATTGTTGCAAAGAAGAGAAAGTGGTTTCCGCATAGGTACTGCATGATCACTGCTGACCATGCCATAGGCGCACAGGTCGACTTTGGCCAGGTGAATGTCGGGCTTCAGGATCCAACGTTGGAGGGCGGAGTGTCTCCACATGTCACTGCTTCTTGGGTTCTCCACGATGGCCATGCCCCCCAGGAGGTTCTGCGTTTCAATCACCTCGTCGACAAACTGTATGAGCACTTGTTCTTTCGCTCGAAGTCGTCGTCGTTCCTGGGGGCTAAAATTGAGACGTGAGAACCCACACCAATAAGTGCACGGTGGAGCCATCCATACCATGCCAGGTCGTTTGGTCTTGATCTCATGCAGTATCTTGGCCCTCACCTGGCTCTTTCTAAAGTCGTGCCCAAAACGGATGTCTCTAGGTTGTAGGACACCCCGACGCTTCTTGGCAAAAGCTTCGGAGACACGAGCTTGTCCAGCAAAAAGTTCCAGGCAGTCGACCATTTCTGAGTTCGCCTGACGCTGTTCTAAGTCTCTGGATGGTGTGAAAACAGCGCACACATCTTTCATGGGTTCCACTCCAACCTCATGGGCCCAAGCTCCAATCGCAAGAGTGCAGGCCAAAAACACCTGTGCCAAACCACCAGCTGCACGCTTCAAAGACTTCAGCGTGCCCTCTTTCATCCTCCTCCGACGGCGGATGCCGATCTTGGCCTTCTGCCGGGGATTGTTGCCCACTCCCGGGCTCTCTCCGGCCATATGCCCATCTTTCTCCTTTGAGAACATGCTGGAGACGCCGTCAGTCAAAAAGGAAAGACTGTCAAAGACGCCGTCAGAAACCTTGACACCTGCAAAGTTCTGCTCATACTGTGGGACTGTGTCATAGTCAAAAACCTGGTCATACGATGGGGTCACATCAATGTCAAGAGTGTCGTCATTCACAAGAACACCCTCGGGCTCAGTGATCGGAATGTTCTTCGACTCCCGATCCAAGCCGCAGTCATTCACGGACCTGCTAGAGCAATCTCCCTTGACATATGCAGGCACCCCCTGAACCTCAGTGGCCTGCTCATACTTTGTGGTTTCCCCATCCTCAAAAGCTTCCAAGCAATCATGCATGTCGTCATCCTCAGACTCATAGCCCCCGATCATGACGTAGGACTCACCAGGGGCGTCCTCAAGTGCGTCACTGAATTCCTCTTCCCCACAAAGGAATACCTCTAGGTTGCCGCCTTCTTCTTCAGGGCCGCAATCCTCTTTTCCAAAGCTTCGATCTGCTCGGCCGTCCCCTTCTCTTCCTCCTCCATGTCCGAGGACAGCTCTTCCACATCCTGCTGGGTTCGCCGGTTGCGAGCCCGACGTGGTGCCGGACACGACGACACCTTGCTCCAATCGCTGCCTGAGCTGCGGTAACCCAGATCGCTGAGCTTGGGCACCGGAACTTTCGCAGCTGCTTCTGGGTCCTTGGCCAGGCTCTTCGTCTGCTTGGCAGCCTCCTCGGTTGTCTCCAAGTTGTCCTTGGCCCAAGTTGCGAGGCGGACCAGATCGGGGTGAGCCGCTGCCTCCCCCACAGTCTCCACTTCCGCAATATGGCCCATGACCGATAACCCAAAGGGATCTCCCGATACATCCAAACCTTGAACTTCCCAAAAGGCACCACCGTCTCTGCCGACGTGGAGCGGGCCTGGCGAAGAGCCAGGATCAGCCAGCCGCGTGTGGGCTTCGAAGGAAGCTCGATGTGGGCATCGCGAGCCATTTGGGTCAGCTCGCTCAGATTCATCTTTGAGATGCCCTTCATGGGGTTCGTGACTTTCTGGCAGTTTGGGTCCTGAGCACGGGTCTCCATCAGGACCGCTCGAAGCTCCGGCACCGTCCAAGAAGAGTGGAAGGGCACTTGGCGCTTGTGCAGCTCCGCCCGCAACTCGTCGCGATGCATCTTCCATGGCGACTGCAGGTTCTGCTGACTGGACATCGGCGAGCTTGTGGAAATCTGGCAAGGCTCGAGCAGTCTTCTGAAAACGACTGCGGCCGATCCATTGGTCATGTCGGTCTTCCACAGCCCCACCGTCATTGATTGAGTCAACTTCGACTTCAAAAAACACTCCATCGGACAAACATGACATCCGTTCTGAAATGCGTTGGCCCTCTAAACATGCAAGCAACTGGCTCTTCTGCTCCACATTCTTGGTGGACCATTTGGTTGGATCAAACTTGAATTTGCGAGGGACCACATGAACCCTAATCATTTCATTCTCGGTTTCAATCCAAAAATCTCGACTTTGATTCGCATGACTCCACCAAGCAAAAAACGAAGAGCAGGGCAAAGGAGAGGTTTGCAACATGTTCTCAACTTCAAGAGGGATTTTCTTGGGGTAGAAGAGAGTTTCTGAAGGACGCTCAACTGCAAGAGATGTCTCCCTACCCACGGACTGGCAAGCCATGTATACCTCCTGAGCGGGCACCCACACTTCGTCCCCAGCTGCGGCGTCCAAAATTGGAGGACTGCCAGCCGGAAAATCTGAAACAACTAAGGCTGGATGACCGGTAGTGCTCTGCTTCAGCGGGATCTCACAAACGTTCAACTTCTTCAAGTTGACTTGGTGCTGTGCTACATCAAAAGTCATGCCTAACTGTGCTAGGGCAGGTCGGCTCAAAAGCAACGGCACTTTGCAGTGGACAATGGCTATCTTGACAGCGACCCACTTTCCAGCTATGCCGAACCATGCCCAAATGGAAAACGCTGAACGATGCACCCTGGAAGCACCAAACTTGAAGTGCTCGGTTTCATCCAAAATCTCAAAACTGTGACCTAGCAAATCAGACTGGTTGCAAAATGCTTCAAACCAATCATAGCCAGCTACTGACTTTGAACATGCGGTGTCCACTATAGCAAGTTGAAAAGCCGGCTCACTTGAATGGTGGGTCTCAGACAGGCCCTCAGCAGCGAGGCACGTGCGCACCATGTTGACGGTGTGGCACATCTGAGCTTGTTGAACTCCATCTCGTGGGGCTGAAGCAGCTGCAGCGCTTCGGCCTCGAAGGGGGCACTCAGGATCCTTATGCCAGTGGCCGCGTCTCTTGCATGCACTGCAATACGACCGCTGCTTTGCAAGACGGAGCCGTTCACTGGCCCTCTTCTCAAGCTCTCCAGGATCTGTGCCTCTCCCCTTGATGGCCTCTTTGTACTTTGCTTTGGCGCCCTGATAGGCCATGAATGCCGAGTGCTGAGCCTCCGCAACATTCTCTTCCATCAGGTCAGACTCACTCTCATGGTGACGGCCGCCCAGTGGATCCTCATCGTCTCCACTGGAGCCATCGTCCAGGCCGGTCAAGTGGACCGTCTGACGGCCCCATCTGCCCTTGCCAGTCTCATGGTGATTGTTGCCCTTCCAGCCCTCATTGGAGTTGCGACGAGCATTGCGATCTTGGACAAGGGCTGCATGTTGGAGTCGCCTGACGTCATACTCATTGCCAACTGAAGCCAAGAGCGCTAGCTCTTCGTGCTCTGATAGCCTCAGTTTGTCCAAGTAAAGCCATGCCTTGATCAACGGTGGAAGGTTGCACTTCACTTCGTGCAACCGCAAAACCATGCGCTCGAACTCCACATTGAAATCCCTAACGGATTGTCCTCCCCTGCGCTTGCACTTGCGGAAGAGGTCGTTCATCATCTGCGCGATCTTTGTCACTTCCACATCCATGAAACGTGTTTGCACCCATTCAAGGAAATACCTGACGCCACCATCGGACGCCAGGATGTCCACATCGAGCTCCTCCGCATAGACCCAAGCACGGTCTGTCAAGGCATCGTAAAGTGCCAAGGCCCTCTGGTGGGCCGGCATCTTGGTGCAGCGCAGCCACACCTGCACACGACGTATGTAGGATCTGGCCGAATGACCAACATCATGTTCTTCTCCGCCACCATCAAAGGTCGGGACTTTCAGGCGCTCGGACGGCTTGTCTGAGCTCCTCGGTGGCCATTCATCGTGGCCCCAGCCATAGCCACCGTTCTCATCCTCATTGTTGAAGTGAGTCCCAACCCAACGGCCATCATCCACAGCCGTCATGCGCTCAACCGCCGCGGTGTTGAAGTTGCGCAGCTGTGCATCTGTCAACCATCCCTGAGACTGGCTTCCATAGCGATCCCAACTAGAATCATCCCAGCCTGAGCTGGGTGCCCTGACATGTCTATTCCCATGTTCGTAGTAATCATCATAGTATTCTTCTTCATCCAGTTGGTTACTGCTATACCAAGCCGCCCAAGGATCTGGTGGATTAGGCTCTTCCCATTCATGTGCAGCTGAGCTATCACCTGGTGTGGATCTAGACGCCCTTTCATGACTATCAGAACTCCCTGCAGTCAGTCCTAGATCATCAGGTGTTCTCGGCTGCCACGTTCTTCGACTTGTCATCCCTGGTCGCAACCAGCAGCTCCGCGCCACCAGTGTTGAGGTAAGATTCAAAAGCACTGCATGGCATGCACTGCACGCTCGACCTCTTTTTGCGATGAACGAAACCCTTGAGCCTTCAAGGGACGGCAAGTCAAGCCGTGACTGTGCGTTCAAATGCAATGCAAATCACTGTGCTGTGCACTGACAGCCAGATAGAATGCCAAATAGAATGTCAGAAGATATGTCAGATAGAATGCCAAATAAAATGTCAGAAGATATGTCAGATAGAATGCCAGAAGATATGCCAGATAGAATGCCAAAAAGAATGTCAGAAGATATGTCAGATAGAATGCCAGAAGATATGTCAGAAGATATGTCAGATAGAATGCCAGAAGATATGCCAGATAGAATGCCAGATAGAATGCCAGAAGATGTGCCAGTAAGAACATGTATAAATGTCATGGTGGGGATCACACGAAGTAAAGTAATTTTTGGTCAAGCCTGGGCTGGCAAGGATTGCAGCTGCTTATGACCACATCCAACCGGCCAATGCTATGCGGTGTTTTAGAAGTTGGCAACATCTCGCGGACGAGTTTCAAGGTGAAGCGGGCAGGGGACGGCAACAGTTCACAGAGACATTTGGCATTTGTGGTTTCGCTTTCTGAAAAATGGATCTCATCAAATGGACATCATCATCCAACAAAAGATGATAATAGTGGTCCTTTAGACCTCCAAACAATCAAAGGCGTAGTCAATGAAACCACCAAGCCAACCACAAACCGAGCGCAGCTCTACCGCACCGCTCTACTTCACCGGCTTCAGGCGGTGCAATGGCACCCCAGTTTCGCGCGACAACTTGGCATACCTAGGACAGCCGGATTGGAGTGACGCCACATTTCTGAGCAGTTTGATTTACTATTACTGTATCCACTATATAATTAGTAAATCATAGTTAGAATTATTATTACACTATATAATTACCACTGTACAAATATTCTATTTTTTACTATTGCACCAATATTTTGGGGGGTAAACAATATAATATAATTAGCAACCACTACTGGATAGTATGTTCTTATGGGACAATATACGTAATACTTATACTATCCAATATCGTTTCTGAGCAGTGTTATTCACTATTATCAACAACTTATAGTAAGTATAATCAATATCAACCAGTATTAACGAATGATCTGTCATGTGGTAGGGAAACTGGCTCCCCATTTATCCATTTATATCCATTTATTGTAGGGAATGCAGATGCCCATGCCCAATCTTTGATCATTGATATCGCCATTTAAACATATTGAAATCTCCAGGTATGTTGCGGAAAAACCACCATGTTTGATGGTTAATCATGCTACCCTCTGGTAAATTAACAGTTCGACCCTGGAAATCACCATTTTTTAGAGGAAACAAACTCATCTTCCAACCCCGATGACTACCAGGGTCTATGTTAATTTACTGGAGGGTAAGTTAAGCCATAGTTAAGCAGTTACCCTCCAGTAAACTAACATGGCTATGGAAAATCACCATGTTTCATAAATTGCCAGAGGGTAATAACTGGTGGATTGGTTCATTGGATTGGTTCAACCATCACCGAGCAACTCCTCCTCCAAGTCCGGCGCTTCCACCAACGAATTTGGCGACGTCTTTGGCGCCCGAAGGTCTTCGGGGAAGTCGCCCAGACCTGCGCCACTTGGAGAAACGTGAAGAAAGTCATGGGAATATCATGGGAATAACTGAATAACTTAAGTAACTTTGTAATCAAGACATCTTGGGATAGAGATAATGGGAAGATCATGGGAATGCTTTGGAATACAATATATATATATATATAACCCACTTAGTATCTTGGTACATGGGCTTACTTCATCTTACTTCACCCTAGACTGGGATTGGACAAAATGTCAGGGGACTGATTTACCAGGAAACTTTTCACCAGTGGTGCCCAACCCCATATTTGATGATTTGTTGCTGTCCGAACTCCATGAACTTTTGCCATACCACCTATCCACCGTTCTCCACCTCATGACTCGCTGAATGGATGTGGAAACGAGTGAGAGATCTTTCTCCATTCATCTCGTTGAAGCACAAAACTATTGATAAAGATTACCAAGTACATCTAAGTACTACTTCATTCCCCCCACGAAGTCACTACAAATGGTCCGGCCTATTAGTAATGCTGGATCTCCATCAATTTGACAGGGGAATGTAGAGGATAATTCTTGCCATTGGGATGATCATGGGCTTCGGGCATGGTGCATTTACCAACCAATGGATCCTGCGTTTAGCAACGGGTGCTTTATACATTTGAATGTTTATTCATGCAAATTCAAACACCTAAGCACCAATAGCCATGGTCATGTCAAATCTGTTTATCAATTTTCTGTGTGATGCCTTCCCTTCCCAACCATCACTTGTGGTATTTGTGGCTCTGGAATGCTATTGGAGCTCGGTGAATCTCCGCCTGCGCACATCTTGGAGTAGGTCTTGGAAGAGACGCGATCCTGCTTTCGCAGCTCCTGACAAAGATGTTTTAGTATTTGGTTTGCACATGTTTACACTATTCGGTGAAAAAGTGTCAATATGTGTTAATGACAACAACGAGAAACAATATTGCCAACCAGCTCACTGCAAATTGCTTCAGCGCATGGCGGCGTCTGACAAAATTGAAAACGCCCAAGTCATCGCGATTCCAAGCTGGGGAAACCTCTCACTTTGGTCATCGTTGGTCCCCAAGTACAGTGTTTGAAACACTCAAAGAACGATATCTAATCGTCATTAAGTATCCATGACTGGTTGGTGGTTTCAACCCCTCTGTAAAATATGAAAGTCAGTTGTTCACCTTATTCCCACCATATGGAAAAATTAAAAAAATGTTCCAAACCACCAACCAGATGATCATCCTTAGCTCACTTGGCCCACCGTCCAACCGCCAGGATCCCTCAGCCCAATTCCTCCTTGGCTTTCCGCAGCAAGCGTTGCCCTGCGACATTCGATGGATCCACTTCCTTCAAGCGTTGCAAATCCTCCACCGCAGCCTGGGAAGAAGTTTTCAGCACGTAAAACACCATGAACATCATGAGTTATGCTGAATCATCGTGAGAACATCAATAAACAAATCATGAATAATAACTCATCCTTATCATGATTCACCATATGTTACTATACCATATGTTATTATATGGTTATTATGAAACGGTCCATTATCATCAGTTATGGTTCATACCAATATTCCTATCAATATTCCTATCAACTCAAGTTTCCTATTTCATGGGAGGATACTCCCAGTTATCATCATGTTTTGCCATTTTCTGGGATTTTCCCATGAAAAATAACCCCCCCCCATGACTTCGGAAGCTCCAGGAACTCTCCGAGCAAAGCCCAGCTTCCCAGGGCCTGATGTTCCTTCAGCGCCAGCAGCGCCTTCGCGCGGCGGAAGAGCGCCTTGGGCTGTTCCGGCTCCTGCCAGAGGCTGGGGATAGATTTGGCAGCAGCCATGGGGGTGAAGAATGGGTTAAGATTGGCTAAGGTTAGAATACATATTTTTTTAAAAACATTGTTTATCACCTTTATTCTCAAAAACAAGACACCTACAACATACTACAGACAGAGTATATATATATATAATTGTAAATATATATATATTATATATCTATATTATGAGGGAGCTGCTTCGACCGTGGGGGCATGTTCCAAGAAGTCGAGATTTGGCCAATGCGAATCCGGTGCATTGGAAAGGTTGCTGAATGGGCTTAGACTCTTACGACTCCAGTCCCAGAACTGCTTCAGGATCTCCTCTTTCAGCACTTTGTCGCACAAATCCTGCGCAGATGATCTGAGATGGGACTCTCGAGCAGTAGGATGACTTCCAGGTGACCAGAAAGTCATAGTATTGTCATAGTATGTCATAGTATTGTGGCATCTTCTGGCTATCTTTCCAATCTTTCCAGGGGTAGCTCCTCAGTGCTTCAACCTCATGAACCCTCCCGGGAGTTGAAGCGCGTCAGTCCCATCCCCCATCAAATACTCGAAGAATGGACCCAGGAACGAATAGATCCACTGTTACTAAGCCAGGGTCTATCGGCAGTATTTACATTACAGGGAAGAAGCATATGAGATAGAATTAGCATAACTGTTGCAACTTTTATCATAACCATTGTTATAAGTACTATCAATAGTACAGTTATAGCTATCATTCTAGCTGTTGTTACTACTAGTGCGTAACATTGCGCAACTACGAAAACAAGTCATCACAAGTATTAATGTGGTAAACCCAAAAACATGCAATTCCCAACATCACAATTTCATCATCCCCAAATGTGTTTCTTGATTTTTTTTGTTCGCCAATCTTACCACTTTTTCCCACCTCAACGACCAATCGCAACTGCTTTCCGTGAAATCCAGTGGAATCTGGGCAAATTATAATAATTCACTAACCTGAAATAAGGCCATTTGGGGATGATTCCCCTTATCATCCATGATTTCAGGGCTCGGGAGAACAGTGAGGTCGTTATAATTTTGCCCAGATATATGGATTTTGAATGGGATTTTCATGGTGTTTAATGGACTTTTAATGGTTCTTAATGGGATATAGGTGTATGGGATGTTTCTGGTTGGCTAAAAAACCCCTCTGAATCTGCCTTGACATGTGACATCTCTCCCAGCTGCAGCATGCAAGCGGCTTCGTTGAGAAAGGCCACGCGCCGCAGCTCCAAGGCTTCCGCCCGCTGCTCCTCTGGGACTGTTCGGGGACAAACATGGGGAAAAAACCGACGTCGATTTGATCTACCCGGCCTGGTTATGTCAACAGTTTGCTATTGAAAATGGCCATTGAAATAGTGGATTTTCCCATGAACAATGGTGATGTTCCATAGTTATGTAAACGTTTACCAGAGGGTATCCAGCGATTTCGCTTGCAAACATTGCAGAACAATGTTCAGAACATTAATATGTTCAAGGTAAATATCCCTCTATACTGCTTAAACATGAAGGGATTGAACTTGCCATCTTTCCCGGAATGGTCCAACAAAAAACCCAACGATTTGATGGAGGAGAAACACTTTCCACTAGGCTTCCGCTTCTCCTTGAAATCTTCCGGCCGGGCTAGAAACGAAGCAATCTCCTCGCGCAAGGATCCATGGGCGGTTGGATAATCTCATCCCAATACTAAATGCCAAAAACCTAACACTTAGAGAAGGGATGGGTTTTTTACATATGTGCCACAGTCGTGCCAGAAACCAAAGACTCAGACTAGTTATGATCAACATTACAGTGTCTATAGTCTAATATATATATATATACACACATATATATAGATATATAAATGTGATACTACTATTTACTCTATCTACATCATTATGTACTTCTTGTCTCTACAAGCGGTCAGCTTGTTGACTTGTTGCCCCCGGTAAGTTTACATGTTTTTTCCACCAGCCGTCTAGGCTTGATATCCCATGTGCTGAGGTCAAGATTGTTGGACACGTCCCTCAATCGAGTTCTTGTCCATCGTTCTAATTCTTACCTAAAAGGCTTCCAATGTTTAATAGTCAAATCTTCATATTTAGTTGTTTAGTTACACGCGCGCACACACACACATGAGCGATTGTGAAAACCCTAGGTTCACGGAAAGGACATTCACAAATTTGGGAAGGTCCCATCGCTTACCACACGTTTGTACAATAATGATATATGGTAAACTTGGGGGGTATCGCTTGCAGGAAACTGCTGTATTTATATAACATATGATGAACTATGAATAATATGTGATCTTTGGGCATCGCTAATGTGGATATTAGAGAAATATGATGACATAACCTTGAAAAGGGGTATCGCTAATTTGGGAAGGTCCCATCGCTTACCTCGTGTTTTTAACAATTTCCATCAATTTCCATAAGCCAATGTCCGTCGAATACATATTTAGTATTGCCGGGGTTTTTACGGTTGCTCACATGTGTGTGTGTGTGTTCATTAGTTTTCACCCTCTGGTACTCAAACATGGCTTGTCAGAAAACCCCCAATTTATAGATGATGTTCCCATTCAAAGCTCCATTTAGTTCGGGGATTTCCCAGCCGTGCCTGATTCCCAAATGGTGGCCCTATGAAATCCATTGAATCCATTGGGGGTGCAGTTCCACTTAGCGGCTTAGATTTTTCCGTAATACCATGGTTGTAGGGATTAATGTCAACCCCGGAATAAGCTACGGTTTATGAAAATTAGGGGGGGTACTCCTCCAATAGTCATCATTAATCCAATACTTAAAGGGTACCCCCCGCAAATTCTGCAAATTCCACAGCCTAATTAGGGGTTTATCAATCCAGGGTTGACATGGGTGTGTCTGAAAATAGTGTACCCCTAAACCCAATGGTTAATGATCATTATCCCTATTAAATGGCTATTTCATTGGGAATATACCCTATTTTCAGACAAACCCACATTATACCCCCAACTTCTCCCCCAACTTCTGGAAGTTCAGATCCCAGAGTTCGGTGCCTGGTAGTGTTTCGCTGCGAGCCTCAGCCGTTGCGCCTGAAACAAGCGCCCTGCAAGGTGCCGCTGCGCAACGGCCCGCTCCAAGCGCTCGGGAGGCGCCAGGTCCCACTTTTCGGGGACCTGAAGGGGAAGGGCGAAGGACCAACAGAAGAATGGAGGGAGTTGGTCACCAAAACCGGGGGAGCTATACATACATACATACATATATATATATATCTATCTATCTATCTAACTTTAAAAACAACTCTAAGAACATCTAAAAGCTCGGATTTTGCAATATTTGACCCAACAATTATGAGTTTGAACAGAACAGAGAAGAGATTTGACTGCAAACATGTGGCTTAAGCAGAAGTGGAATCAGAAAACATAAATTATGTAGCCCATTATGCTGTATACCAAAAGTTTGGCTACATTTGTTCCCTAAAATATACCCAAAGTTTGGGTGTATTTTCCTCAAAATATGCCAACAGTTTTGGTATCTTTTCCCAGAATATACCGTAACTTCCCCCAAAGATCCCCTTAGAGTATATTCTTCCCAAAAGTGTATTTTCACCAAAGCACACTCTTTCCAAGAATACACTTCCCCAACAATATGCCTTATATCGCCTTATATTGCCTTATCCAAAAGTACATTTTGGGAAAGTAATCATTTTGGTATATGTTCCCCAAAATGGACTGTACATTGTCACCTGGTTGTGGTATATTTCGCCAAAATATAAAATAACTTAAACCTAGGTCTAGAGAGACATTCCAAAAACATGCTAGAGAGTACCGCTAAAATATAGGTTTCGAGCCACCAATGCTGAACATTTATATATATATATATATCCCAGTAAAACTGAGGGATCTAGTCAGAATATTGTGAATGTGGCACCAACACCTGGGCAGATTATATAACTCTACAAAAATTAGATCCTAATAAGCAAATTGATTGAGGCAGCAGAACTTGTGATTCAAGCTAAGCGCAATGAGGGATGCAAACATATTTAGCCAACAAAGTTTCAAACCAGCAAAAAGATACACAATTAGAGACAGATGGTGAATCGACACGCAACACTTGAAGCATTCTTGCCAGTAAAACCAACAAAATTGAGCCAGCAAAATTCATGGATTACGGTAACAAGCCAGCAAAAGGGACCAACACGGAGGATCTAGCCATCCGCTCCCGAAGCCTCACACTTTTTCTCCAACACTGCTGTTGGGCACAAGGGGCACAGGGTGGACTTGGCCCGAACCAAATGGAGAGCAAACCAATCAACATATAACCAAAACGAGATTCACATGTGAATCTTAATAGCTGTTGGCACCTCGGATTTTGACAAATCACACTGGGAACTTTAATCGACAGACATAGGTATCTAAGTGACTGGAATTTTTGGATATCTTGCCGACAAAGATGGAGATTACCTTCCCTGAAATCACTACTTGCTTACTTGCTAACTGGCCCCATTGGTAGGGGCATCAAGCGAACCCTGGAACTACACTGACATGAATAACAAACCTACTCCCAGCCCCACAGTCCCAGCATCGATTTGAGGGACAACATGCACGGCTTGCTGTAAACACCTAATACTACATTGGGATGTAAAATCCAACGGTTTCCTCAACATGTTCGCTTAAATTGAACCCTTGAAACTACCTATAGACCAACTTAGCTAACTGGTTGGTGGTTTCAACCCCTCTGAAAAATATGAAAGTCAGTTGGGATGATGAAATTCCCAATATATGGAAAAATAAAAAATGCTCCAAACCACCAACCAGCTAAGTAATAAATTTGCCAATTTTCTTTGGTTAATTAATTCACCCTCCCGGTCAGATTTCAGCTGAGCGACTTGCTGAACCTCTAGCACCGTGAAATGCACCATGACCGGCGCTTCCAATGGTGTCTCGATCTCGATCAAGCCCTGCAGGACCGAAAAAAAGGGAGATCTAACCAACCATAAGTTGAACATTGAACCAGGAAACATAGGGATTTATAGGGATTTCATCAATGTGACTGGATTGGGTTCCATGTTTCTTCTTTTGGAAACCATGATTTTAATACCACTTAATACACAGGGTTACTGTAAGTATTCCTTCAAACCAATTCTGGGATTATATGTCTGGATGCTGAATGCTGGTGGCTTCAACGCCACCCAAAAAGATTAAAATCAGGGATCATCATCAGCAGCAGCATCATCATCATCATCATGATCCTCATCCTCCTGATGCTAGTATGGTCAACCACATTGCATATAAATTTCCAAACCGGAATGGTATAATATGTTATAATGGCCCGCCAGCTTCTGAAAAATATCATGTGGATAGTTTGCACACATAAAATCACCACCTTCAATCATAGATCACGTTCTCTTCCAAACAAAACTCGAAAAATACGAAAGGCTCGCCACATTTTTTTAGAATGATTTATTATCAAGTTCACCACCTTCAATGATATCAAAGAGAAAACACAGAAATGAACGCTACGCCACGCCATGGGAAGCCTCGCAGCAGGCAGGCTCCATGACGCGCAACATGAGCTCATCACCTGGCAGACCATGGAAATTTTCCTGGCGGAGCTGACTAAAAAGATCCAACAATATCCAACAATACCATTAACAAATAGCAACAACCATGGTAAACAAATGTAAACAAATGATAACAGATGAACATGTGTTTCTTCTTGTGGATCCTTTGCTCAAAAAATCCTTTGGAGATCGTTTTCGCTAAAGAATCCACCGCAGCACGAATCGCTGCTCCCATGGCACCTTCCTGGAGGCCAAGAACTGCTCCTTCCATTGCGTCGCAGACCTGGGCTGCCATGATGACCAGCGTGTAGTTGTTGTGATTGTCTATGGTTATATAATATATATAATGGTGGATTAGTAATCAACTATAATTTATATATATATAATCCTTACTCTGTAATTACTCATCAACTAATCATTGTGATATGTTTGATTAGTAATGATTATATAGTTTATATAGTTGTGGAATGTTGTGGAGGGGGCTTCTCACATGTCTCATGGGGGTTGAGCAGTCCAGTATGTCCAGGAGGATTCAAGCAACATGGAGGTTTCTGAAAATGGTGGATCCCCAAGTCACCATGACACTTTCAATACTAAGTCATACTAAGTCATAGTTTTTGTCATCCATGACTTGGATGATTTTGGGGCTCCCCCCATGACTTCAGACACCTCAACCATTGAAAGCACCAAGCGAGACTGCTGGGCCTCACCATCTCCTGCCACAAAACTCACTTCGAAGGGACGGCCACTCACCTGCACCGGTGAGTATTTTTGGTTTCCGCAGTTCTGGTTGGTGGTTTCAATGGATTGGTTTAAGGGAAAATTTACAGGACGCCCCCATATTTAATGGTAAAAACCATGGTTTCCTGCAGATTTTCCCTTAAACCAATCCATTGATGGTTTCAACCCCTCTGAAAAATATGAAAGTCAGTTGGGATGATGAAATTCCCAATATATGGAAACATAAAAAATGTACAAAAATGTTCCAAACCACCAACCAGATTTTCATTGTATCTTGTTTATTTCCACCATGTTGTTATTCCATCATGCATCCACGTATTTGCTTATTTTTATGCATAAAGCCTGTCAATGCATGATTGGGTTTCATTATTCGGATTTGTTGGTGTTTCTTCTTGACTTGGGAATAGTTGGGGATAGTTGGGGCTTCTTGGGGTGATAATGGCCCCAACAACAACAAGACAAGCGTCATACGCAGTCTCAACCCATGACCTGCAACTTTCCGGTGCTGCACCCATTGCCTTGTCACGATTGGAGGTCACAGTGAGCACCCTCACGCGCACACGGCCCGTGTCGTGCAAGCGGTGCGGGCCAGCACCCTCCTTGAGCCGCTTCCGAAGCACCGCCCCATCGTACTTGCCTGCAGGAAATAGATGCCACCAGGTGAAGCAGTGGGGCAACCCTTGAAACACATTGAAACTTAAGAATCATAGTTGACATATCTTGCGGATTGAGTGAGCCATTCCCTCATGCTCATGTCAAGTTTCACCGCTGCCCCCAGCCTAGGCTCACATCGTGCACTTGGAAGATCTCCTACAGTTGAAAGCATCTTCCCAAACAAGGAGTGGCTTCCAAAAACCAACCAGAATCCAATCCGTTGAGGCTTCCAAAAACCAACCAGCAAGTCATCCCGGTAATTCCCCCCCAGGAGTTGGTTAATATCAATCAGCAGTGGTACCCTCTGGTAAACTAACATAGCTATTGAAAATGGCAATTTATAGTGGATTGTCCCATTAAAAATGGTGATTTTCCATAGCTATGTTAAATTACCAGAGGGTAGGTTGAACAGCTCACATGACACAGACAGTGCTCCTCTAAGGTCAAGGAGATCTCCAAACTTAGCCCGGCTTTCGGCCCAAAGGGGCCATTGGGGCGGCATGTCACCACGACTTCCTATCGTAGGGCAATCGTCGAAAAGGCCATGACGATTGCAGTTGATTTGAAACATACCCAACAGAATCCAATTGATTACCCAGTCTCCAACATCTCCAACTATAAGTTGTTGAAAATTGATCTCTATTGATAAAATGCCGCAAATCCTTCTCTACAAATCTTAGAACACAACTTTGGGCTGCACTAGAGAGGATGTATCCAACAAGAAAACAAATATAGGGTTGGGCATGAGACAATTTGTGAGTTTGTGAAGCAAACGGCCTAAAGTCGTGTCCTCCTTCAACTTCATCGACAACAAAGCTTTGTCCTCAGGTTCCCCGAAGGGCGTCTAGGCTGACGCCCCCCTCTGGTCATTCACGGGTTCTTACCCTTGGCTTGGTAATAACATGGCTGTGGAAAATTGGAGAATCACCATTTAAACCGTTTATAAACGGGTCATTTTACATAGCTTTGTTACCAGGTTGACTGACCTGGAGTGAGTGCAGGCACACTGACTAAGTAGATGCCCCAAATCCAACTATACCACACTCATTATATTACACCCTTGACATGGAACATACGGCACTCCAAAAAATGCAACCGTTCTGAGCTCGTTTTCCAGGTGCCACGTCGAAGTTGGGGGTGGAACGTGGATCACAGTCTCCATATGTCTCCATCCAGTCTTGTCACACTTGATGCTACTGCAATCCACTTTTTTATCCCGACACATTCCTCTGGTTAGCTCCAAAAAACCAGGAACTTACAAGTATGACAAATAACAAAGGTCTTTACATAATTCCAAATTTAGCGTTCTACAAGATGTTGAACAATCCACCCCCGAATCGTGGTCATTGAACTTCTCCATCAAAAATGCACCCATCTTTAATCTCAATGTGATGTTTGTTTTTTTTTGAAAGTCCACAGGAAATCATTGGCTTTTACCAGTAAAGTCGGGGATTCAAGGGTCATCACCATCCAAAAAAGCGATCCCGGAGCTCTTTGCAAAGCTTCAAAGACCTGTGCCAGTTGCCCTAGCTGCGGCGCCATACCGCCGATCTTGTAGACACCTTCCTCCACGGAGAGGGGCGGACCTGGAAGTGGCGAAGCTCAATGGGAATTTCAGGATCCTAAAATGGCCATTGATATGGTAGGTCCCTGGAAGGTACCTTCAATTTAGGTTCCTGAAATGGCCATTGATAGACATGTAGTTGCAAATCTCTGTGTCATCAACATCACTCTCACTCTCTTTCTATCTATCTGCCTGTCTACCCTCTTATCTATTTAGTCTATACAATCTACTTAGTCTTCGCAAACTGTATACAGATTCCAGGCACATTTTGAATACACTAGTTAATGTGCAAATATCATACAAGATATTCCTATGTATATGGCGAAGGATGAATCCAGAAACTACCATCCACTGACCATCCAAGGTACCGGCGGCACCTTTTTCAGTGATTTTGTAGGACACCTGGGCTGCGTAGTAGGCCCACTAAGTCGTAGCGGCTATGGTTGTTGGGCAAGCAAGCCGCTAAAATACTACAGTATGGTTGGTATTTATGTATAATATCTATAGTTTATAGTTAATGCATGTTAATGCGGTGTATGATTAAACCAACTTAAGACCTGGGGGTACCGTTCTGTACGACATTTCATACAATGCCACTATCACCACTTCTGAATGTGGAACAGAAATAGACCCGGGCATATCATATACACTAAAGAATCACCAGCCGAAATCAAGGCCTTGCGTGGCACCCCAGAAAAACACCATAGTAGAGAGCTTCATACTAAATAAAAACAACCAACATCTTCCCAGACATGGATGTTTTCGGAAAAAAATGAGACCCAGGGCCCCACGGAGTTTGTAATCTTCCATTTCAAATCATTTCGGCAGTTTTTAGGGTTTATAATTATTTCATTTCATGTTATTTCCATCTTGGCCAAAGATTTGGCAAAAAATAACCGTTTTTCCCCGTTCATTTGACATATTGCGGCCCTTACTTAGAAGATCCCATCCCTGACGTGGTAGCTGTCAGTTTACCCCAATCGGGGACTTGGTAAGTAGGCCAAGACTGGGGCCTGGAAGATGATTTTCTCGTTGGATTTGGCCGTTAAGAACGGTGTATTATTGTGTGTACCCCACATGCATAAACAATTTTGGATAGCGTTTGCGATAGCGTTTGCCAGCAAACGTCTACCGAATGTGCCTTGGGCACTGAGTTCGTACCAAATCACAGCCCTAGCTTGGCGCACCTGACATTCATCTCCATCCTTTGGGTGTCGACCTTCAGAGCTTTTGATGATGCGCTTGATGGCACCTGGTAACAGGGTGCGGATGTCATGGTGATATTGACAAGAGTATGATAATTATGTCTGTGTGTCTCAACATGGTGATAACGTGGTTTTTTCAGTATATCCCCAAATCGCACATCGCATATGGATAAAATATGATAAATCATGCAAACCGTAGGGGTTTTGTGGGTACCCTATTTTTGGACAAAACCATAATGCCATATGGTGGAGCTGGTTGGAACTCATCATCCCCATAAGTTGAGTACGAATCTCCTCACGTGCAAAGACCATAGGAAAATCATGACCCACCTGCTGAAATCTATGGAACATGTAGGTTTGGTTTTCCCAGCCGTTGGGAAAACCAAGACGGCATTGCTTGGCAGCATCTCATGACACATGATGACCCCCCACCCGTGAGGGCATGGGTATAGGCCGACAATGGGTACCCACTCGTTTGGTAAGTTTTAGCATTAAGGCATGTTTTGGCGTTTATCATTAAGGATCATTAAATATTTAAGGCTTTTTTTAAAGGTGTTTATCACCATCTTCTCCATTGCAATTGCAGTATATGTTGGAGATTACCACAATTTTTCAACAAACCCAATGTAATTGTTGATGATGATCGATTCATATCCCCGTTCGTGATAAACCTCCCTTGGTTTCTCATTATTTTATCCGCTAGAGTTACGTAAACATGCCATAGAGCGTGGATATGTTGCACAATTCTAAACCATTACTGGTTAGTGCTTTCAACCCCTCTGAAAAATATGAGTTCGTCAGTTGGGGTTATTATTCCCAATATATGAAAAATATGAGGAAAAAACATGTTCCAAACCACCAACCAGATGAACAACTTCCCGGCGCCTTGATCGCCGAAGAGATCCTCCCGCAGGGGACATTTCACCAGTTCCAGCTGCAGCTGTGTCTGGGTGTTCGGCGCCCAGCCGTCCAAGCTTAGGTCCTGACGTGGCAGGTGGCTGAGGGTATCAAATGGACCCCCATAAGGTCATCCAACAAGGGTGGTTTTGACCCAAAAAACGGATCTGGTTGGTGGTTTCAACCCCTCTGAAAAATATGAAAGTCAGTTGGGAGCATTATTCCCAATATATGGAAAATTAAAAAATGTCTCAAACCACCAACCAGTTTAAGTGACCACCAAATAGAGTCATTCCATCTCGTTCCCGTCCCAAAATCCTGGGGGTGTGGTTCCATTGAATGCGTGGCAAATCGGGGTTGAACTCCATGTAGTTACCATCCCCAAAAAGGTCACCCCGGTCACCACATCCCCGTGCTCCATGGCCTCCAATATGCCGAGCTCAATGGTGAACTCCGCGTCCTCACCTTGATACAGCTGCCGGACCAGCGTCTGCAGCACCCGCAGGGGCGGCCCTTGGCTGGCGGCAGCACCAATGGTGAAGGCGATGCTGTCGCCGCCTACGGGGGGACATGGGGAGACAGGTGTGAATCTTGATGTGGGCATTTTAACGTGAATTCTTTTTGGAGAGTTTTAGTCAATCACATAGATTTGTTTAGAAGTTTAGAAGTTTAGAAGTTTCCAAGGTGAGACCATGCAACAATGCTGGATGTCCCACTTCCAGTAAAGGGAAGAAGGTTTTCACAAGACTGATTGGGACTTCATGACACCAGCAGCATTTTCTTCGGCTTCAAGTCGGCCTCAAGGACTCGGCACCCTTTAAAGTTGAATGAATCAAACTGAATCAACACAGAAATGTCAGCAAATTCTCCATCTACCAGGATCCCCATACCATCTTCTGCAGCGACGGAAATCCGCGGATGGCCTGTACTTTGCAGCTGTTGCCCCGCAAGTGCCAGGGAATATCGCACTACAACCTGGCTCGACCGTCTCGACCCTGGAAACAGCGCTGGACTGCGTGATGTTTGGGGCTCCTTAGGTCCTTGCGAGTTGAAGGGCCCTTAGGTTGCCAGATCTTTTTCATTTTTGTGGAGGGTGATTAATCTGTTCAGCCTGAGGTTTTGGTGGGTGAATGGTGATTAAACGGTGGATGACTCTACCATAGCCCCATGCAAAGGTAACACTCTCAATGGCAGGGCCTTCTGACCAGTCTGATAGCTTAAATCTCTAGCATTGGGGTTCAGCTTGTGAGTGCTTGTGGTGAACACCAGGTTGAATACCCCAGCCATAGCCCCCAAATCTCATGATTCAACACCTTATTCACCCAAACGTTCCACCAGAAATGTGAGAGAATCCCACATTTTTGGACCCAATTGGTGATGGATCGACACGTCGGCAGCCTGGTGCCAAAATGACCCCATATTATGCAATTGTGTATTATCAATAACCATTTTGGGGTTTCTTACAATGGGGGATCCCACCAAAACCATGGGTTTCAATCCCAAAATGCTCGAATTTTGGAGGATTTTTGGGGTCCCCCATGACTTAGGAAACCACCAATTTGTGGTATGAGATGTTCATTCTCCTCATATCATACCCATTTTCCATCACACCTCCACTCCTAAATGGTGACCTCATCGCCCTGCTCCGGCGGCAGATACTTCCGCGTGGGCGGGTGCCGAAGCGTGCGCTTCGAAGAAATGCCGTCCGGCAGCGGAGAGCTGGAGCTGCTGGGCTCCGACTCCATTGGGAAAAACCCAGTTGTTTGACGTTTTTTCTGGCGTTTCATGTTTTGTTTACATTTTTTGTACGGAACAAATGGTACCACTCTTTACAATAAAGACGTATTTCATGATTTTTTCATATCCACGAAAATGGATCCAGGTGGTACAACTTGGTGATTGGGCACTTCCGGGACGCATAAGGTGGTATGCGCAACGCCGGAAACCACCGTTTTATTTTTGGGTATTTGCACCTTTACCTTGGTATCAGAATGATAGCTGATGGGGATGAGAGATGTTGGACCCGGAAATGTGCACATCGAAATCCCCATGTTCCCCTCGTTTTGTTGGTCAAACCCTTTCGTATGTGTTTTTTGGGTAAATTCCTGTGCTTGGGTTTGGGTTGGTTAGACTCCTCATCGGTTCGTTTGTTAAACATTGTTGAACTATTTTCCAAGAACTTGGTTGACTTGGAGCGCTCATCCCATCTCATCTCCTTTGAGTTGAAAGCTAATCGCAGCGGCACGACTGACCGGATTTCAAGTGGCTCGATTTGTCAATAGCTGCAAATCATATCAGGAAAAAGTCAGGAAACTGGCAGTTACTTTGGGATGGAACTCTCTCTCTCTCTCTCTCTTGCGCTTGCTTAACACACACGGCTTAGCATTTTATGTGCAATATTCTATACATTTCTATACACATCTCTTCCCCAAAATGTCCAAGAATGTGGCACTGTGTGACTGAACAGCAACAATAGACATCCATACTCACCAGCCCCATTCCACTGGCCCCGGCCTGATGGGCATTTGTGTTCGGAACACGGGTTCGGGCAATAGAAACCTTGCACCGCGACCAGGAGCATAGCCTAATAAGGGTGGGACACCACCTGTGGAAGATATGCATTGAATATTGCAGACAACGCCATACGAATAATTGCAGGCGCCCGGATGCAAGATGATGAAAGTATACATTAAAATAACAAAAACCATATAAATCTGTTCACATCAGATTGGGAGAACAAACATGAAGTAATTATCTGTCTTTTGCAATTGCACATGCTGAGCAAATCTGACAATGATGTGACGCTTCCATGATAGATATGCCCCATGTCATGTCAACCACTGCAGCTTGTGGTGATTTCTTCACAATCCTTCTATGTTTTATCCCAATCCGAAGTCTTTGGCACTGGCAGTTTGCACACAAGATCACAAGATGGGGGGCAACCACCTTCTGTATACATGGTATACCTGTCCCCATCGGCGCCCACTAAGCCTGGTGTCATTTTTACGTATATTCTGCTTGACGTTTGCAACCTCCTTCCCCTCAAACAACATATTAAGTCATTGGGGGCATCTTCGCAGGTATTTGTGGAATTACCCTCTGGTAATTTAACATAGCTATTGAAATTGACCATTTATAGTGGATTTACCCATTAAAAATTGTGATTTTCCATAGCTATGTTAGTTTACCAGAGGGTAAGCAAGCCACTTTGCCTTTGCCTGACTAAATCTGCTCGTTGATCATCTCCCACCATTTCTGGTGAAATCACATCCTATCATGTCTTGGCTGCTCGAAGTTGAAATATGTTTTCCAGTTAAGTCAAGCGGAATAAGGTCAACCCTGGATGAATAAACCCTGAACGGCTGTTTAATTAGGGGGTTGACCATTTAAGTATCAGATTATCACAGCTACCCCCCTAATTAACAAAGCATGGTTTATCAACCCGTGCTTGACATTAACATACATTAACCAATTCTTTTGTTGAAATTGAACTCATCTGGAGGGTTCCCTTAATTTTAGGAAACCCGCCTTTGGGTGGTGAAATTTGTATATGCCACTAATTAGATGGTTAATACATGTTAATACTAAAAAGATATCCCAAAATTAATTAGATGGTTAATAATTTAATATACTTTAATGATTATATATATAATATATTATACTAAAAACTGTGGTCCCATAGGCCTTTGCGACAGCTGCGGGGCACCATGCTCCGCTCCGGGCAGAAGCTCCCCTGGAAACATTCCAAGGCCAGCAGGGAGGTGGGACCTCGTGGCCGCTCCAGCGTGGATGCATCCCAGGCATCGTGAGAACCCATGTAAGTCCATGTATACACACACACATATATATATATATATACACATGCAGTATTTTATATAATATCTATACATAATATATATATACTATATATATATATATATTAAAATAACTTAAATATATAAAACCCACAGATAAATGGGCATATTCCGTATATATAATTATATATTATATATTATACATACAACTTATTTGTGTAACTATATACGTACTGGATGAGATTGTGGTTGTTACCCACTGACAATGCCTGGGATGTTTTTCGATAGGTACATTGGGGTACATTGGGTAGGGACTTGGGCCCAAGCAGGTTAATCCCATTTAAGATGAAGTTGAACAAGCAAGAACTTGGGGACTTAAGGGGTTTTACCCTCCAGCCAATTAACATATGGAAAACTCAACCATTTGCAGATAAGTTTCCTTCTGAAAAAATGCGCTCAATCCAGTATTAGTTTACTGGAGGGGCAGTTTAAGCCACAAAGATTGGGGTTAGATCATCAACAAGAATCACCTTACCCCAAGAGACAGACATTTCCGGGTGTATTTCCTGCTTGGTGAAGCGGAAATGCTGCAGGAAACCAAGGTGTCTACCGTCACTGCCGTCGTCGTGTTCCCTTCAGCCGATATTCATCCAATTCAGGAGGTGCAAACCCTCCAGAAAGGCGGACGTCATCAACAAAGATCAGGATTCGAGCAAAAAAACACGGGACAGCAAGAGAAAACCACACACACACAACATATATATATATAATTATATATATATGTGTGATCCCTGTTGGAATTCGGACCAAACCTGGGTGTCTGATTCTATAGGGACTAAAACGAAAACCCAGGACTAAGGGGGGGGGATTTTCCCTATAGAATAGAAACCCTACCAAGCCAACAGCCCCCTGCCGCTCTTATAAAATGAAAACCCAGCCTCATACTGGTCACTGCTACTAACAAATAATCCACTATAAAATGAAAAACTGAGTCCAAGTGATTAGGGAAAAAAAAACCTATAGAATAGAAAACTGGGTTTGCAATGCCTTAAGTTTGGTTTCACTTTTTGGATCTGGGTTGGAACCATTCCACAAAAGAACATACTTGGGGACTATTCTATAGAAGGGTGGTTGGGTTTCCATTTTATAGGATGATGAAAACCTGACAGAATCTTGCAGATGCCCTTTTGGGATTCACTGGGATAACAAGTGGAAAGCCTTGACACAGATCTGATACATTTTGGTGCATCTAGGAAATTCTAAGCACTGGCCTAAGCATCCCTGGGATACCCTGGGCAAATGTCAGAGTGCTGCCTATTTTTTTACCTGTGCGGTCAGTCAGGAATTCATTCTATAGGGATGGCATTTGGTAGATTTCACGCCTCTCCACATGGAAACCCATTCTATAGGATCAACATGTCCCCCACCTTTTGCTGCGTTTCTCAAGAATTTTGAAAGAATTGGGTGAAATTGGCATGACCTTTCATGAACTCGTTGCTGGCTTGGACGCCGGCTCTGGCTTCACAGACGCTGACGACCCAGGAGCTGCAGCCGGTGCACGGAGAGCCTCAGATCAGCACGCTGTGAACAGATTTCATTCATCTTCACCCTATTTCTGGAAAAACACATGCATATTCATACCTTTATGTCGTGTTTAATGCCTATAAAATGAAAACCTGACAGAATCCTGCAGATGCCTTTGGGATCCTTTGGGGTCCCCCTAGGATAACACTTGAAAAGAATTGACGCAGATCTGGTATTATAGGGACTGGCCTAAGCATCCCTGGGATACCCTGGGCACATGTCAGAGTGCTGCCTATTTGTTTATACAGTTCCTGTGCAGTCAGTCAGGAATTCATTCTATAGGGATGGCATTTGCTAGGTTTCACGCCTCTCCACATGGAAACCCATTCTATAGGATCAACATGTCCCCCACCTTTTGCTGCGTTTGTCAAGAAATCTCATAGAATTGGATGAAATTGGCATGACCTTTCATGAACTCGTTGCTGGCTTGGACGCCGGCTCCGGCTTCACAGACGCTGACGACCCAGGAGCTGCAGCCGGTGCAGAGAGAGCGTCAGATCAGCATGCTGTGAACAGATTTCATTCATCTTCACCCTATTTCTGGAAAAACACATGCATATTCATGCCTTTATGTCGTGTTTAATGCCTATAAAATGAAAACCTGACAGAATCCTGCAGATGCCTTTGGGATCCTTTGGGGTCCCCCTAGGATAACACTTGACAAGAATTGACGCAGATCTGGTAGATCTAGGCAATTCTAGGTACTGGCCTAAGCATCCCTGGGATACCCTGGGCACATGTCAGAGTGCTGCCTATTTTTTACCAGTTCCTGCGCAGTCACTCAGGAATTCATTCTATAGGGATGGCATTTGGTGGTTTTCATGCCTCTCCACATGGAAACCCATTCTATAGGATCAACATTTCCCCCAGCTTTTGCTGAATGTCTCATGAAATCCCATTGAGTTGGGTGGAATTGGCACGGCCCATCATGAACTCACTACCCTTCAGCCACTCGGCATCGTGGCTGAATCATGGATAAAGATCAAGTATCTTTAAGATTATTCAAGCACCATGATTCAGCAACGTTTGGTCTCTTCTGCTAGATGCCGAGTGGCTGAAGGGTAACGAGTTCATGATAGGCCGTGCCAATTCCACCCAAGTCAATGGGATTTCATGAGACATTCAGCAAAGCTGGGGGAAATGTTGATCCTATAGAATGGGTTTCCATGTAGAGAGGCATGAAAACCACCAAATGCCATCCCTATAGAATGAATTCCTGACTGACTTCGCAGGAACTGGTAAAGAATAGGCAGCACTCTGACATGTGCCCAGGGTATCCCAGGGATGCTTAGGCCAGTACCTAGAATTGCCTAGATCTACCAGATCTGCGTCAATTCTTTTCAAGTGTTATCCCAGGGGGACCCCAAAGGATCCCAAAGGCATCTGCAGGATTCTGTCAGGTTTTCATTTTATAGGCATTAAACACGACATAAAGGCATGAATATGCATGTGCTTTCCCAGAAATAGGGTGAAGATGAGTGAAATCTGTTCACAGCGTGCTGATCTGAGGCTCTCCGTGCACCGGCTGCAGCTCCTGGGTCGTCAGCGTCTGTGAAGCCGGAGCCGGCGTCCAAGCCAGCAACGAGTTCATGAAAGGTCATGCCAATTTCATCCAATTCTTTCAAAATTCTTGAGAAACACAGCAAAAGGTGGGGGACATGTTGATCCTATAGAATGGGTTTCCATGTGGAGAGGCATGAAAAGCACCAAATGCCATCCCTATAGAATGACTTCCTGACTGACTTCGGAGGAACTGGTAAAGAATAGGCAGCACTCTGACATGTGCCCAGGGTATCCCAGGGATGCTTAGGCCAGTACCTAGAATTGTCTAGATCTACCAGATCTGCGTCAATTCTTTTCAAGTGTTATCCTAGGGGGACCCCAAAGGATCCCAAAGGCATCTGCAGGATTCTGTCAGGTTTTCATGTGTTTTTCCAGAAATAGGGTGAAGATGAATGAAATCTGTTCACGGCGTGCTGATCTGAGGCTCTCCCTGCACCGGCTGCAGCTCCTGGGTCGTCAGCGTCTGTGAAGCCGGAGCCGGCGTCCAAGCCAGCAACGAGTTCATGAAAGGTCATGCCAATTTCATCCAATTCTTTCAAAATTCTTGAGAAACACAGCAAAAGGTGGGGGACATGTTGATCCTATAGAATGGGTTTCCATGTGGAGAGGCATGAAAAGCACCAAATGCCATCCCTATAGAATGAATTCCTGACTGACTGCACAGGTAAAAAAATAGGCAGCACTCTGACATTTGCCCAGGGTATCCCAGGGATGCTTAGGCCAGTACCTAGAATTGCCTAGATGTACCAACATGTATCAGATCTGTGTCAAGGCTTTCCAATTGTTATCCCAGTGAATCCCAAAAGGGCATCTGCAAGATTTTGCCACTCCTATAAAATGAAAGCCCAGCCTCATACTGGCCACTGCTTCTAACAAATAATCCACTATAAAATGAAAACTTAGTCCAAGTGATTAGGAAAAAGACCCCCTATAGAATAGAAAACTGGGTTTGCAATGTCTCAAGTTTGGTATCATTTTTGGATACGTTTTTTTCCCAAAACTGGATGGGCGCAATCCAGGTACCATTCTATAGTAGAAACTGGCCTACCAACTTCATCTCTATAGAATCGTATGCCCAGGTTCTGTATTCTATAGAGATAATTCCAAGGAGGATTATGTGTGTGTGTTTATTCCTTCATATTTATGTGTGTGTGCGTATGATTGTGTATAATAGCATGCTGGGATATATTGAGATTTATTGAGCACACAACAACATGCAGAACATGACCACCACTGGGGAGATCAAAAACATCATTCAGTCACCCCAAAGAAATAATTACTGTCGATGACCGGTCCAAAACCTTGGCCTAAAAGGTGTCCGATGTTGACTGAGTCCAACTATGCCTGGTAATTCTATTATGGATCCGTGGCCAATTGCCAGGTACGCTTTCAAGTGATCCAAATTCCATCCAATTCCCATGAATACAGGAAAATCAATCGACCCAAAATCACCCAACTAACGTCTAGCCGTTTGCGGAAATGTGCGCTCGTTTTGCGTTTTTTTTTGCGCTCTTTTTGCCGGTTGCAATTTGTACGGCTTAGACCAAAACACAAACAATGATCGTTTTTGGCCCAAGCAACTTTGGTTGAGTCAAGACTAGCCCAAATAGCTTTGCAGGGGCCATGCGCTATGCAAAAATGAAAAAACATGTGATTTCTGAAGATTTGTGCGTTTTCTAGGAATTCATTAACGTTTTTAGAAATGGTATGGATTGCAAATGCGCAAAACAATGCTACGAACGAGATCCTTCACCAAGGTTGACTCTGATCACACCTGGGGTCAGATTCACCTTCTAGGTTCCCTGGCAGTAGAAGCCTGCAGGGCAAGGCCTGGTGAGGGCAAATGCAGCCAAGAAGTCTGGGAAAAGCTAAAGGGGAGGTTTGAAGGGAACAACCTCGGCAAATGGTGGTTTTTCGTTGATCTTTGGATTTGTCACTGCCAGTTCCTGCAAATTTAGCCTTCAAATCGAGAAATCCAGACCTGTGCTGAGTTTCCTGCCATAAAACCATATAAAACCAATAAAACCCTTCAAATATGATGTCATATGATGTTTTTTCTTCTCCACTCAAACGGTGTTTTTTTTTCTCATCGCTTGTCGCCCCGGATCTCCTGACAGGCCTGGGCGTCACCAAGCCGGACTCATTACAGAGCACCCCTTTGCCACAGGCCAAAGGTGGGCTGAGCCCCCCTCGAGAGCAATAGTAGCCCGGTGGGCAGCGTCGCACCTGGCGATGGGTCAAGTTACCAGTGAACCTGTCGACGCTGGGGGAGAAATCCATGAAAAAACGATGAATTTTGAGGGTATCCTATATAGGTATGGCTACCAGGATTTTGACTCATTGGCCATATCAGTTGTGGATGATGTGCGAACTCACCTTGAACTGCATTGATGGATAAATTGGAAGCCTGGATTGTTTTTTTAATGGTGGTTTAATGGTGATTAATTATGATTGATTGTGATTAATGGGAAATTCACCAACAAAATGGGATAGTTATGGGAATAATACCCTTTCTGGCTATTTAACACAACTATATGGAATATCATCATTTTTAAGAGGCAAATGATCATAAACCATCGAACCAGACGATCCAGTTTGCATAGCTATATTAAATAACCAGGGGGTCACATATATTCAAAGACTATCTGCAAGACACTCTGTGAGACATCCAGTTGGAAACATGGTTTGGGTAAAAAAACTTAGTGATAGATCGTGGAAAGACTTTTCGGCAGTATCTTTTTGGTACCCCCTGCCATTGATGACATCTGACACTAGTCAATCCCTAAGGAACTGATCCCTGGTTGGAAGGATATTCGTTCTGAGTACCAACATAGACTTGCTTTTGTACCAGCCAAGGCTGTAAGTGCCCCTTCCGCCTTCGCCGTGGAAATACCCATTCAAGTTAATTCTTCAGTTGACCAACCCAAAGCCAGTCACGTTTCACCCCACCTGCTCGCACCCCATGAACTGGATCAATCCAGGAGACAAATAGCTGGGCGAGTATTCTGCGCACAGGAGATGTGCCGGAGACAGCGGATTATGGGGGGCAGACAGGGCTTCAAGTCCCCAGAAATGCAGATTCTTCACCAACTTCCAAAGACGGGAAACTATCGAACTATCACCAGATTCTCGTCTAAGGGTTTCAACGGAACATAACCCTATGGGGTGAAGCCGAAGGGCTGTAAAATCCGGGGTCCGGGAGTTCGCGAATCCCACCTCAGTTGGCGAAGTCTCATGTAGTTGTTTTTTTAAAGACAATTCCGGGGTCAAAACTCATATAAATCTGGGGCTTTACAACATCTGGAGGTGTATAGACCAACATCTCAGTCACATGTCGAAAAGCATCGCCAAGAACATCGGACACCAATGGATACAACACCTGAACGACATTGAATCCAGAACAAAAAACATTACACATGCTAGCCTACATGTGGCTGGGAAACTCTTGGCTCCTTGGCTCCCCATCATTTAGGCAAATCTGGGGTTTTCTTAAAATTAGATAGCACAAATCAAAAAGTAACCCCTATATATATATTTCCCAAATGGTGGTTTCACCAAAGGTCGCCTTCAACAAATCTATGAATATGTGTTTGTTTGAATCTTGGGTCCCTCATTCCACCTATTCAAGTGTCCATACATGTCCATACAATGGGGAAGTATATCACATTGTCAGGTCCACACCCAAATATCATATTATACTGGTTGGTGGTATACCTACCCCTCTGAAAATATGAGTTCGTCAGTTGGGATGATGAAATTCCCAATATGATGGGAAAGTCATAAAAGCCATGTTGCAAACCACGAATCAGTTGGTGATGGAAATTTCTATAGAAATTTTGTATTCCATGATCCCATCAATATGTCCAGTAATATTCCAGTAATATTCCAACACAATGTCAACCCTGGATTAATAAACCCCTAGGCTGTTTAATTGGGCGGGTACCATTTAAGTATCAGATTATGACTATTGGAGGAGTACCTCCCTAATTAATGAACCATGGTTTATTAATCCGGGGTTGACATTCATCCAGAATCCCATGACTGGTTGGTGGTTTCAACCCCTTCTGAAAAATATGAAAGTCAGATTGGATCATCATCTCAACTACCCTCTGGAAAACTGTCACATAACATAGAAAATCACCATTTTATAGCTGGGAAAATCCACTATTTCGACTGGGCCATTTTCAATAGCTATTTTGACATAACCAGAGGGTATTGGGAAAAAAAAAAATGTTCCAAACCACCAACCAGATATAGTTGATTAGTCAGGTCATCCCGAGACCTCACATCGAAGCCCTGGGCCATCTGCGGTGGGCCCCCTGGGCCGCCGGGCGCGCGAATCCACTTGGGCACGAGCCGTGGGCGATCGCCACCGCGGCGTTTTCCGTTTCAAAGAAATAGAGGTCCTTGATGCGTGGGGCTGAAGCACAAGGTGGTGCCCCAGTTCGTTGGCAAGTTAAAAACACCAAAAACTATAGGGTTTATGATGGTTATCTCTATATTGGTAATGGGGATTATGATAACTTATAACTATACTTTATATATGCATTTATTTACGGTAGAATTATCTACAGTTACTATGGTTTGTTTACAGACGTTGACACATTAACTTATAACTGGGGAGGCACGACCTTGTAAGGAGATGACACCCAAATCCAAATGGGGGCATTCATTGGTGCGATCGAGAAAAATCAACAGGAGAAAGGGATGGGACAAGAGAATGATCTTGAACAATCAGTAATGTTAGTTGATCAGGAATATAAGTTTCAATAGTAATGTTGATGGTTTCAATCATTTTCAATCCATCACAATCTGAAAGACTTGTGAAAGTCGGGATCTGTACATAGATCCCGGCCCCTTATGGGGACCGACTTGAGCTGTGAGTTGTGAGCGTTTGGGAACGGGTCCTCCATGAATCATCCCAAAAAGTTAGAAATCATCCCAACAATTCAATATCCAACGGATATTCAACTAATCAACAATATCCAGTAATCAAAAGTTGGATTACAAATTGGATATTCATTGGATATTGAATTCATGTAATCCAATGAACAATTCAATATCCAACTAATATACCAGTATGGAATATGGATGAATATGGTCACAACCAGTCACAACCAGTCACAACCAGTCACAACCGAGTTTAAGAAATCCCTGGGATTCGGGAAGGGGTGTCGACAGGACATCTTCGATTTCCACATAGATTTCCTCACCATTTATAGCACATAGCTGGTTGGCATAGGTATATATATATATATACACAGCATGTATTACCATTTATAGCACATAGATTACCCTCTGGTAAACTAACATAGCTATTGAAAATGGTCATAGATAATACAGTAGTTGATTTACCCATAAAATGTGGCGATTTTCCATAGTTATGGGATAGTTTACCAGAGGGTAAACATATTCAAGTATCCATCCAAGTTTGACCCAGTTGATTTCTTCTTGCTCCAGAAACTTGGAGAATTCCCTGCCTCCATCGCCTTCACAGGCAGAGGCTTTTCGGAATCAGGCTCCCTGGCGAAGTCGATGAAATCCAATGATTCTGCGAGTTATATCTATAGATATGGGGGTTTCCGTAAATGGGGGTACCCCAACTGGATGGTTTATAATGGAAAATCCATCTATAAATGGATGAGAACTGGGGGTATCCGCATTTTAGGAAACCTCCATATACCTAGCTACGAGTAGCTAATCATCCAATGATTCCAAGATATCTATATCCTGCTTGTTGTTTGTTAAATCATGTTGAAACCATTTTCTTCTTCTGATAGATCTACAAGATTCCATATTTCGCTGGGTTCCAACACGTTGTCAGTTCAATCCCAGTTTTGTTTCCTGAACATGCCCACTTTAACAAATCCAACCTGGTGAGGTGTGGTGGTCTGTTTGGGGGACTACCAAATTTCATCAGCAAAAAACGGACACTTGCTTTTTAAATCTCAAATGGTATTCATGAGTCAACTCTCTTCTTTGCCGTCGTTTGATTCGCATCATTTTCTCGGTTGAATCATGTTGAATCCATTTGTTTGTGGTGAAACTGCAATTTCTTAGGTATAAATGGTTATCTGGTTGGTGGTTTCAACCCCTTTGAAACATATTAGTCAGTTGGGATGCCCAATATATGGAAAAAATGCAAACCACCAATCAGTTGTATCTTAGTTATAACAAAATCCCGTTGTTTTGCATTTTTGACTGATGTTGTTCTAAAATGATTGCCGATGTTGTTGCGCCAAATTCTTCACCGCATCCGCCCTGATGAGTTGGATAAATTGTTTTATCAACCTCTTCAGTAATCTCCGCCATGAAAAATGTAAATCAAATGGAGGCACTGTACCATATAAGGCCATATTTTGTAGGGATGTTCCCCAAAATTTAGCCCGGAAAAAAGGCCCTTTACATGGCCATTGAATCAGTCCCAATAAGACCAGTTCCAATATACAGTGCCTTTTTTGGAAACCCCAATAATTATGGCCTTATGCTAAGTAACTCCAATAGATTGGTTCCAATGGCCATTGACCGCCGCCCAGTCACAGGAAGTAGGGCACCACCCGTCGCTCGTCAGAGTGCAGCAGGCAGCTCGGCGCAGGACCAGCCGAGGCGTTGTCGTCGTTGCGGTCGCCTGGGCGACAGGGGTGGAAAGGATCCGGGTCATCTAAGGTGGTTTTGAACTAACTTAACTATGGTTTAATTATGGAAGATAATGGTAAAACTATATATATAATAATATGGATATATATAAAATAATTCATGGGTTCATAAACCAGTTTATAACTGGAGGGCATCACCTTTTGAGGAGGCAAGAAATATCAAGAAATTGGCGATTCACCGATGATTTCAGTGTTGCATCCAAGAATATCAAACAGTGATGGAACCACTACAGCGACAATCGACATTCAAAGAATCAAATCCTCAGTTCATATAATTATGAATTTGATCATCGTTTTTTTTTTGTGCTGCTTCAAAGACAAAAACATTCCGAATTCCCCATGTTTTTTGTGAATTCGGGTGGTCTACAAATAGCGATGCAGCAAACTGCTGGATTTCACCAGATCCACAACGGTGATTTCACCCGAACCCGGATTTCACCAGCAACCCGAGGCTGCCTCGACCAGCCAAAAGCATCAAATGATCAGCACGTTTTTGTCTGGGAACATCTCGTGGTGCCCAACATCTTGTCATGGTCATCGAACATGTAGTCCGATATTCTAGCAGTATATCATTGTATATCTAATATTCATATATCTATACATTGAATCTGGATGCCTTCTCCACCATTCAATGATTCATTCATATTCATTCATATTCATTCAACAAGTCATTCGTCGCATAGCGTCGCCGAGTTGCAGCTGCAGCTGGTGTTGCTCTTGCTGCTGCTGAAGGCTTTGCCATCGACACATGCATCGTTCCCGGCCGAAGCGATCGCGCAGAGGAAGCAAAGCTCCTGGTGCGGAGAGGATCTCAGATCCATTACATCCTGTTTGCATGATATACTACAACACGCACACACAGATATATATATATATATTATATACATTTATATATTTATGATGCGTATACTATACATATATATAATATGTATTATGCTTGTGCAACTGCAAATCCAACTGAAACTCAATACGCGATTATGTAAGTATATGCATGTATCTATAGTAGTATTCGTATATTGTTATGATTGTTTTCCTTCAAACTATCAATCTATCTCTGCATCTATCTATTGATTTGTCTATCTATCGAACTCGCTAGCTACATACACATGTGCATCATCTTCTATCTATCTATCTATCTATCTATCTATCTGCCTATCTATGTATCTATCTATCTATTTATCTATTTATATATTTATTTTTCTATCTATCCATCCTATATATTCTATATTCTATATACCCTCTCTATCCTATCTATCGTATCTATCCTATCTCTCTACCTATCTATCTACCTATTTACCTACCTGTTACCTATCTATCTACCTATCTATATCTATCTATATCTATCTATATCTATCTGTTCTATATATCTATATCTATCTGTATCTATCTATATTTATCTGTATCTATCTATATCTATCTGTATCTATCTATATCTATCTATATTTATCGATATCTATCTGTATCTATCTATATCTATCTATATTTATCGATATCTATCGATATCTATCTATCTCTATCTATCTCTATCTATCTCTATCTATCTCTATCTATCTCTACCTATATATCTCTATGTATCTCTATCTATCTCTATCTATCTCTACCTATCTCTATCTATATACCTCTATATATCTCTATCTATCTACCTTTCTATCTATCTATAGTAAAATGCATAGCATAGACAAACGCATGCTGTTTATACATCTGGATAGAGTTCTTGATAGTTGGAAGACAGCAACAAACTGGCATGTCTTCCAGTTGAATAGACCTTAAAAAATCATTCATGAAAGATTGGGCTTACCAAGCTCACTAGGACCCCGGTCTCAGCTACTCAGGGAGCATCCAGCTTCTTAAGGATTGGGCCATTCCACCACATTTTTCTCAGCATTAACTTTGCAATGCTACAGCATTGAAAGATGAAATGTGATCTATTGGTAAACTGTGATGCATCCGTTTTTTCAACAGGTGGCAGCTGAAGTTGCGCTAACAAGGCCAGTTCTTCTGAGTTCTTCTGCCGTGCAAACGGAGACAAGCTGATGTGGATCTAGACGTCCCTCAGCTGTTTTGGACAGAGCTCAGGCTGGATCGACGGAACCGTCTTCCAGGATCGCAGCAAACGCACGAACCGAGCCCTGAATCTGTTGCACTTTCCTCAGCTTGTCTTGGACCGGAGAACTGTCACCACCAAATCCTCGGGGGCCCCATACAACAACCGAGCGGTCTTCCAGGATGGCAGCAAATGCACCACCCATGGCCTGAATCTGCTGCACTCCCTTTATCTGATCTTGGACTGCAGAGTTATCACCACCAAATCTTTGATTGCCCCATGTAACGACAGAGCCATCTTTGAGGATCGCAGCAAATGAAGTTGCCGTAGCTTGAATCTGCTGCACAGCCTTGGGCTGATGTTGGACAGTAGAGCTATCGCCGCCAAATGTTTCATCACCCCATGTAATGACAGAACCATTTTCCAGGATGGCGGCGAATGCGCACCATGTTGCCTGAATCTCTTGCACACTCCTCAGCTTGTCTTGGACCGCAGAGTAGTTACCACCAAATCCTGGATGGCCAATGAATCATTTGAGCCGGACCTGCACCGTCATATTGGCTTATCTGTGTTGCAAGATGTTGCGAGCATGTCCCTCCATTTCCCTGTGATTTTTTGGTGCTCCATCCCCCGGCGACGTTTACCGCAAACGTGCGTGCAAACCTTGCCGTACTAAGCCAGAAAATCCTCCAGGAGGCTAATCTACATGTCTCCATGAGCGATCAAACGGGCTATAGTTCGATCCCGGCCTATCAGGGCCCCACCAGAGATGGACATTCTCAGTCTGAATCCCATCGAATCAAGTGCCAACAACCCCGGCAGTTAGTTACAACCGGCACTGGCAAGATCAGTGCCAACGCCATCTGACTGTAAATATCTGCTGTCCAGGGCCCAAACAAAACAAGTACGGCCCTGTGTAAGCAGGACTTCTAGACGGGATATCATGAGATATGATATCTCTATATATCTCTATATATATAATATCCATATGATATATATATATATATTATATATATATGTATATGATATATATATATATATATCCACTTCCTTGATCTTTTTTGTGGCATAAGGATGCAACAAGGGACCGCCCAAACATAGACCCCCCATGACCCCATCCCAACAAATCAAGGTCCCCGAATGTGAAACAATGCGAAGCACAGGATCCCATAGAAAATCCTTCTTTGATATTGGATCTATTATGATCTATTCATGTTGCGGTCCCGAACCTGGCATGTGCAATTAAGGCACCATTTCAGGATGGCTTAAACCATGTTAAGCATTCATTTTGAAGACGCACAGGATTGCATAGGTATATATCCTGTAATCTAGACTAATCTATGGGGGAAAATGGACTATTTTCAAGGTCGTTTTTCTGTTTCGATCCATCTACATCCATCCCCCCAGCTCCAGCAGGCGGCGCGGCATCGTAGTCAAGCGCTCAGGAATGTCTTGAACAACTCATCCTTCAAGGTTTATTACGGTTGTTTTTGGTGAAGATATTCTTGGGTATGAATCACCAACTAGATGCGGTTCTATTAATACATAAAATTGTTTTTCAATGTTTCAAATCAAATAAGTTTTGTCCTTATATGTCCTTATCATCTTTTGAGACATCTGAATGTCAGCTTGGGGCACCCTGATTTTTTTTGAACAAACTGTTGCAGATTTGGGCTTCGTTCAGATGTAGGTGCTCAATTAATTACGGGGAACAAGAGCCCTCTTGGACTTCCGGACATTCTCTAGCGCCCTATAGCCAAATGCCTGCGGAAATGGAGCAAATCATCCCTCCCAATGAAGAAAAGAGCCCGGCCGAAAGCCTGGTTTTGTAGTGGATCCGTTGTCGAGGATTCTCATGACACCACCGCAGGTGAGACAAAAAGGAAAGGCGGTGCGGCGGTGCCTAGAGCCCTAGGGATCTTTGAAAAGGATGCAGGTTGTTGAGAATTTAGCCCTCTGGTGATCAAGAATTTGCTATGGCAAACCATCTGGAAAACCTCCATTGTTTTGTAGGTGAATCATCTACTTTCACTGGCCATGTTCCGGCACTACCCAAGGCTGTGTGCGGTTTCCTGCTGAAGTGGAAAATCCATGGTGTGATTTTAGGGGCCGTTTTGAGAGAGGCCTTGGAAGATGTTAGAAAAACAGTCTTAGCTGCTTAGTTCATTACCCCACTTCTTGCCTAGAGTTAACATATTCTAAATTACTCAAGTGCCCCATTTTTCAGGTTGAGAATTGTGGATAATTTCAATTTAGATAACTGAGAATTTTTCTGGTTGATTTAACATATTCTAAAGTACTCAAGTGCCCCATAACAGTTCACCAACCTGAAAAAAGATTCGATGGATCATGTAGGTCGATATCGGTGTCCTGACGCCCTTACGCCCCGGTGGCCCCCTGAGATGATCGTCCTCAGGGACTGAAATGATTGAGCCCTGAATCCCTTTTCCTATCGGGATAGATGTTAAAAACATATTTAAACGTACTTCTCATCGCAATATAATGCAATATAGACTAGATAAATATATATGCATTATGCAGATCCGATATCTAAATTACATATAATAATCATTTCATATATGATTGTGGACGTCAGTAACGTTGCCGATGGCCGTTTGGAAGGTGCCAGTATACTGGTCTCTATTTGTCGCTTCGCTTCGCAGCGTTGTCAGACTGGGTTTCAGCCAAGGTTCAGGCCCTGCTGAAGCCTCCCTACTGTACAAGTTACGTAACTGCACCAGTTGAAGCGTCTTTTCCGGGCATGTGTCCAGCATGATGTAGCAGGATGTTTTGTGTTGGCTGCTTAAAGAGGGGTTCCCACCAATTTTGATCATTTTGGGCTCCTGGATCGACTCACCTGTTAAGCCTCTGTATCTGTATTCAGCGTCCATCGAACCCCCAACAAAAACACAAACTGATTTGTATAACCGTTGCAACTCTGCAAATTTTGGGACATACTATATTACCATCTGTTTCCAGACTTGCCCGTACCATCTGCACCCGGCTCGTGGGACACGCCCAGGTGTGGTCACAAACATGAATCCGACTCGCTCACTCGGCGCAATTCTGGGGCCAAGCGCTGGAACGCTTCTTTGGCACCTGAGAGATGTGTAGAAAGGATGGATCAATACGGTACATTGTCAACCCCCGGATCCGAATTGTGTGAAAACATGTCATTAACACCCCTCGACTGTTCATCCAACTGGGTGGGCAGTCGATTTTTTAGCAAATGCTATTTTGGGGTTCATCACTCTAATTAGTCAGGGTTTAGTAGTAGAGTAGAGGTTTCACGTTATGCGTAGGTGAACAGTTTCAATTGAATCACTTTGGGCATCCCTTGGGCAAGTTCCAGTCACTGGAGCTGTCAACCCTTGCATACCTGGAAGGTATAGACTTTGGATGGTACACCCGTACACCCTTCGTTTTATGATATGTATCAAATCAAAGCATCAAAAATAAATGCTATTCACATCTGATGTAAATTTAGGACGAAATCTAGCCTATGCCTTCAAAATCCGTATATCAATCCTTCAAATAGGTCTGCCTGAAAAAGGGCGCCCCAAAATCTCACTGCCAGAATTTTCCCAGTAAAAATCCATGTACCCTCTGGTAAACTAACGTAACTATTGGAAATCACCATTTTAAATAGGTAAACCACCTATAAAATCTATAAATGGGCCATCTATACCATGGCCATGTTCAATAACCAGAGGGTATATCAATGTCATATAAAAATCATTGAGCAGTCGCCAGGTTCTTCTCCGTGCCCAACAGACTGTGCGTCTGCAGAAGCTCCACGGATCTCCACGGCACGCGGGTGCTGTGTCTTATCGGGATGCACCAGCAGAGCCAACTGCTTCACGGCCATCAGTGGACCTGCGGCTTCCCGCAGGTCTTTGGATGGTCATGGGGAATTGGCCATTGAACATTACCATAGAAATCCATAGAAATAGCCATGAAAAATTGTGATTTTCCATAGCTATGGGAGTTGCTGGAAGCTTCATGGATCACCTCACGAATGGTAACTGATTAGCAACTGATTTTTTTTCGATGAAATGGGATAATTCGGGATAATCCATCACTAAATTTGATGATCCTCCAAGCATGGAAGGTTCATGGAATATCTTGGGCTTCACACATTAAATATCAAGATAGATTGAAACTTCAAATTGCTGTGCATTTTCATTGTATTCAACCCCGTTTTTTCCATGTGGGATGATGAAATCCATGGTCGTTCACGAATAAATAGTCCAACTATGGATGATGTGGGAGGTCGCCCTGTTTCCGGAAACGTGATCTGCAAATGGAACTTCACGAAGTGCTTCCATTCTTGAGCGGGCAAAGAATGAGAATCCTCCTGAAGATGTATCATCTATATGCCTGACGGATCTTGAAACTGGACATGTGAGTAGTGTTTTACATCCTTGTCTTTAAGGGATGCCTACGCGAGCCTATGTGGTGTAGGCTTTGCCTACGCGGCCATGCCTTCTTTTTGTTTTCGATTGTGGCATGAGGCTTTGGAACCACAAACCACAAATATCACAACCAAAACAACATTAATGAGTTCTAACTCTTGCCAACGCGTGTCTACACGAAGCCTACGCGGTGTATAGGCAAACACGAGCCTACGCCAATGCCTACTTAACCTACGCCGTCTGCATGGGAGCCTACGCGTGGGGCATAATATATCTTGTGCAGTTCCCACTTTATCTATTTTTCTGTATCCTGATTTAAAAAAACGCCGCTCATGTGAAATTTATGTATATTTAGATTCACTGTTCACTAGGTTAAGTCTTATCCTGTTACGCAAACCCTAAAAATGTCATGTTGCTGTGGAATGGCTGGTCACCATTTTTCTACGCATTCCAACGTGGAATATTGGATTCCGCACGCCCCCATATCCGGTTCAAATTCCAATAGTTTGAGAACTTGAATTGGTTGAATATGGTTGGATGTCCTAATGTCTTGTTTTTTTAGTACAGTACCAGTCTCCATTGGGAATGCATCTCCGCAACAGCCCCCAAAAAAATTGCCTGCGGCGCCAGCCAGAAGTGCACGTAGGGCCGTTTGGGTGCTGGGGAGCGCCTGCAGCTGGGGGCTACCACACACTGGGTTCCAGTTTTTGCTGAAAAAAGGAGTATCTGATATATCCACGAAGAGTATGTGTGTGTGGTGATGTGTGCAAGGGAATCTATGTGCATGCATGGAAACATTACATCTAGGTATGCTACCTACGTCTGCATATGACTCTCTCTCTCTCTCTTTAAAAAGCACACACATATGCACTTAAAAAACTTATGTATATGTATGTATATATATATTTGAATAAATAAATAAATAAATATAAATAAATAAATATATATATATGTATGCGGACGTATATATAGACATAGAGAAAACCGTAATTTCAAGGGCAATGGCTCGTAAACCTTGGGTTTTCTACGCCAATCCCTGCAGCCCAAGCATCTTCTGGAAGAAGCTTGCCGTCTCCTGCGGATATCGAAGCTTCTCTGCGACTGGATTGTGCATCTCATTTCATAACTGGGCATATCTGTACACTGTACATGCATACATCTACGGAAAGCGGTTTTCCTTTTTACCGTTTGGTTATTTAACGTAATTAGCTATGGAAAATCACCATTTTGGATAGATAAATCATCACCAATCCTCTATAAATGGACCATTTTCCAGTTCGCTATGTAACAAATAACCAAAGGGATTGTTTTTTTTTTGCTATGTATCTAACTATCTCTGGATAGTCTATCCGTCTATCTCTCTCTCTCTCTCGTCCCACAAGGACTACCCCGAAAAGTCTGCACAGCGGGGGGGGGAGGAAAAGCTTCTCCATGCAAAATTCTATCACAGTGATCTGATCTAAATCCAAACTGACTTATCTATTGCCAATATACATATGGACACAAACGCAGATGCATACAAACAATATACTTGCATTTGCATGTATACATATACATATACATGTGCATAGACATAGACATACATATACTTACATTACATTACGCTACATTGCATTGCCTTGCCTTGCATTACATTACATTACGTTACGTTACATACGTATATAAATATACATATAAATACACATCTAATATACACATAAGACTATATAATATACATGTCTGTGTGCAACTGAAACATATGCTTTACTTCAATCAAGGTCGAAAGGTGGCAGAATGAGAAATCCACCTTGCAGGGCTGACAGCACCATGATGGCATCAGCGCCCAGAAGTAGAGAAAGGTGAACCGCTAGAGCCTTGGTGATCGGAAACCATCCAGTTGGTGAATGAGACATATATCATCATGCTTCATCATATATCTGTAGTTAATGGTGGAACTAATCTGTAGTCATTGATGGGAAAATATTGGTGGTTACATACCTATAGTTAATTCACATGATGGCTATATTAAATCACATATATATATATATTTAATCTATAGTTAATGGTGGTTTTAAAGCAATAATGTGAACATAATGGGAACATCATCTAATATAATTGGCAATAATGGGTATATAACCAACAATAATTAGTATTTACCCTCCAGTGTCATCAAACATGGCTAGCTGGGAAATCCCCTGGCAAATGGAGGTTTGAATGTTTTATCATGTTTTAATGGGAATGGGAAAATCATCTACCTACTATATGACCGGTGGATTTTCCATTGCCACGTTTGCTTGCCGACGGGCATCAGTTGTTTCATGGCGATCCAAACCATCGTGCGTAAGGATTTCGACCAAACATATGTGAATCTACTTGATAAATCTTGATAAAATAATGGTTGGCTCATGATTTTTGGGAGGTTATACGACCCCGGCCCGTTGTGTATTAATTAATGGGGGCTATCATAATCCCTGAGCTAGGAACCCCTGAAGAACGATAGCAGCCATGCTTCACAAGTCTAGCAGTCATTAGCAGTCCAGGTATGTCCCATGAGCTGTGGGCTTCTCTCATGTTTAACTGGGTTAACCAAACCTTAAATAAGCCGTAATGATCCAGATGATTTCCCGCACATTGATAAACATGGTGAGGTCGTTGTGAGGAAACCAGACTTGGCGCAAATGAATGGTTGTTTCATTGTGGCGAAGATTCGCTGACAATGGTGCACCAGGATGTTTGAAGAAAGGCATGTTGCATGATACCCAGAATATCTCTTTGTTGGTGTCACCACTTGAAAAAACATCAACCCAAGATTTGAAGTAACAGAGAGGTATCTCTCTTCCCAATCATAGCTTCGGAGACCATGTCAAATTCTGAGCCGGTCCCCTGTTGATGTTCGTCACTTCGGTGTTTTGATGGCGTCCCATTTTTTCCAAAGCGAAGGGCACAATATTCAACGCTTTTGCTTACTTCTGTATCATCAACATTGGTGTCAATCAACCATAGCATTCAACGCAAAGGCCACAATATAATACGATATAATATGCATCAACATGGGCGTCAATCAAATCACACCACAATATGATCACATGCCTTTCCTTCAGTTGTGGCTTGCCTTTCAAAAAGGTTTGATGATCCTTCATTGTGACATGCCAGTAACATGAGGCCCAAAGAGTACACGCAAAACAACAAGCTGGAATGGAAATTATATACAATTCAATATCTTGTAGTGATATGCTCAGATTACTCCGACACCCTCTTCCGACCATCTCGGGGTGCATATGTTAACAATCTCAGCGGACCAGCAATCCCCCCAATCCCCCTTGCAACTGAAAGGCTCTCTCCAAAGAATCGCAAACACCTGGAGAATAATGGGGTCACGAGGAGCCACAGTCCTCTTAGTGGCTGATGACCTAGGACCTGCAGTTATAAAAACCCTTGAAGCACTTTTTTAGATACTGCAGGTGTGGCTTATTCCAGGGCAAGGGCTTCAATAAGATCTCCCACCATGCTCTTGACCAAAAAACTTTTGGATGCATCACTGCATCATATGTTTTTAGTTTTTTGCCTGGAATTTGCCACTAATTCTTGAATGGATCGCCCATTTTTATGGCTACCTACCAAACCCAAGCATGGTAGGTACTGTAAGAGTCTAAAAAATCGCCTTGCTGAACATCTTGACGCGCAGCTTGCAGGCTTGCTAACACCTGCCGGTTGGAGCGGTAGATAAGCTCCACGAAAGTGGCAAGAACCATGATGAGCTATATAAATTGGTTGGGCACGGGGAACATTTTCGTGAACTTGTTGACTTTTTCAAGAAAGTCCCAAAAACAAAACGGGTTGAGCATTGAAGGATTGTCAACAGAGGTGAGAATATGAATAATACAAAGACTAAACAGGCTAGCAGGACCATCATGTAGCATGTACAGATAGGAACTACCTCTCATTTTGCTACCGATGTCTCACCGAAGATTGTATTCGTTCATCAGGAAAACCCTGGAGTGACTTATAATGTATGCAGGAGGCGCTTGCGCTTGTGTATGTTGTTCGGGTGGGTGTTTGAGGGGAGAGATGCCTTTTTCATAAGGATTTACTTGGCTTTGAATCACATGAAGTAACATGTCATTATATGTCACTATATGTCATTACAACACAATTTAGTCATGTTGTCCATTATTTGCACAATCTTGTTGCTTCACTTCTCCGTTCACAGTCGGCGAAATGCCAATGTATCAACAATCAAGCCAGAATGACTGGCTATATGTCCGTACTACTGGCCCGAATGTCCGTGCTACAAATCCACTTTCCTGTTTTTGGGTGGGAATACCAGGAATTTTCTAGTCACCCTCTGCTAATTTAACATAGCTATGGAAAATCATTATTTTCAATGGGTAGATCCGCTACAAATTGCCATTTTCAATAGCTATGTTAAATTACCAGAGGGTATTCCAAACGGTTTGTTGCCGATAAATCTTTGGAAACGCTGAATTTTCGCTTTTTCCGGGGTCAAATCCCCAGTGTATCCCCGGGTTCTGTTTTTCTTCTGACATGGCAAGGGGTGTGATCTATCAACGCTGACATGGCAACCATTGGCTAGCACAAACATCACAAAAGGGATTAACATACAGGGCTCATTTTCTGTTTTGTGACTCCAATTTCACCAAAAATCATTCGGACAGTAGTGTGGCAAGCCTAAAAACCCAATAATAAACCTCCAATTGTGGAGGGTTTATACATCCATTTCAGGTGAACTTCGGGATAGTGTATTTTTTGGATTGCCACATTGGGGGCTTATTGTCCCAATACGTTGATCTACAAACCTCATTAATTCGTTCGGTGTATCTACCATGACTCAAAGGATTCACCGAGTTATTTCAACTATGATGATATATCATGAACATATTTTTGCTATGTTGTGACTATAGTATACTATATGGCTATATATCTATATAAAATCTTCTACAATACATGGAATGTACACACCATTACACCAGTCTTTATCAGACAGGCCTCAGGAAGTTCTTCCCGCAGTTCCCGCAGTTCCCTCCGGTTTGGTCGACGGCAGGGTCGAACTGCTTCAGGCTCCTGACCACCGGTCATGGCTCAGATCATTATCAAATATGATGGGAATATCATGGGAATATCGTGGGAATATGATGGGAATATGATGGTCATGTGATGGTAATGTGATGGGTATGCTAAAGTTAGATCAGTTAGATCAGGTTGGAGGTTTTTATCTTGCGATTATCACTTATCTTGTATCATGTTCATGCTTTGTCTCTCTCATTTTTTTGTGTCCAAAGTTGTGCTTTTGAACTTTTAACCTTCTGCACATGCATGAATCAGAGTGAAATTGCTTGGCTTGTCTGCTTTGCCCACAATCATAGCCCAGTATCAATGAAAACATGGGCAACTGACAGGTTTGTAACGATAAACTGGCGAAAAAACAGCATCTGAGCTGAACATATTATGAATGCTTCAGGTTTCAATCCGACCTGCCTCCATGTCCTGCTTTGGGCTCGTCTTTGGACTCTCCAATGACTGCACTGCCGAAAAACCCAAAACCCTCCATGGCGGCGCGCCTGACTCTGTCCCTCTCGCTGCTGCCGTTGCTCCTTCCGTTTCTTACGGCTGTTGTTCTTTTCCCACTTGTCGCGGAGCTCTCCCCTGGGCGACCCCTGACCTCTTTGGACCAAAATCTCACTTGGCCGCCAAAAAGTCCATGACTCATACGTTTTTAAATGGAAAAGTCCCTGAAAATTGACATTTCTCAAAGCTGGGAAACACCAAGCACATAGTTTACACTTCAAGAGCAGGCTCGTCTGAACGGACATTGGGGGGCCATCCGTCACAAGAATCTCGTGTTTGATGCTACCTTTTTTACTTCCAGAAATAGCAGCAAGCCCTGGACCTTTTCAAAAACTTAACATTTAGTGGAAAATTGCACCCACCCTAAGTCCAACATGGCACCCCAAACATGGTCTTTGCAAAATAATTTTACCATTGGATTGGATTAGCTGATTAGCTATTTTCGGGCTCTATCTCAAATTCTTGGGGGTGTAAAGAACAAAATCATCCACCCAAATGGCTAAAATTTCCCCGCGCTGTCCAGGAATCAGCAGGAGACATTTGTTTGAGCTAGGTTTGAGCTAAATCCACCTGTGACTTCCCGCTACTCCCAACGTCCCCCGACCATGCTTTGATGAAGCTTGCGTCATCCTGCCAAGCTTCCGCTGGCGTGGCTACCAAATGAGATGACGCGGAACCAAATAGAAATCGTACCCACTGGTGATTGAACGTAGGTATGGAAATCGCCATGTTTAATACGTAAAAACATCATACATCAACATACATACATCATCTATAAATAGGCCATTTTCTATAGCTATATCAAGTAACCAAAGGGTACAGACGTTTGTTATCTGGATGTTCTTGAATGTGCTTGAGAGTGCTCAAACTTCCATCAATGTGTCTTATGACTTGCTTTTCCTACAGGAAAGCCTCATGTCTGATGGTTGCAACCCTGATTTCTGGCCATATAAAATGTCCCGATATTTAGGTTTGTCTGAAAGTCGGGTACATACCCAAACTCATCATTCTTCCAGAATAATTATTCAGAATAACCATTTGGGGGTTACACCTCCACAGCTGAGCTGGTTTTGTGGCTGCCGTCCTGCACGTAGAAGTCTCGGTTCAGGTCAGTGCACCATTTCTTCAAGGTGGCCGGGGGCAAGCCGTCTCCTTAGACTCGGTGCGTTGCGTTGCGGGCGACCAGAATTCACCAACGAAAATGGGGAAGTCACCAAGAAATAGTCACCCAAGCGATGGAACATGATGGAACCGAGAAGGATCTTAATTATAGTTAGTATATAATTAGATTAGTTTATGGTTCCACTACGTTCCGCTCATGTGATCTCATGTGAGCTACTGTAGAAGAATTGTTCTTTTACAACTGAAAACCAAGGCGCTTTTGGCATCAAGGACGCACTTCTTCACGGTGTAATCGTTCACAGCGTGCTTCTCACCTTCCGGGATCATCCATCGGATGGTGATGGGAAAGGGCTCACCCATGTCATTCCCCCAAGGGGGCCCGGGCTATTGTTAGAATTTCTCCAAAAATACAGCTGAGCCTTGGGATTTCAATATGGGTTTCTCTAAAAAATGGGATGCCTAAGTCCATCCACTGGTGAATCATCGCTTTCCCGAACAAGCGACCCTTTCAGATCCATTTCAGGGAAAAAACTTAGGTCTCAACAAGGTGATGCTCCAGTTTATTAGCTACCTTGATCTATAAGTAGGTCTACCTTAGATACATCAGACATGATCAGACTAGTTAACGGGGTTTATCAACAAACAAACATAACCATCGACATGTTGGGAACATGTTCAGTATATCTCTATCTATCTATCTGTCTGTCTGTCTATCTGTCTGTCTATCTATCTATCTATCTGTCTGTCTGTCTGTCTGTCTGTCTGGTCTATTTATCTCTATCAATCCATCCATCCATCCATCTATAATCCCATGCCCCATTCATACTAAACACCCCTCTTGTGTGGTCCCATACAAATAGGTGTTTTCATCGCTAAACCCTGTTTTCCAGGGGGTGCACTAATAATTTAAAGTTGCAGGGAGGGATATCCGGGATAGGGCATGTTTTGCCCACAAAAATCTGATCTGGGTAAATTTTTGCCCCCTGTTTCCAACATGTTTTCCGGAGTGTCCTAAATATCTTGCAAGGCATGTTTTGCCCACAAATTCGCTCCGGTAACTTACAATAATTATCAAGTATTCACTATAATGGAGAACTACGGGACCACAATAATAGTGGATAATCAATAATCTGGGTAAATTATAATAATTCACCAACCCGAACTAAGGCCATTTGGGGATGATTTCCCTTATTAGCCATGATTTCCAGTGAGGTCGTTATAATTTACCCAGAAAAATTATCTATCAATTATTCAATAATTCACCTGAAAAGTTCGGCTGGGGAGAGTTACCCTAATCCAAAGCATAATTCCTCTGAGCTCGCAGGGTTTAGTCAGTATCCCACCTTCCACAATGATGACCCCCAATGATGACTGCTATCCCCAGAGTTTTCCAGACATGTTTGATTACCGGAGGGTATTCGATGATCTACCAATGTTAATATCCACTAACTACCATTGTTGACAATGAATAATGAATCACCATTATCAACCATAGCAAATAGATGTGAATAGCACTGTTTCGCCCACAATTAATCATTACAAGAACCATTAAATTCCATGACATCATAGTAATTCCCACTATCAACCCCTAAATCACCATTAACAACAATTAAATCCAATGAAAACCCCATACTAACTTCCCGTTATGAACAATTGCTTACCACAGCTACTCGATGGTGAGCACCAGCCTCCTTTCGAGGCCATTCCGGAGCCAAGATGCGAAAAAAGGGGCTGCGCGCTGTCTTGCTGGAAATCCTCTGTTTTAATTTCGCATTTTGAGAGGTTCCTTTAGGTTTTGAGATGGATTTTTTATTGGTTTTGACAGGTTTTGAATAGGTTTTGATATTGGTTTTGACAGGTTTTGAATAGGTTTTGATAGTTGTAAATTATTAAACTAATGGAGTTTGCTTGACTTGATTGTGTTCAACGGATTTTAGTAGGTTTTAAACAATTTTTAAATGGGAAAATCGTCAATGGGGGGATCTCAAGCTCCATCCCTTGCATCTGTCGTTAGTGTACCGCTTAGCTCTCGCAAGCAGCAAGTTGTTGAGCAAAGTGAAATTCGTGGATGTGTTCGGTCAAAGGAAGTTGCTTCAACAAACCTGCTGGTGGCATGGCAACGGCTACATTCTTTCAGTACATGCTTTATGATGTTCTCAGCTTGTCACATCTGCTGAACTTTGTGGCGTGAAGTGCTTGCAGCATTCTGCTGAGTATGATGAACCTTTACAGCACACTCTGACTGAATATGAAGACTACATGCCGAAATTCATCCGCCCAACTTTTTCTTCGACGTTGTCAAGTTTTGCCTAGATGAAGCTTAAGTTTGAGCCTCGGCACAGCACCGCAACGTTAGGTGAACTCACACCGGCCATGAAGAGAGCTATACATGTCAGTACTCGCCAAGAGTATGAAGCATAGTGAAGCATGGCCATCCTTGGATACCTTGCCTTTTCGCTGGCAAATCTATGTTGAAAGAAAGGAATCAGTGGAGGAAAAAAGGATTAAGGAAAGCTTGGAAGCGAAGGAATAGAAAGTGACAAGGAAACAAACAAAAACAGAGGAACAAAATAATGCAAGTTAACTGAGAAGGAAAGCGAGAAAGCACAATATATAAAAGGAGAAACCCCCCTCAAAAAAAAACAAAAAACATAGAACTGCAGGGTACAACAGACAAAGAAACCAAAGGAAAAAGGAAAATAAGGAAATTACATGGTACAGGAAAGCAAGCCACTATAATGCAACCAAACTCGAAAGAAGAAAGTAGAAGGAACCACCAAAGAAGAAAACAAAAGGAACATTGAAACACCTTGGAGGCAGTGACACCAACCCAGGAGTCGCCAGCAACTCAGTGGTTTTCTTCAAGGCTCTCCAGTCAGGCTGCTGTCATCTGGCTTGACTCAGCTGTCAGATCTCGAGCTTGGATCCAACGTCGATATTTGATGCTGATGCGATTGATCTTACAACGTGAAAAAAGGCGACGATACAGAGATCTGTTGAAACTTGACATCAAAAAACAACTACACCATACTACACCCCGGAAAACTGACATGGAACCATGAAACTCCCATCAAAATTGAATTGGAGGATTCGGATGCTTAAAATGAGCAACTTACGGGTTTCCACGTCAGTCATCTGGGGGTGGTCAGGCTTGACTGGTCCAGATTATCAGATTGGGGGGATTCGCTGGGTGAGCCAAATTGAAGCTCTAGCCCAGCTACGTGATGTGCAAATTCCGGCGGCACAAGGGGCAAGTAGCGCTTCGCTGCAACCTCAGTTGATACTGTAACTCTCTGGTGGCACACGGGGTCCCAAAATGATCTGGCCATTTGCATGCCTGAAATGGGAACATGATGAACATGATGAACACATGATTCTCCGATAAATTTCCCCAACAATGACATTTTTCAGGTTTTTGCTTGGTTGTTTGTGCTCTTTTTTTTCGACCAGGCCATTGGCTTTCCATCCTCTCCATCCTGCCATATCCTGCCATGAATTCTTTGCCCAGGCCACCATTCTTTGGCGCAACTCTTGTGGAAGACGTGCCACGTATGGCCGTCGCTGTCGCACAACAAACAAATCCTGAGCCGTGCCCACAAAGAGCGCCTGGGAAAATTGATAAAGGAACGGGGGATGATATTCATTGAGTCAAAAATTAAGCCCCATGGAACCACAGATTTCGGCATATTGCTACATAACATTTACATACATTTACCATCTTATAATTATATTGAAATACCTAACTTTCATTCTGACCCATACTAATTTGGCCCCAGGTGACCCTATCAATGATACGTATGGTTTATGGCAATTTATGGGGTGATTCTTAACCACCAACAGCCACGTTCATTTCTGGGGCGAATCGGCACACCGAACCCCGGGGGGTGGTTGAAAGTTGGGATCATTTTTTCCCGGGTCAAAATGCAATCCCATCCCCAGAGAATATGAGTAAAAAAGCACGCTCCAAATGGTCCCAAGATGTCCCAAGTAGGCGGAAATCCCTTGCTAAGCCTTCATTTCTAGGGGGGAGTGGTTTCAATCTTAGGGGCAGTGGATTAGCGGTGATTAGTGCCTCTGTGGGACGAAGCCTTCTTCACCACTTCCACCAATGAAGAATGGCCAAAAAATAACCAGGATAGGTACCCCCCTTTAAAAGGCGGAAAACGAGTAAAATCATGTAAAATCCTACTTTGAAGGAGTGGGTGAATGCAACTTTGTTCATACCTTTTCTTAGCTGATCTTTTTGGAGGCTGCTATGATACACACCCAATTGGTCCAACGGTCACAGCCCAAACATCAGCACTGTTTAGGCAAGCAGCTCTTGATCTGTCTGCGCAGATTCGCTCCCTGCAGATGATACGGCGACGGTCGTGATGTGATGATGTGGTGATACCGTATAATGATGAGGTGCTTAATGATGGTGATGATGATGATGATGATGATGATGAGTATTGATGATGGGTGATTGGTGATTGGTGATTGGTTATTGATTGATGATAGTGATGATGATGATGATGATGATGGTGGTGGTGGTGGTGGCGGCGGCGGCGGCAGCAACGATGATTGTGACAGTGATAGGCCAGTTTGTCCGATCCCATGGCCATCTGGCCTGGTGGGGAATTCGTACTTGTTACTTGTTTCTCTTTTCGGCCGTGATTATATATGCTACATTCATCAGATTCTGAACATATCCCAAAGATTCCTAAAGTGATACAAAAAGAGTCACAGGCAGCAAAGCACCCCAAACAGTAAGAACATCATAATTTCTCTCTGTTGGCAGCTTTCGCAACGGGCCGGCCTCCATTCCCAGGGGCATCCTCTGTACACCTGGCTACCGTGACCATGGCATCGACATGGCATCCCCATGCCCCCCCCAGCGCCACCGCACCCTGTAAGGCAAATGCTGCAGCTCCAGGTCTCATTGGGCTTCAGGCCCAATGGGCATCCACTGTTGGGCAAAACGCTGTCCTTACCACCGGGGTCTTCCGGGATGTGGCGGAGCCAGCCATAAAGGGGGATCTGGAGAGCCTGAGAATTCTCCAGAGATGGTTTTTGGGTCGTGATTTTGCAGGGGAAAATGTGGAAAATCTATAGGAAACCTATGCGTTGTTCTTTTCTTCGCATGTTTTCAGCAGCAAATGTTGCGAAATTATCCCTGGCAATGGTCCCTGAGACCATTTGCTGAGGGACGCATCACCACTGAGCCCTTCCCAATGTCTGGTCAGTACCCAGCGGTACCCAGGGCAAGTGCGGGTATAAATCACGACACACACTTCAGCAATCCCAGCATATTTTTGGTGGTTGAGCAGCATTCCACGATTTTCGAAGTACCGAAAAAGATGTGGTATTCCACATCAACTACTATTGGATTATTCGCAAGCATGCTTTGAAGTCATGTATCCAATGGTGTTTATCCAGCGAGCCTTGTAGTAAGATTACGAACAGATCAAATGGAGGTTTCCTAAAATGGGGGTACCCAGTACTCCCAAATCATCTGTTTGAATAGGATTTTCCACTATAACTTAAAACTTATAACCAATACATTTCGGGGTACCACCTATTTTAGGAAACCTCCAAATAGGCGAACCACCGATTCAGTCTGCCATGGTGCTATGGGAATCTGCCGCTCATCTAACCACCTGGAAATTGTCCCTGCGCAGCAGTGAGGGGCAACTGAATTTTGGGATCAATGGGGGATGGGTCACATCCAAACATGTCTAAAAACTGTGCAGATAAACATGCAAAACTTTCTCTCCGTTGTTTTGAGCATGTTTCTCCCCGGTACAGGCTGCAAAGATCCAGATCTCCAAACACGTTGAGGCGTCAAGCATGCGCATGATTTCGATTTGCGCAGTTTTCAGGCAGTGCGTGACGTGAAAAGCACACGTCAAATTGAGCAGGCAAAAGCAATGCAATACATGGAAATGCTTCATGACCATGCTAGGAAAGTCCCGAAACTCAAAAGCAACAGTCAACCTCAAATGCAACGAAAAAAAAGCAACAAATTCAACATTGCCCATGTTTTTCCTAGCAGCTAAACCCCTTTGTTGTTTCACAACCACACCTTCATCCAGACCAGATTGCTGCTGTTGCCAATTTCGACCAAGGTGTTGTTCCAAAAAGACTGCCAGAGGCCCTGCATGCCCTTGGTCGGACTGGTCGTCAGCCGAAAAACATCTCCACGGCTGGGCCTTTGGAAATGGTGTCATGTTGGAAAATATTCAGTATAATGTGGGAAAACATTGCTATAAACCACCCATGACTGGGAACGGTCTATACATGTTTATACCACCTACTTATGGTGATTTGGGGGATGGTTTACTATTGTTTTACCCACATTACTCAAGCACTTGAAACAGAAAACATTGGTGGAGCCATTTGAGCATATTGGAGCGCTAGGCTGAGCGGTCCAGGTCGGCACCAAGACTTGAAGTGTTTCGATGGTTATTTGAGCACTTGTGGTGCAAATTCACGGCTACAGATTGGTCCGATTTTAGGACAGAACCCAAACCCAATTTTGGTGGCACCCAGCGACTGGAAACCATACCCACACGTACAGTAAATGCCACGTGCGTATACTTGGGGTACCGTCCCCACCGGCCAAGCTGCTCAAAATGTTGATGCCGCCTTGCAGCTTCCAGAATGGGTGAGTTAAACGCTGAACCTTGATCGGAAAATATAATATATGGACCAACGGGGGTTTACGGCAAACTGCTGCCTGCCCTGTGCCACAGGCCAAAGGGACATTTTCTGGAATCATCAACCAGCACATTGCCTCGCTTTACACATGAAAACTTGACTTACCCTCAGTGCCCGGCAGAAATATGCGGAACAGCTCTTTAAAGAGAATCTTCCAGAGGCCATATAGATGTGGCTATGGTGATTTCATCCCCATTATCCCCATTCACTCCTAGGTCCCCAGCATACCATGGCGGAACATGCGTAACCCGCGGCCCATCAGAAATGCAGCGGCACCCGTTCCCAGGTGATACCATGTGCTGCGATGAACGCGCCTGATGCAATGATCGTCATCTGGTTTCCCTGCTGTTGGATCCACATTCGATCCTCTTCACTGAGCCCCTGTCAGTGCTGTCAGCGTTTGGTGAGGGACCCAGAGATTGCACTTTGGAGCCCGCGGGAAACACCTAACTTCACAGCAGCAACTGCAATCGAAAATGGCTGGGGACCCCAATGTTGGGGGAGTCCATGATGGTTTTGAGTGGGGAGCCCGCGGCCAGACTGCACTGTTGATATTGTTGCTATAAATGGGACTCGCGGTGCTTAAATGGGACTCCACCTGAACATCATATAGTCCTTCCCTGTTATCGGCCATATGCACCCCAATTGGTCACAACATTCATAGCATATTGAACCAAGAAAAAATAGTAGCAGCAAACCCAAAACATAAAACATCCAAGCAGGAAGATCGGAGGGATTCAATCCATCCAGCAATATTGGAGTTTGATTTGTCATTGGGTTTTTACTGCGTTATCATGGTAGAAGCCATTCGCCCAAGTTTTCTCAGCGCACTCCAGGCCTGTGTATTGTGAATGACCCGCTGCACGCCATTGTTCTTAGCAGTGCATCAATGATTACCTGGGGGGTTCCTGGAATGGGGGTACTGTATGTACCCCAAAATGGATGGTTTGTAATAGAAAATCCTACTAAAATGGATGATTTGGGGGAAGCTTCTCCATCTAGAATCTAGAACAAAAGGACACTGGAAAACCCCTGGACAAAGTCAGATTCACCGGGATCCAGACCACGGCGCCCACAACAGTCCTGCAGGACAGACAGCATTAAAATCTGGCCATGTGCAACACATGGATGAGATGTACAATATATATATATAATATTTTGTATTTTTTGGTGTGCGTGTCGTCTGAAGTCTCAAGTCTTTAAACATACATACAAACATGTAACGGTATGACTGTGTACACATGCGTATGCAATTCCAAAACCTCCAGTACCCAGCTTGTGCCCAGCAGTTTGCCATGTACGAACTGCTTGGTGGATGGGAAATGATGGGAAGGATGTGCACCTCTGTATGCCATCGAGTCCAGGCCCGGGTTCTTGCAAACCGCCTGAACACGAGATGTAGAGTCTATGTGACGACTTCCATTTTTTGGAGTTTCAGGGTGTTTTAGTACACATGGTTACCAAAAAAAACAGCAACAACTGTGGCACACTGGATGGAATATGGTTATTTCAAATCAGACAGATGGGCCAACAACAAGTCAAGCGAATGTTGCAAGAACATGTGGCTGAACAGCTGGTTCTCTGCACAAATTTGCGCCCCTTTACGTACCTGGATAAACCGAACGGGCTAGAAGGCTCTGCTGAAAAACAAATTCTCAAGCGTGTCACGGGGACATGGATCAAATCATGTCAAGTGGTGGGTGTTCCATTTAGACTTGTTCTGGTTGGTGGTTTCAGCCTCTGAAAAATATTAGTCAGTTGGGATTATTATTCCCAATATATGGAAAAATAAAGGCCATGTTCCAAACCACCAACCAGTGTTAATTTGCACTGTAAATCTGTAAGGTACATCCCAGTAATGGCTTGACGGGAGAATCCTGCCAATATTCATTGGATGATTTCTTGGAAAAAAAGACAATAAACAAGGTCAACCCAATCATGACAACTATCAACAAAAACCTGCCATAAGGTGGTATGAAACGCCTAAACAAAAACCGTCCAGAGATGGCAGTTAATTACAGTAATATTATGATTGCTAAAGCATTGCTCCGACTAGTGCGATTATTGCTACACACATATATCATATACCTCTCTAAATAAATGTAAACTGAATATGTATGTATATATATAGTATATATTACATATATACACTACATGTATGTATAATGTGCATGTATATATATATATAGCTATATACATATTGGGTTTACAACATTACAACTTCGTATGGACAAGTTCTATCCCCTTTTTGATATGTCCATCGTTCAAGTCTCCCCAGATTCACCGTTGTGGCGAAGCTCGCATCGCCTGCCACACCTTGAAGAAAGTGTCTGAAGGCTGAGGCCATGGCCTCCTGAAAGCTGATCGTTGGCGAACCACGATCGTTATGAATGGATGTTCCAAGTGAAACCCCAGAAAAAAGTGCGGGGATTATTTATCAAAGTATCATCTGTTTTATGATGTTTTATGAATCAACCAATGTGTGTCCATTTCTGGATGAATCTATGGATGGATTTCCCAAACCAAATCGGCCGTTTACATTGTCATGTGTGATTGCCAAAGGTTACATGTATGTCAGTTGCTTGGGCAGATGGGCCGGGATGAAACTCCAAGATCCTCAGGGAAATCAACAGGACATAGCGCTTGGATTGCAACCAGCCAACCCTACAGTTCTGGTCACGTAAATCAACCGGAAAACCCCAGCTGTAACCCCATGATCCCATTAGCAAAGGGTCAATATCAAAAGTACTCATCCAATGCTGACCTGTAGATGTTGAAAATACCCAGAAATTTTCAACAATGGTTAATTTCTGGGTATTTTCAACATCTAACGAATGGTTAATTTAAATATTGAAATACCATAAATATTGATGTTAAATATGTTGAAATACATAAATATGGACCCCCACCATTCATTTCCACATAGGTTTTCCATATCTACACCGCCCAGGCACGCCATTCCGCAGCATGGGAGGGAGGCCGGCATCGCCCGCGCCCCGGGCGTGCCCGTTGGAGGCCGCGGGGGCTGCAGGATGAGGTGAAGCGCCTGGCGCTGACGTCTCAGTGGGATCATGGTAATCCATCTAGATAACCGGTGCTTAGTAGGGAATGGATGGGAATGGGGGATTGGGATTATTATTGATAGTTCTTGTGGATCATTCCTGAAAATTCCCTACACAACTAAGTAAATAATAGTAAATAATCTGAAATTCAACTGTGGCATCAATGCGGTGATCTGTGGCAAAGGGAGGGCCCCTTCTGCCTGCATCGCTTTCCACGTAGCCAGAGCTATTGCACGTCCTTGGCGATGGCGACGCCGAAGGGGGGCCTCTTATAGGCCCTTACCTTGCCTTTCTGGCTGAAAGAACGACACTTAAGTCAATGGGCCAATAACATATTATGATGAATTATGATGATACTGACGATTGCTACTAATGATGACAGCAACGATGACCAGCTGGCAAGAGAACCATCATCAAAATGAACGCATCTTGATGAAACTGTTGATGCGCACTCCCATTGTCCCAAGATTGATATTTTCAGCTAGGGAAACCCTTGGCTTTAACCCCAATCTTCAGCCAGTCTGCACTTGGTGGCTCATCCCACTTAGTAAGTGGGTTATAACCCCAGTTATAAGTGGATTAACCCTACTTATCCCATTTATAACTGGGGTTGTAACCCACTTACTAAGTGGGATGAGCCACCAAGCAGGGTGACCCCTTGCGCCAGGTGACAAGCAGTGGAAATCCCCGGTGTCTGTGGGTTCGCAGTCCACCTCCTTGCGAGGCGACAACGACCCAACGGCTACAGCTGTCGGACATGGATATGGTTTTCAAGGGATACTCTACAGGAAACCACGGTGTTTACTAGTGTTTACCACCCAAATCTAAAAGGTGGAACAAACAGAAGCCGAAAACGAGCCCCTGGAATGTGTTTCTCCAACTATACAAACATGTTTGGTTTTCCACCCCCCATGATTTCAGTGGCTGGGGTCATATACCTTCCAAGCAGGCCTTAATGATTTATTGGGTGGGAAAATTGAACAGGCTCTCAGCCTGTTAGATTCCTTGCCCTTGGTCCTGGTCACACTTATGGCAGTATCCGCGGACAGTCATGACGTGGATTCACTACTTTTTACTACGGCCCTCCAAGAACTCGCGCATGGGATGACTGGTATGGCAGGTCCTACCTGAACAATCAACTACAGATGTTGGCTACAAAAGGCTTCTTTGGAGGACAAAAATATAATTATCAATGCCAGTACATATATATATATTAAATATATTTTAATATATATATATATAACATATGTAACCCTTCCATCGTGCTAATCCCATTGGTCAAATACCGGTCATCTCTATCATCTTGAGCCCAGATTGGGGTCAGCTGCGCAGTGTCTCCATCCCATCAAAAAACTCTGTGTGTGTTTCTTGTTCTGGTTGGTGGTATGCCTACCCCTCTGAAAAATATGAGTCAGTTGGGATGATGAAATTCCCAATATATGGAAAAATAAAAGCCATGTTCCAAATCACCAACCAGTGTTGCAACTAACAATACTCGCCAACACCCACATCTTGTCCGTGAGCGTGCTATGAAGCAGCAAGGACACCTACGTCGCCATACGCTGCATCTGGTCTCAAAGCTAAGGCGAGGTCGTGATTCAAGGAGCGCAAAAACAAGGAAATCCCTTCACCTTCACACCCTTAAGAAACTATGGTTTAGTAGGGAATTTTACACATGTTTTGGACCATTGCTTGGTGTTTAGTATCAAGGCGATGGGGTTAACTGAAACCTTGCGCTTTCCAGGGTCCCATATCTGACAGGATCCCCAGGGTTTTAACAAAGTCCAAGCATTGCAACCAAATATGCCATCAAATGGCCCCCCTCATTTTTATAATATACAGTTATTTAAGTGAGGGACCTCATGATCGAATCAAGGGACGGGGGTCACTTCGCTCCTACCCCAACTAGGGTCACACTCGTCCCTACCTCAGTTACCTGTCTGCTGAATATGTCATTCAACCTACTTTTAGGGTTTAATCTGGGGACGAGGGACGGTTAAGGGGGACTTGGGGACATTGGTTAGGGGGAACCGGTGTCACTTACCTTTCACATGGATGTTACAACATAGCATCCAAAGCGTCTTGGAAGTTGCTTGAAATGGTTGTTGCAACGTCGCATGCAGAATGTCTTGGAAGTTACTCGAAATGGATGTTACAACGCAGCATCCTCCAGAGCGTCTTGGAAGTTGCTTGAAATGGTTGTTGCAACGTAGCATCCAGAGCGTCTTTGAAGTTACTGGAAATGGATCTGAGAATGTAGCATCCTGAACAACTTTATCGGAACTGACTTTCCATGACAGTTGCAATTTGTCCGTAAGCTGACTGCTAGAGCTGGACAAAAAACTATTGCACTTGCCACGCAAAACGAGGTCGAGTCACATTCGCCCCTACCCTAGGATCAGCTGCGCCCCTACCTCCACCTTCAGTAGGGGCAAGTGCGACCCCACATGACATGAGGTAGCGGCAAATGTGACCCCCGTGCTCCGCATCAACCTGCAAACATGTCTGGAAGTACCCTATCTGCAAACAACGTGCTGTTTGTTCCGCCCTGTGAAGATCATTTCCGGCAGTCTTTGGCCACACTTTGGATGGCTGAGCGCCCAAAATGGGCGACCCATCAAATGGACAAGTCACAGGGCAAACATATGCTATGTGCTCAGAATGTTGCAGCCCGAACTGACCAAGGATGAAACATATGCTAGGGATTCAGTTTATTGATGATGTAATACCACCATCTGGAAACATGACGTTGCCGTCCATGAAACCATGATTCCAGTTCTCTGTATGTCTGCATGTCTAGATGCATGTATGCATGTATGGCTGTATGTCTGTATGTCTGTCTGTATGCATGTATGCATGTATGCATGTATGCATGTATGCATGTATACATGCATGCAGGTAGGTAGGTAGGTAATGGTAGGTAATGGTAGGCAATGGTAGGTAATGGTAGGTAATGGTAGGTAATGGTAGGTAATGGTAGGTGATGGTAGGCAATGGTAGGTAGGCAGGTATGTGCAAATACATGCAACTAAATTACATACAATATCAATATCACACACACACATACACGCATACATATATATATAATATATAATATATATATACACATATATTTATAATAGTTTTTTTTATACACATGAGGAGCACACAGCTAGGAAATTCAACTTGTACAGCGTGTTCCAAAATCCATCTGCCTATCACGGCTCATTGTGAATATGACATGGTTTCTGAAACGAGCGCTTATGCGAATAGGTTCTGAGCACACATTTTGGTGGACATTCTGCACTATCACCGCAACCACCAAATAGATAGAAACGTTGGAAACGTGACATTTTGTGTATACTTTTGGGAGCCACGATATATCCATGCAGTAAACGACCTACTCAGCAACGGGACATCTTCATTCTGGTCTTTCGATGTCCTCGCGCAGGCTGTTTTTACGGCGTCTCGATGCTGGAGTTGTCATAAGGGTATGGATCAAAGATTGGAAACTGATGGATTTTAGTGTTGAACCATAGGGTTCAAAGATTAGGTACTGAGGGATTCAAGGGGCCAAGTTTTTTTTCAGCCATCTGCCTGGAGATAGTCATGGGATGTCATGGGGGATCATGCTGATTGAACTTTCCAACCTCAAATTGATGGTGCTGGCATATAGCTCGCATGCCATAGGCCATTGGATGTCGCATGTTAAGATCCTTTTGGGCGCGTCCTTTGGCCAAGGCTGCTTTCCTTGTTTCTTTCGGGGGGAGGATGGAGGAGGGTGTATGACACAGAAGGTTAGTTCACACCTTTGTGTGGATGTCAACTTGTGACATTTCTTCGTACTGATGTTGAACCCCGCTATGTTTATAGCCTCATGCGTCTCCGGTGGACAGCGACGCCAGAAGTGTAGCACCAGTGCCAAGAAACCTAGGGGCTAACTGCGAATGGAACCGCATCGAAGAGAGGACATGGTTTTCACTGTAGACTTTCAATCCTGTAGTGATGGGTCCTTACAGTCCTTCATGCCACGAGTCCGTGCAAGGATGCTAAACCGTACAGCGAAAAGAAAGTAATCATCAGCAGTACTCACACGTTTCAAATTATAGAAAGTGTACCCTCTGGTAATTTAACGTAGCTATTGAAAATGGCCATTTATAGTGGATTTTCCAATTAAAAATGGTGATTTTCCATAGTTATGTTAGTTTACCAGAGGGTAAACTGCCCCCTCAATCGTTTTTTTATCTTTTCCGAGCCCTACTCAACACCATGAAAACTTGACTGAGCTGCGCGCCCAGGGCTACGAAGAGAAACCCAAGGAGCTGAAATGGCCTCGGCTGCTGAAAGGATCATACCACTTAAGCAGCTGCATCACAGGCATCATTCTCGGGGGTAATTATCATATATTATAGCCCACTTGTATTATATATGGGCTACGCATGGGTTACAAATGGCTTCCAAACTTGGATGGACTAGTCAAACATCACCTAGCCATGGCTATCATATGGTCAGTAACTCTTTAGTAAACGCGGCTAGGTGAATCAAACCGTACATCCCCTTTCTGGGTGAGTTATAGTCCTATCCTCCATCTGCGCCCCACTCCGCTGCAGAGTCTGACATCCTTTTCTTTGCCCATCGCACCACAAGGTGATGCTTCCTGGGTGATAAAAATGTCATAGTAATCCATCTAAAGACAGCTATAATCACCAGAAACATCCATAAACCATAGTTAACCCATAGATATAAACCAACTTAGATAACTCACTGGGGCACCACCGGCAGCATGACTGCAAAGCAAGCAGCAAAGGCGATGAGAGACCCCGGCAGCTGCATCTCTAGCGCCTGGCAGCGCCGCAGAAACTTTACGGGGCCAACAAAACAACCGGTCGCCCACAAAGATCGGGGCACATGAACATTCCTAATAGAACAATGTATTGCTATTTTTTGGCATGTTTACCTGTTAGTTAGTATTTTTTGTTAGTATTTTTTGGAATGTTCACCTTTGTTCACCTGTTAGACCTATTGGTTCGTCTGCTGAACGAATCCCAGTTGAACATATTTCCACCTGTCCACTGGATGTTCGCAGGAGAGTACAGCATACAGATGAGAACTCGTTGGGGTTGAATAGTGGTAATTACATACAGAATATACATATATATATATATTTATATATATATACATATATATATATATTTATATATATATATGTATATATATATATATATTTATATATATATGTATATATATATTTATATATATATATGTATATATTTAATTATATTGATATTTATTTATTATATTTTATTATGTAGGTCATTTATTTGATTATCATCTGCCTCTGTCCTTGGTCCAGTTTCTCACCTCCAGGGAGGCGAAATCGGGATGGAACAAGCTTCGGTTCCTGCGCTTGGCCCACGGGAGCTGTGGGGAGGCAATCACGATCGGAGTTCGAGTCCAAGACGTCTCCAAATCCTGCCATAAATCTATGTAAATTTGTGAAATTTATAATATCTATAGTGAATCTATATAAACCTATAGGGAATAGTGAATCCGTAAATCTCTATATATAAAATTATAAATACATCTTTTTGCTGCAATAAATCTATATGGGGGGGTTCTTAAGTCATGGGGGATCCCCAAGTCAGCACGGTGTTTAATACGAAGTCATGGTCATCCACGACTGGAAACCCCTTCCCAAATCACCCAGAGAAACTCAGCTACCCCATGATTCCCCATGATGATTGAACATAGCTATGGAAAATCACCATTTTAACTAGCGAAATTACTAAATCATCATGTTTATCATCGGTTTCAATCGCTGGGCCATGGCTTCAGCGTTAAATCACCGTAGCGGCTCCCCCGCTATGCCTGGGCTGAGAAAGCCTCCGGGATCATCCGAAGCGGACACAAGGAAAGCACAGAATCAGACTGGTCTCTGGTTGCCAAGTTTTCGATGAGTTGTGGCTAACCTATATAAATAAGATATATTGCAAAATCTAGAACAACTGCAAAACGAACCTACAGTTTTCTAGGGGGTTCTAAAAAAAGAGGATCCCCAATCACCGATAAACCAACTGAAATCTCTTTCCAACCATCCTAGTGTCATGAATGAACCATGTTCCGATAACCCAAATTTGGAAATGACATAAATGACCTAATAACCGTCCTAAATTTGGGGATGGTTTTTCTCGCATTGGGTAAATGCATGTACATGCCACATTAAGAGAGTTTATGTTTTGTACATTTTGTACAGTTGGCTGGACTTGTCCATATGTTTTGTTTTTTGGAGGGAAAACATGCAATACGAAAATCTGGTGGCTGGTGGGTCCAGAAGGCCTAAGGATTTAAGTACTGGTCATTTCGATTTTCAGTTCGTTGATAGAAGCGGTGACGTGATTATGCCACACAGGGAAATGAACGGGAAATGAACCGCTGAAAAATGAGGAATTTACTAGTAAGACTTGGATTCGAACCAATCATTGCAATTATCTGCCTCAAGAAGCACATCTATCAAAAACTACAAATGCTCAACACATCTTTAACCGACTTTTACCATATCCAGTTCTCAAAACATGTCTGGCTGAGAAATTATCCAACTAAATGAATGTTCTAATAATTGTTTCATGGGAAAATTAATCTATAAATATGGCTGGATAAATTTTAATAATTCACTAACCTGAAAAGTTTGGCTACGGGAGGTCGCAGTTATAATTTACCCAATTATCATTAACCACTATTGACCACTCTTGACCACTATTACCCCATTGTCAACCATGATATCCCCATGCCACCTCTTTATAGATGTTTAATAATGGGAGATGATAGTATAGAAACATTATATACCCCATTTTTAGATGGGTGATAATACGGTGATAACTGGGAGAACCATGTATAAATAGGGAGAATTATCTTTAATAATGGGGTTAAATTATATATGTTTGTCCCCATCTTTCCCTTCCTAACCTGGCGCGTGAAGCTCTCAGCACAAGGCCGGCCACCGTTGCATGGCTCTCGCGAGACCATCCTGGCACTGGCCATCTGCTGGAGACTGAGTTTCCTTTGGGAAAATGTTAGGCAAGTGGACCAAAATGGAACCTATGAATTTCACATAATAAGTCAACTAGCATTTTGGGGAACACATGAATCTGGTGTTTTTTTGCAAACATGCGCCAGGAAAGTCAGCAAAACTCTGAGGACAGCGGCGAACATTTGCCAGGCAATCCAGCCATAAAGCCGATGATTTATGGAATTTGAGGAAAGGTTCTAAGGATTTGATGGGTTGATTTCACACATGGAAATACAGAGGGTGGCCAATCAAAACGGAGCCGGATCTACATGATTTTGCAGCATATCCACATACCGAAGCTTGTAAAAAGGAACCATGGGAAACCCATGGGTTTTGACCCTGTTTGGTCAGTCTTGCGCAATCGTCACCCAAGACTTTTTTGCGCGTAACTTTCGGTTGGACCGGCTGGGTTTGTTCTAATAAAGCACCATCAAAGGCAAAACATACCAAAACCAGATTTGAGTCCATGACACCCATTGTTCTTCACAAGCAACTTGCCAGTTATGATCAGTTATGCCATCGGGGCTTTTGAGCAAGCCGTCAAATGTTATTAACACCAATTATTTTCAGTGTGTGGTAAAACCATTGAGAATTAATACAAATAATTGGTGTCAATCACATTTGATAATTGGTGTTAATACCATTCATAATACCAATAAATGATGTTAAGCCACCAATGTGTGTGCGGCTTGGTGTTTCAAAACGGCGCCTGCTCCCGCCTGCTCCTCTGCGCCTCGCCACCGCCACATGATCTGGCACAAGGTAACCAGAGGCCTTTGGGGTGCATCCCTTAACTCTGTATATATATATGCATGAATATATACATGAATATATATATATATATATATACATAAATATACATATATATATATACGCATGAATAAAGATATATATATATACACATGATTTTATTTATATATTTATATATACTCACATATTTTAAAAAATGTATGTATACCCTTGAGGTCCAAATGCCAAGTTTAACTTAGTATTTGATCAAATGCTAAGTTTAACTTAGTATTTCCTAAGATACGAAGTTTAACCAACAAATACCAAGTTCCACCTCACCAAGATCAACAAGCAATTTTTCATTCAGCCTCTTTTGTTCTGCGTTTCTCGGAGACGCCATTTCAGAGTCTTAAGTTTCATCCTGCTAAGACGGGAGATCACTTTCTCTCTGTCTTTTCCATCAGACTTTTTTGCCCACTTTTTGAGCAACATCATTCCATCCTCATCAGTAAAGGTATGGGTAAATCGCGGATTCTCCATCCGAAGTGGGAGGTCATGGAGGAGGTGAGCAAATGCCTTGGCTCAAACGAGAGGCTCAAACGTTAAACATGTTCAACACTGGGAGTCCTGGGATATCATACAAATCTTTAAGCTAATTCAGGCTAGGTACATGCCATTTGGGTATGAGTACCCAGGCCAAAACACCCAACAACGAGCTCAAGTGATTGAGTTTCCTGTAAGAAACCAAGTAGGCACGTCCAGCACGCTCCATCTCCAACGCTTGGAATCGTGTCCTGAGATGTTCCAAAATGAAATCGTTCAATCACACTTAAAATTTGGATTCCAATGGCTTAATCAATTAAACTTGGCATTTGGGCTTCAAGGGTTTAGGACTAGTAGGGTTGAAGGACCTGATCTTTGGCTCCCCCAGTGGATTGCGATAACCGATAACCCCAAAATATGTTGGATAGTAAAACATTCATAAAACCACAGAATCATCAAAGCAAGATAGTAGGCCCCTTCCAATCCCCATTCATCAATGAATCATCTCCCAAACCCATTACATCCCATTTTATAGTGTAGATCAGATGATACCCCAATACCACTACAATTTACTACCAACATCCTACCCGCGTGGGCCACTTCATGCTGGCAAAGATCAAGTGTCTGGAGGCACGCTCGCTCAGACCGAAGTACCGGTTGATGCCTCTCCTGGGAATCCCAGCTGTAATGTACTGGGAGGTTTTTTAAGTGAGGAACCAATAAAGAAAATCCAATAGATAATCCCATTACATTCCAATAACATCCTACCCGCTTTTTTTGGAGGTTTTATATAACCCATTGTAAAGGATAATAACATGACATCCCATGTAAAGGGTGTTTACCCCCTTTTTTGGAGGTTTCACAAAATAGGATATCCTACAACTTGGTGGGTTTATTTTGGACTATTTTGGATGCCCCTTCTGGGGTGATAAGGCTATAAGATCACAACTTTCTTCATGAAAGGGTGTTTATACCCGCTCCAATTGTTTTCAGTGAGCACCAGCTGTCAAAACAGTGGGGGACACTGCATCAGAAACTATGTTAGAATAGTGTGTCAGGTTGGGGATCACTTGAAGTAACAGAGGGGGACACAGCATCAGAAACTATGTCAGAATAGTTTGTCAGGTTGGAGATCACTTGAAGTAACAAAGGGGGATCGGGGATCACTTGAAGTAACAAAGGGGGACACAGCATCAGAAACTATATCAGAATAGTGTGTCGGGTTGTGGATCACTCGAAGTAAGGGAATTTAGTAGCAAGTGTGCAAAACAATTTGAAATTAAAAACCTGATCGGCCAGCAAGTTTCAAAGCTGATTCACACACCTCCCACCGTTGTTGTTCAAGAGGGCTGAGGCCTTGCAAACCACCTGCATTCACCTCCACAACTTTGTCCATAAGCCATTCAGAGACAACCCTTGCGTTGAAACCCTTTGCATTGAGATACCAGCCATAGCTAGTCGGTCGCACCAAAGATTTCTCTGAAAACCTCTTTTGTGAACACTGAATTTTGTTCCGTTTCCTCCAGAGCACAAAGTCATCAAAAGCGCTGTGGAGAGCCGCCCCATAGCCATTAGAAGTGTCACCAAACACTTGAAGGTCCAGAAGCATTCCCCTAGGTTGAGGCAGCACTTGCCAAAAACTTATCATTGAAACCCACACATTTACATCCGAAAATCCAAACATTCAAAACTGCAAATCAGAAAATCAAAATTAAAGCAATGCAAGGCTCAAGGACGAACCGTTGGAGATGCCAAGCAAACCCAGATTCAAGATATGAAGGGTGCAATGTTTCAGTGTCGAAATGTCAAAGAAATGCAAGTCCACCAAAGGACCTGATTCCAGCAAACGAGCGCGCCAAAAACACAGCAGCAAAATTTGCAATGTAGATTTCCAAAAACCCGGATGGTATCCAACACTACAAAAACCAAGTTGGACCAAGTGACAGGTTTGGTCCTGAGGTAGCTCTTCAACCAGAAACTCCTCAGTGGAACGCTGAGTGGATACCCAAGAATCATTCCCATCGTAGATGCAATAGTTCAGGGGCCCTGGGGAAGCAACTGCACCACAGCGAAAGCACATCTTTGTAGCCGTCCACCAAGACCTGTGCTTGAACATCATACGAAAGAACGCCTGGTCCCCACGGATTTCACTGACCAGAAATCGCAAACCACATACACCAACTGAAGTGAGCTGGTTGAAGGACTCGACAATAGCCTCGAGAACAGGGTAGATAGTCTCCTCCACCGAAATAATCTTTTCCACTTCCACAGAGAACATCAAGAATCTGCTCAACCTTGTGCTCCTGGGTCTATAGAGCGGAACATTCATGTACAATCCAAAAATTTGATGCGTAGGTGCATTGACCAATCCCATAGCAGCTTCATCACCGTAGAAACCTAGAGGCCACACAGTGCCAGCCATTTGACGATAGTTGCGTGTTGCAACCGCCAGTGGGTCCAGGGTGGTTTCCTTGTGTCTCCAGTACTTCGAAAGCAGCGTGTCATCAATTTTCAATCCACACTCCCCAATCAAATACTTCGTAATGTCATAGGGCAAGTTGACAGGAAGCGTAACTTCACCAGTCATGTCATTCGGCAACTTGATACAAACTTTCACATTTGTTGGTTCCTCAGAGTGCAGAAATCGTTCAAGATAAAGATTGGGATCAATGGGATAATCCATGATAATCTAGCTTATATATAATAAACCTAATCCCACACGAAAACACAGAAAATAACTTAAGCAACAAATGCAAGGGTTCCACTGGGAGTGGGTTGTTGCGGTAGAAATCCCGAGATGCATTGCCAGGTCTGTAGCTCGCTAGTTTTGAAGTCCAAGAACTGGTCCGTCCTTTTGCTTCCTTCAGGGTGAAAAATTAGGATCGGTCTGTGACTAAGTCAAGTATGGATAGCCCTAAGTACCCAAAAAGTATTGCTTAAAAACTTCTTGCCTGGAATGTGGTTCTAGCTGATCTCATAGCTCCCTTTGCAGAAGCTTCCTAAGATTGGTTGGATATGATTTCAAGACTCTTGGCAGTGTGAAACTTGAAAACAGCCTTCCAGTGTGAAACTTGAAAACTGCTTTTCAGTGTGAAACTTGAAAACAGTTTTCCAGGGAAGAGAACAGTGCAAATAAAGCAGGACAAGGAACACCTGATGCAATTCTCTCGCATATATCTTTTTCAAATGGTGCGGCACCATCACCTGCGATGCGTTTCTATGTTTCGATGTTTCTTTGTTTCTATTTGCATTTCAGCATGTGCACACAGTTTGCCATTCTGCTGATGGATACATTGCGAAACAAGCCAAAAAATGTGATGCAAACAAAATGCAGGCAACCTTTTTTTGAATGCTCACGCCCAGGGATCTCTGTCGCTTTCAGTGCCCATTTTTGAGCAACACCAAACACAATGCTCCTTGCTGCTTGTGCCGCAACTTCAATTATGAGTTGGTTGACTTCACCAAGTTCTAATTGTTCAACCAAAAACATGCTTGTTCTCACAAGGAAGGCAGTGCTGGCACAAAAGGAATAAGATTGGGCGCAATCCTATGTGCACGAAGGACACACCCTCGATCTTCCCCTGCCGAAGGTGATCACACATACACCTGAAGCGCTCTCAGCTGTCTAAACTGACAGCATAAACTCTTTTGCACCTGGCCCCAAACCACAAGTAAAATATTCTTTCCAAACCAGTATTAGGAGGTTGTTTTTTATGCCCTTCCATGTTTAAACCCAGGTGTTCTCAAACTCTACGCCTAGGATTTTCTTTGCTTCTTAACTTTCAATGGCTCGCAAGCCACTTCTAAGTCTCTGCGTGCTTTGTCACAAGCTGCAACTGCTTCCTGCGTGACCTAGCAGATGGTTGATTTGCACACACTCCCCCAAACAAGCACATAAAAAAGCAGGTGCACATGCACACATGCACAAAAATGGATAAACATGAGTCAGATTGAGAAGTAGTCGGGGCCTGGTTGGAGTCCACAACCTTCTGAAGATTGCTGCGAGCTTCCTGGAGTTGGACAGTAAAAAAAAACGAATGACAAAAGGGGCAACTGAGATTTATGATCACCACTCATCTTCCTCACCATCTTCATCATCATCATCATCATCACCACTATCATCTCCATCCTTCTCATCATCAACAGCATGAAAAACGTCGTCATGGTCCCATCACGATTACAACCAGGAATCCTAAACAGGTATACTCACTCTATGTTTGTTGCCTCGCACTTGGACTTCTTCTCATCATAGTCTTGCCTGACCGACTCCTTGTACTTGTCGCTCCTGGTTGAACCAAAATGAGATAAATTTAACATATATGCTCTGGTTTTTTTGAAACATCCCAAAAGGATAATGACATATAGAAGTTGAGGCCCAGGCAACTGGTCAAGGTTCGATTGCAAACCAATTGCCCATTTCAACTTGCTGCTCGCATCCGAAACTGCCTGCACTCTTGTGTGCAGATTGGTACCAACATGGGACACACCATCAAAAACCATATCATACATGTTCAGCTGAAGCCTTTTTGGCATCCTTGATCAATTTCTTCTCAGCATTCGCATTCGGATCCTCAGATGGTTTTTCTTTTTCTTTCTTCTCCTTCTCCTCCTTCTTGGACTTCTTCTTGTCCTAAAACAAAAAAGGTCACAGTGACCATGCATGGTTTTTGTTGAGCTGTCATTTACTTGGCCTATTGATCAACACCCCTTGCCTTCTTCACTTCTTTCTTGGCCTTTTTCTCCTTTGGCTCGGGCTTCTGCGGCTGGGTTTCCCGTTTGCTTTTCTTGCGACGATGTGAAGACTCAGAGCTTGAGGAGGAATCCTGATCTATGGCCCGATACAGCCTGTCAATTTCCTCTGAGACCTCAGTTTCTTCAGCATCTTCGCAAAGGCAAAGAAATTGGCGGAACTCCTGCGACGAGCAGGAAGCAAAATTGGAAAACCTAGGTACCAGTAGCAGGTGCCCCCTAATATTCAGAAGTGTGTATATTATGTTTCCTTCCAGTCAGTAGTCGTTGACAAGAGTGTCTCACATAAGAAGTGCAAAAACTAAAAAACATATACCATATTGCAGTCCTCCTTCTGGGGAAGTTCGGGATGGAAACGAGTTTCTTTCTCCCACAACTCTTCTTTTGTACCTTTGTGTTCCCTCATAGCTTGCGCAACTGCCGGTGTAAACCTTTCATCCATCTCATGGGGAAGAAGCCATCTTCGAATGCCTTTCCTCTTCTGTGTGTGACGGGTGCGAATGTCCATGTAGAATTTGCTCTGAGCCCAATTCCCCTCTTCGCATTGGCACCAAGCGTCAAACAGCACAGCGTTCAAACTTGTGCCTTGGATTCAGCAAGCGCGCTTTGAAAATGCAAGAGAGGCAAAAAGAGGCACAGGCAAACTCAAGGTTTTAAGAGTCATAAAATATTTCCTTGCAGAGGTGATTTTGGGATCCAGCTCAAACAAGGAAACTTAATATCGTGACACATTGTTTGTAAAGGGAAGTCACAGGTGTGGTCTGCTGGCAAGAAACTTGAACATTTCTTGAAAGCAAATTTAAGGAGTGCCATTGGCTTGAAGTGTCCATAGCATTCCATGGCTGTTTTAGCTCAAAGAGTTTTGGTAGTAGTGGAGCATTGGGTTTCCCCCTTAGGCCTTTATATATAATTTACATACATACCCACATATACCCACCAAAAAGCCAAGTTGCTGCCGTGAGCTTCTTGTCCCATCAGTCTCAATTCCTTCGGTGTGTCTTTGTCTTAGTAGGGCACGAAAGCTGATGTATCCACACCCCCAAATGTAAGGGTGTCAAAGCATATTGGGTTCATGATGGTTCATGTGTTTTCTATGCTGCATACTTTTTCTGATATGCTTTTGCTCTGTCATTTGAACTGGACCTTGTGAACTAGGGGTCGGACGCCTAATGTTGCGGTAGTATCTCATGTACCTGGCTCGTGCAGCTGCTTTGCGCTCCTCAGCTTCTTTTTGCTTTGCTGCTTCTTCATCATCAACCGTTTGGCCGTTCCCTGCTTCCTCTGTCTTCTCTGCTGGGCTCTGGCTTTGCTGCTGTGCATCCTTCATCATTGCCTCGGCCTTTGCAATCATATCTTTTGCTTGTGCCATTATTTCATCAGCCTCCTTCTTTGTTGATTTCTTCTGCCCTTTTGCTGTCTTGTCTTCATCCTTTGCATCAGGTTTTGCCTTGTTTGCTGCAATCCTCAAAGCTTCAGATTTCTCCGCTTCGGCCTTCTTCTTCTCCTCCTCAAGCCTTAAAGCTTCTGCCTGCTTCTCTGCCGCTTCCTTCACTGCTTCGGCCTCCTTCTTCTCCTTCTCAAGCCTTAAAGCTTCTGCCTGCTTCTCTGCTGCTGCCTTCTCTGCATCCTGCTTCTTCTCCTTCTCAAGCCTTAAAGCTTCTGCCTGCTTCTCTGCCACTTCCTTCTCTGCATCCTCCTTCTTCTTCTCGTCCTCAAGCCTTAAAGCTTCTGCCTGCTTCTCTGCCGCTTCCTTCTCTGCATCCTGCTTCTTCTTCTCGTCCTCAAGCCTTAAAGCTTCTGCCTGTGTCTCTGCCGCTTCCTTCTCTGCATCCTGCTTCTTCTTCTCCTCCTCAAGCCTTAAAGCTACTGCCTGCTTCTCTGCCGCTTCCTTCTCTGCATCCTGCTTTTTCTTCTCCTCCTCTGCAATCCTCAAAGTTTCAGCTTTCTCTGCATCCTGCGTCTTCTTCTCTTCCTCAAGCCTGGAAGCTTCTGCCTGTTTCTTCAAAGCTGCTTGCTTCTCTGCGACCTTCCTTCGCTCCTCTGCTGCGATCCTCAAAGCTTCCTTTTTCTCTGCATCCTGCTTCTTCTCCTCAAGCCTTAAAGCTTCTGCCTGCTTCTCTGCCGCTTCCTTCTCTGCATCCTGCTTCTTCTTCTCGTCCTCAAGCCTTAAAGCTACTGCCTGCTTCTCTGCCGCTTCCTTCTCTGCATCCTGCTTTTTCTTCTCCTCCTCTGCAATCCTCAAAGTTTCAGCTTTCTCTGCATCCTGCTTCTTCTCCTCAAGCCTTAAAGCTTCTGCCTGCTTCTCTGCCGCTTCCTTCTCTGCATCCTGCTTCTTCTTCTCGTCCTCAAGCCTTAAAGCTACTGCCTGCTTCTCTGCCGCTTCCTTCTCTGCATCCTGCTTTTTCTTCTCCTCCTCTGCAATCCTCAAAGTTTCAGCTTTCTCTGCATCATGCGTCTTCTTCTCAATCCTGGAAGCTTCTGCCTGCTTCTCTGCCATGTTCTTCTCTATGTCAGCTTTCTTTTGCTCCTTTGCTGCGATCCTCAAAGCCTCATGTTTCTCTGCTTCTTGCATCGTCTTCCTATGTTCTTCCTCCTCAATCTTGTGAGCTGCTGCATGTGTTTCTCCTGCTGCATTGCTTTCATTCTTCTCGTCCATCTTTTTCACCGTAGCTGCATTTGCCTTTTGCACAAGTTCTTCTGCTTTTTTCATCATTTCTTCTGCTCTTGCTTTCTCCTGTAAAGCGATCTTCATCACATTTTCTGGACTCTCCTCTGCTGCTACTTGGTCAAACTTTTCTAAGAGGGACATGTCCCCAGTCGTGCTTCTTGCAAGTTGGGCAGCCAACAAGCTTGCACTAGGTCCAATAGTTGACGCGTCACTCAGAAGGCTTGACTTCCGATCGAGGGATGTAGACGGTGTTTCAGAAGCAGTTCTAGAGCCAGGAGAAGTAGTTGGGTCACCATCACCATGCGCCAGCTGAAACCGTATGCGTTTGTTGTACTCGTCCCAGTCATAGGTGTTGAACCTGTAGTAGCTAGAGGACTCATCATGGTAGGCATTCTGCCCTTTCGATGGTTTCCACCCCACTGGTGGCCAGCGCCAATTTTCCCATTGATCTTCAGCCTCCTGTCTCCACTGGGAATCACCTCCACTGGGAAAAACCTCGAAGGGCAAGGTGGCATCACTGTCAGCTGTTTGGCTTTTCTTAAAGGCTGTCTGCTTGTGGTCTTCCTCCTTCTGTTTCTCGCCACCTTCCTTCTTTTTGACCTTCTTCACAATCACTTTGCGAGTTTTCTTTCGTGCACCTATGTCGAGGCAGTGCACAGAAAAAATATGTTTTTTTAATCCCAAAGCACCCAGTGTACTGCATGTGGTTGTCCTCAACAAAAAAAGATCGACTACTATAGAATACACTGGTTTAAATCTTCTAAGAAAACCTGTGGACCTGACCTGTGTCACCATCAGAAACTGGCGCTGCTGGTGCTGATGGTGAAGCTGCAACTTCACTCCCGGACCCAAACGAAAGGGCTTTCGATTTACGTAGTCGACCCCGTTCAAGATGCGCTTGCAACTCAGCTTCCATGGTCCAACCCCTTGCGTAGTGGGGAAAAAATCACCAAATGGCTGCACATAGGAAATATATATCATAAAAACTGTCACAAACAAATAAAACTTGCCAGTTTAATGTTGCAATCACCAATGTGAAACTGAGACAAAGGTGCATGATTGTTTTTTCCATCTTTTTTCCTGCCAGGCTTGCAAGATACAAGTAATTGTAGCAGTGAAGAGCAGTCTTGTGCATAATAGCAGTGGCAAGGTGCACCAAAAAAACAAGCCGACCACCATGGGGAAGATGTGTTTGCCCAAAAAAAAGAAGTTCCCCTGTCACGCTAGGGTACCTGAATTTCACGGGTAAACTTAGTATTTCACGGGTAAACTTAGCATTTCACGCGAGAATCACGCGAAATCACGCGCTCCATTTTTTCTGGAAAAAAACAAGTTCCCCAAAATTTGATGATTCTCTCTTTGGGGCTAGACTGGGTGAATCAGGTATGTTCAATCCCACTGGAATCACTTGGCCCCATGATAAACAATATTTGTTCAGGGATTTTGCTGGAGTTGGTGCTTGTGTGTGTGCAACATGATCCAAACAAACATGAGTAATCTTAAAATCCACCGGAATCATCCATAAGATTCTATTCCATTTTGTGGGTGCAACCTTTCTCCCAATTCAAACGGATTTCCCTTCTAGCTTTACTCAATTTGGGTCTCTGATGGTTCTGGATCACATTCCATGATGCTTGAATCCCTTGTGGGGTGAAATTGGTGGTGACTTAACCATCCTTAACCCATAAATCATGTGGATGCATCAGTTGGTAACTATTCGTAACTATGAACCACTGTATAATAATATATATTATGTAGTTGGATACACCATCTACCAACTGGTGCAGCATTTCTTCCATCCACAGTATGGTTATATTCCCTTGAGATGCCCATAATTTCCTTTAGTTCAGGGGCGCAAAAAATATGCCATGAAAAAAATGTTGGCTCCATGATGGAGTAAGACAATTCCATATTATATATAATTGGATTGGGACAAATCCCGGTTTAAACCACATTCAATTAATGGCATTTGATTTGGATCAACTTCCTTATATGGCCCAACCACTGCTCGAGCGCTCACTGGTAGGCCAGCAAGCAAAGCGACAGCAAAGTGACTGCAAAGAGAGACGCAGAGGCCACCATGGAAGTGGATAGATGTTGGGACTTGCACTGATGGGGATAATCCCAATATATTTTAGGGTGGTGTTTTAGTTAGTATTCAATCAATGGGAGACGCCCCTTCATCCACCTCATAGCATGGTGCGATTTAATTGATGATAGTTGGGTGTTCCAACATCATTTCGATAGTAAGGCTTTTCGCAATTGACTCAGGGATGCCTTTTTCCAGGCTCCTGGGTGCTTTGCCTCATGAAGCCAACAAAACACTATTTGCTGTGTATAGTCCAGCTTGTCAACTGGGGCCCAAACTGGTAGTGATTTTCCATCTCGAAGTTTGAACCAAGCAGACTTGACAGCTGCCTGAAGTTCTAGTCCTTTGGAATCCTGCGCGTCAAGCAATAGAACTGAGGGAAATGCCTAGTTCCATGAGTAACCAAAGAACAATGGAACAATGCATGGTAATAATAGGTGCCATATAATATATGATATATATCATGATATATACCAATTGGATCAATGTACCTTTTTTGTTGTGGTTAAAATGCATTTGCAAGCGGTCCATCAGGTTCTTGTGGAGGGTCAGGATCCTTTTGGCAAAACCAGCAGGATAGACTTGTGTCGACTTAAGTCCAGGTCCACCAGTCCTAGGATGGCTGACAAGATGTGAGATAGTATGGTGTGAGAATTGGAGAATATCCAGCGGTAGTATCATGATGTTTCCAATGTTGTTTTAAATTGCATCGTTTAGCTAAGCCATGGACACTGCATAAGAACCATCGGACCTGCGCTTCTTAATGGTAACCTTCAACTTTCTAGCAGATTCTGCCAGCTTCTGGCGATGCTTTTTCCCCAAAGTGCGGTGTAGGCCTTTCAACCAACACCTTGGACCAAATGCTGGGACACAATTCCTTATATACCAAACTACACAGGATGCTGAAGATTGATGGCGATTCGATCCAAGTGTCTGGCGGGGATCCCCAAAGTCGAGATGGCTTGGGTGTACGAGCACCCCAGCTCCCCATCCAACTGAGTGGTCAAGGTCAAGGAGAACCAGTTACATCAAACCTATTTTTGTTTCGACTTAAGTTCAGTTTCTTTTATTTGCACTTAAGTCGAACCAAAAATATTTCCCAGTATTTGAAACATTTTGAGACATCATGAACAATGAGGCTCTGACAAGAATTGTTCATTCCAGAATCTTTGGCCAATATACTTCGAGATCAGTTGACCGGTCCGAACCAAATCTGGAAAAACCTTCATCTTGGATCCCGAAGGCTGCTCCAAACTGATGTAGCAGCCTCTTGCTGTTGCAAGAACCACTAAGAGCAGTGTGCGTGCTGCTAACCTAGGCAATGCAGAGAGGATGATAGCAACATTCCCTTTGTTGTTTGGAGCTAGTCCCGGGAAATATAGTTTAAATGACCCCTGCGCACTTCCCAATTACTTTCTGAGGTAATTTTGAACTAAATTGAAAATGCCAGGAATTAAACAAATACTTTTGGGGCGAGAATCATTGAACCAACGTTGACCCAATCCAGCTTTTCATTCCCATATGGTGCTTGTTCTGTTCGTTGGTGTCCGCTGCTGCTCATCCAAACAAATGTGCAGCAAGGTGGTCCTAGAGTCAAGAGCCCGTCTGCACGAACTCTCAGAACTCCCAGGACGGCGTTGTAGAAGCCTCTCCTGGGCAGGAACATGGGTCTATAAAGTTGCAATATCTCATCAATCTTTGGTCCACACATATTTGATATGTGTAATAAAGTATGCGATTGAAAAAGAAAATCTTATCAATTTGATCAAGGCTTTGAGCCCCCAGCGGGCTTCGCAGGTCATTTTCCTCTCCCCTCTTAAGAATCTCAAAGTTGTCCCTTGGAAAGGGCAATAAGGAAATTCAAGATTTGGATGGGTGGCAATAATTCAACATGCTTGTAGATTGGTCAAAAACAACTCTGAGTTGAGTGCACACGATGTCCCGCAGCACCTCATTGGCATCAATTGGAATCCCCTTGGTGAATGGTTGAAGCTTCCTAACTAAGGCTTGATGCACATGTTCAAATCCATCCTACTCACAATCAAGTGTGATAGGTCCTTGGATTGATCGGGGCCCGAACCAAAGGTTTTGTGAATAGCTCCGGCTCCTGAAAAGACATCGTAGTTCACCAAGTCCTTAGGCAATCAAATTGTGGCTTAAGTGGCACTATCTGGATTAAAGCCAATTTGGACAGAGATGAACACACTTTCCTCACTAATGGGGCTTTGACACGACCAAACTTCTGGTAATTCTCAGAAGCCACCACATCGCAAATGTCGAGCCTGGGCAAATGGGCAATTAAAACATCCACATCAAGTTCGAACACTGGCACCACATCCATCTAGAAGTAGGAACCCGACAGGGTGCGAGGGGCACCTAAGAAAAGTGCCACTGTTGCCACACATGCTGTGAGGGCAAGTGGGCTGTTTTTCCACCGTGCAGGAGGCATTTCAATCGAGATTGAACTTTCTCACTGTTCAGGCATGGAATGAGCCAGGGTTTCTGCTGGCAGTGGGTAATGAGTCTGGGCAATTCACTCAACTGTTTTGCAATTTGATTGACAATTTTGGCATGGACGTTTTAGAGTCCACCTTAAGGTCCTTCAGCCTGAACCCCATTGAATCAAATCAGCAGTATATGTGTTTGCTTGACGCATTTGTTTGCACGACTTTCCCCCAAGCCTGCATCTGAAATTGACACGGTAAGCCGTGTGAGACTGGGCCCATGGCTGGTGACCGCATCGAAGCATGTTTGACCATGCTTTATGTTTTGCTGTGAGTTGAAGTCAAAGCGGTCAACCACCTCTAAAGTCCCATTTTGATCACATCTACTCAGCATCAGCGGTGGGCAGCTTACATTCATCGTAGTTGGTCCAGTTGGCATAGCAGAGCGCTAGGCACCACCTTGGTCAAATCAAATTGTGGTTGGCAGACCGTAAGTTAATAATGGGGCGAGGTGAACTTAAGGCGGTGTGGGTTGTTGGAAATGTAATATAGATTCTATTGGGCTCGGGGAGATCTCTCCATTTGGATCAGTTGATTCTGAATGAACATTGAACAGCTCTACATCTTTGTGCTCCTCATGGTGCAGTGAAAACACAGAGTGAGAACACAGAGGTGTTTTCCTTTTCGAGCACCCACTTGGGTGTGGAAAGACTCGAGAAATATGATCTCATGCCTTGATTGGTATGAAACCCAATGGTATCCGCTGCGTGCTCGTGGTGGTCGACAGGTGAACTGCAATGTGGAAATGGGCGATGAGCTGCTGTCTACATGATGTGGCCCCAAGACAGGGATCAACCTTAGGTTCCCTAGATGATAAGTAGTGTATCCATTCTGGCCCATTACTTGAGGGAATTTGAGAGATGATAGATGGATAATAGTGGGGATTTAATGTAGTAGATTGGTGGATACAATGGGGACATACTGGGGATAGAATGGGGGTATATTAAAGTATTACTGGGGATGGGGATGTAACAATAGTATAATAGTACTATAATGAGGACAAGCTGGTAATATATATAATATATATAACAATGTTGATAAAATAATAATGTGAATTCGATCGGTGCATCGATATGCTGAGGATATCATGGGGCCCCTCAACGAACTCTGCCCACACCTTGGGGCCCCAGCGCAGTTTTGACCCCACCGTTTTTTTGCCAGGTGATGGTGATGCCGTTCTTCACGTTGGGCTGCACAGCAGGAGAGCAAGTGGCTGTTGGGGGCAGGCCAAAAAATCAAAGTAACAATTGTTACATGGACAAAAGCATGTTGACCAGGGTTGACTTGATATGATGTTGATACAAGTAGTCAAGAGCAATCAAAATCCCAGTGCCTGAAATGTTTTGCCAAACTTTTCATTGCACTTGTCCAAGTTCAAGTTCGCCACATTGGTGAGGTAGAAGGAGCCGCTCAACCTGACATCATAAGCTGGCAATAAAACATGTGGAAATAATTGGCTTGCGCTTGAGATTCATTCACTTATTTTGTCCGAGAATGCCTGAGTTCAAGGCAAAGTGCTGATTGGAATGACCCCCTGATTCCAGAGCTCCTTCTCAATATTGCTCTCGCATGGGTGCTGGGTCCATGACCTGATTTCCCCAAATACGGTGAGCACATATCTTGGTAACAATCTTGAAAACAAGGACACAACATACTTGAGAATGACAAGTATATATAAGGTACTATGTTCCAGGCTTCTGTGTGCCAGGGAGTGGATCTGGAATCATCAACAGGGTCGCAGGGTCTCGTGCCAGTTCTTGCACAAGGTTCAAGTTGTGCTGCTCCTATCGCAGAGATAGTGAAGGCTGGACGTTGGATGTTGGGTGTTGCAAAAGACACATGTGCATACATGCATGCATGCATGCAGTCCTTCTCAGTTCTGGGGCGCCCTGCCACCACCGGCTCCTGAAAGGGTGAAACAGATTGGAGAAATAATTGTTCAATCATATCTCATTTGAAAAAAGTGTTGGAGATGAATGCAACTGCAGTCCTGTTTGGGCTTGTCATCCCCCCTTCTATTTTCACCATCAGGCACCTGCATGTAATATAATGATTGACAACACAAAGTGAGACATTGAAATTCCCAATTTGAACCTCGGGGGGCTGAGGTGTAGAGTCCTGGCAAGTAAATGAAGTTGGCGCACATGTGCACAATCATGTAAACGCACTGCATGCATGTGTGAACTCTCCTTGTTTTTTTCACGTTCTTCGGGATCCTTCTTCTTCGGCGATGTCTTTGATGCAGCTGTCCTTTCCTTCACAACCTTCCTTGTGCGCAAACGACGGCCTTTACCATTCCCCTTCCCTCGGCCTGTACGGGGCTTTTCATCATGATCATTGTCGTCTAACTCGCGTTCTGTCTTCATGGCCTGGTCTTTCTTCTCAAGCTCTTCCTCCATAGAGAAATCAGCTTCATCACCGCCTTCATGTTCACCTTCTGCCTTTTTGCTGGGGTCCTTTTTGTCAGCTTTTGGGGGTCTGCCCCGCTTCTTTGGCTTAGCTGCCTCCTCTGCAAGTCTTCTCTTATTCTTTGCCCTGGCTGCCCTTTGTTCCTGACGGGTGGGATTGGTTTTCACCTGATACCTGACTGTGATGGAACCTGGTTGACCAAAGACATCATTTAAAAAAAAACTCACAGCCCCCAACCTGCAAGAGTTGGTCCAGCTGATCTTGATCCACTTGTGTTTCTGGATGCTTGAGGTCAGGAAGTGTCGGTTTCAGCGGCTCCCTGTCCTGACAGGAGTAGAACAGGAAATGTACAGTAAATTCAGTAGAACAGGAAAATTAAAGTGGATGCAGGCAGGAGGCTGTCCTTGAAAGTACCCTTCATCGAAGGGCGGTTACCTTCCTCGCCACTGGAAGCTGCTTCAAGCTCCTCTACCTCTGCGGGTGTATTCACTCGTGGAACTTCAGAAGTCGCAGCGGCAATTTTCTCGGTCAAAAACTTGCCAACCTCAATTTTGAACTGATTGTTTTCTTTTGTCTTTGGCATCTTTGCCAAAGCCTCCTCCAGTTGAAAGGTCAAAGTCGTTGCCAGCACCATGTCCTCTCCAATCAAATCTCCATCCTTGTCTTTCTTTCCTTTTTCAAGCAGGGAAACTTCAGCATTCTTCTTCTTTTCCTTCTGCTTCTCCTCTTCTTCGGCCTCTGCTTTTTTTGCGATCCTCAAAGCTTCTTCCTCCTGCCTTTTCTCTTCTGCTTCCTTCTCCTTTGCGATCCTCAAAGCTTCTTCCTCCTGCCTTTTCTCTTCTGCCTCCTTCTCCTCTGCGATCCTCAAAGCTTCTCTTCTCTGTGCCTCTTGCCTTTTCTCTTCTGCCTTCTTCTCCTCTGCGATCCTCAAAGCTTCTCTTCTCTGTGCCTCTTGCCTTTTCTCTTCTGCCTCCTTCTCCTCTGCGATCCTCAAAGCTTCTCTTTTCTGTGCCTCCTTCCTTTCCTCTTCAGCCTGCTTCTCCTTTGCGATCCTCAAAGCTTCGCTTCTGTCTGCCTCTTCCTGCTTCGTCTTCTTTTCTTCGTTGTCAATCCTCGAAGCTTCAACCTTCTTTGCATCTTCCTTCTTGCCTTGCTTGGCCTCATCTTTGTCATCAGTCTTCGGGTGGTCAGGTAGGCCTGTGAGTTCTACAATCTCATCATTTGAGAAGGCCTCTTCTTCTTCCTCCTCCTCAATCAAGACTTCCTCCACTTCCTCGTCCTCTGCGCTTTCATGTTGGTCAACTTCGGCAGTCTCGGCGTCCAGATTTTTTTCTTGTTCCTTCTTCTTTGCCTGAAGTCAACGACAGAGAGAGATCGAGAGAGAGAGAGAGAGTGTGAGATGAAAAGAGCTATGTGTTGACACGGGGCCTCTTTGTCCTTTGGAACCGTTTGTACGGGATTTCTGATAGATCGCGACTTCCTCTTGACCCCAGCATCCTGTGTGGAAAGGCCGATTGAAAATGGAGACACATTTAATGTGAACATTATGCCAACATACAGTGTCCTGGAAGATCATAGCACACATGGTCTTGAGTTTCGACATATTGCTATCCTTTCTCCTGACATGTGTTTTTTTCCAAGGTGGTCCAATTGGAATCTAAAGGAACATGCCATGATCAGAAATCATCGGCCTGGCTGCTGGTGTGCGTGAGTAAGCAGCCAGGATCTTACTAGACAATGCCCGGTGTAGGTTGCCTTCGTCCAAAGCCCAGTCCTGCATGAAAACAGTTTGACAAATGAATAACACAAGAAAACCAATGGGTGCCCATTTGGCCCCACCTCCAGGGTATTTGCCTCCGCAAGTTTGTAGCGATGTCCCACATCCATGAGCACATCCTTGCACGACATATTGTTGCACCGAATTAGTGGAAGTAAGGGGCTCGGAGGTGCTCACTATTCAACACCAAACTCAGTCCTTGCATTCTTGTTGGGTTGGTGGGTCTAAAGCAAAGCTCGGCAGCCAACGAAGGGCAAAACTCGTGTTTTGTTCGCTCTGAACCTGGAGTGCACTGAGCAATGAAAACACTCCTGACCTTAAAGAAAACAAACAAGCCAGGCAAACGCACTCTTCAGTCAGCCCTTTCTTCCCAATGTCGAGGAATGAGAAGTCCACACTGTTTGGCACCTCCAAAAAAGGAACAGGTTGAATCGACTATTGAATGTTTGATTCAAAAGTATGTCAAACGAAAGGAAATAAAACCACATCAGCTTTGTGCACCTTGCCATCATCCAGATATTTTTTCACTTTTGCTGTCGCTATGCCCTCCATTTTGGCTAAGTCCAAAAACCGTTTCTGGCGAAAGTCATCTTCAAGCAGTTCTTCATAAAAAGCCTGACAGTGGCCATAAGGGGAAGCACTGGGAAACACCAGCACATTTGGCACACCTTTGTGAGTTGTGAAAACGTTCATGCAAACACCTTCAAAAGACTCATGCGAGTCCGGTCAGGTTTGGTCGCGGGCATGGCTTTGCGCTGGCGCTGGGTCCACTCAAAATGCTGGCCCACAAAAAAAATGAATTGATGTGAACTATGAAGTTCTCCTAAGTTGACTATGCATCATTCTTTCAACAGCTGTTGAAGTGAGCCACTTGATAAAGCGGGCAGCCAGCGAGTGACCATAAAACCACTGCTTGCAGTAGCAATTGGTGGCTGACAGCAAATCTCACATTTGATAAAAGACCATTGAAAATAATCCTAAATTTGTGTCTTAGAGTTTGAACCATGATAGTTGGGAGATGTTGAAAGATATGTTTATGAGATATGCTGCTATTGAATATCCCTGATGCACGATGGTTGGGCGCACCACCTCGCTCATCTCCTTCAGAGACATCGCCCAGCTTGTTGAGCCCTGAGCAAAGAAAAAAACGGGTGGGATATTTATAAGGTGGGTCCCCCCTTCAATCTAAGTTTCTGGCTTCTTCGAAGGGCCCGCTTCATGGGGCAAAATGGAGGTTACATCTTTGAGCCAAGGTTGGCATGGGCTCCAAGAAGAACATGTGAGACCCCAGGATATGACCATGTAGACCCCAGGATAATCATGTTAACAAATGCTAAGTTTAACCTAGTGAAACTTAGCATTTATAAATGCTAAGTTTAACTTAGTAGTTGACGCCTAGGGTATATATAATATATTTATATATATATATAATTATATATACATTATACCATTTATATAGATTATCCTATGTATATATGTGCAAGTCCCAAACCTGGAGCTACAGTGACTCCCGGAACACCCCTTGAAGCCTGGCTCCATCCTGGAGCTGATCGGAAAACCGAGGCAGCTGCCGTTATGTGAGCCTTGGCTGCGACTCAGCAGTGGATGGGCCAGCGAAATTCCGCACCAGTGAAGGTTTATCCCATTCGCCCAGCTATTTATAGGGGTTCAACCATCCAATCAATGGCCATTTCAGGAACCGATTCATTGGAGGTACCTAGCATATATAAGGCCTATTTTTCAGGCCTATGTAAGGGAATACCTCCACCAAATATAGCCTTATATGGTAGGGTACCTCCATTTTAAGATTCTGAAATTCCCATTGATCCAAGGTGGTGCGTGGTGCAATTTCTTTCATCCACAGTATGTTCAAAAACAATTTGGTGCCCGAAAGTCTGCAAGTTTGGGCATGACCTTGCTATTACTGCTGGAGTTGAAGGTGACAGAAGGATGAGGCACTGCTATGGAGCTTGTTTTATTGTGTGAAAAACATCCAAGAGGAAATAATCTATAAGCCAAATATTACAGGGTTATGCGGTTTTTCAGCACTTACTGTACTAATTGGAATGCGCCCCCAAGTGTATAGCATGCATGAACTCGATTTTGGGATGACGCTCTGTGAACGGTCAGTGGCTTGATTTTAGGTGTGGACGAATATCTCCATCAACGGGCTGAGCCGTTTCTACTTGGTATCCAAAGATTGTGGCAATTACATCATACATAACCCTGCAATTACATTGGCACTAAGTGGTTTTGTTAAATGTTTCACTTGGGGCTGACTCACATTCGGACTTGCCTCATCATCTCAGTGGTTTGTTAGAGGACTCATTCTCTGATACATATTCCGTGCAAAGTGAGGCATGTGGGCTTTGAAGACAAGTAAGTTGGCCCCTGTCAGTCCCATAACTAGGATTCATGGTGGATACATCGACATTTTTTCATCCGTTTTATGTTATAGTGGATTATGATCATGCATGATACTTTTTGACAGTTGCTTTTATTGTTTGGTTGGTGGATTCAAACATGTTTCATTTTCCGATATGGGATATTCCTTCCCGTTGACTTTCATATTTTTCAAGATGGTTGAAACCACCAACCAGTTGTGATTGTTACTGTGTGTTACTGTTGTTTCTAATATATTAAATAGTAATTGTCATTAATTGTCTCACTATTGTTACTTTTTAGTTCACATAGTATGTTTCCGTGTTCACTATATCACAATAAGTTATAGTATAGTGATAATATAGTGAATGATGATATTATTTTAGTCACAATATAGTTTTATAGTGATAATATAGAACTTATAGATAATATTATAGTATAATACATATCATCTCACAATAATTATCATCATTCAGATTACATTCTGGGCTTATCAGCCAACACACATATACGGATACACATATACACACAACACCTATAGTATCTACGAGTTGCGCTGCAGACTGGACTGGTTTACCTTTCCCAGTGATTTCCAACTTTCCAGGTGTTCTACCTTTCTTGTGGTTGCTATGTATTTATATATATATAATATATATAATATATCTCTATATATAATATATATAATATAAAATATATATATAGGTAAATTATAACGACCTCACGTCGCGACCGAACCCTGGAAATCATGGTTAGTAAGGGAAATCATCCGCAAATGGCCGAACTATTCAGGTTAATTTACCCATATATATATATAATTATAATATCTATAATATACACGCGTTGACGGGATATACAATTGCACGAAATTTTCGTTGCCAAGCGTGATGCACCCCCAAATGCATGTGTGGAAAGTCAAAAAGCATCACTACTTGGAACCTCACAGATTTTGCATGGCCAGTAGGTCAGTAGGTAAGGTCATGGTTAAAATCATGGAGACATTCGCAGTACGAAAGGCGTGACCAACAAAAGACAGCCCGGCTATGCAGAAGTCATGAATCACAAATTCCCATCTTTTCAGATTTTAGTCTTTAAAGACGTTGACAAGGGGCATGTCTCCCTGCAGATTCCAGAAACTGTCTTCACAGGACAAGTTCACATATTTTAGGATATTACGGATATATATATATATATATATATGTATATATATATACAACCCTGTAAAGTTATAGGTCTTTGTTAGGGGGTCAATGACCTGAATGTTCAGATATGTTCAGATGCAAGTCTGTGTTCCTCATTTGGATGTTGTTTTCAAATCGTTGATGACTGTTTGAGATTACGAAAGCCACTGGACTCAGTTGACAAATTTACTGCTGACCCCATCCACGTTTGACACCTAACTCCAGGGGCCGGTTTAAAGAAAACCAAATGTGAAAACATCCCCAGTAAACATCTCCAACATCGCCCTTTTCAGGAAAACGGCAAGTTGCGGGAAGACTTCCATCGACTGAAAGAGCAATTCCTCAACGAGACCTTGGAGGCGTTAGCCTTGGGGCCATACAGATCCGGGAGTTTCCTGATTTTTAGGGGTACCCTAATAGCTGGATGGTTTATAATCCAAAATCCCAATCTAAAACGGATGATTTGGGGGTACCCCTATTTTAGGAAACATCCATTTAGATGTCTAGTCTTTCTGAGGTTGGATGGAGTTACATTTCCCCACTTTTCCAGACTTTACCTTTAGGGGATTGACAAACCAGCAAGAAACACGAACATTGCAGATTGGTGAATGGTTTCTAATGGATACTGTTTCATAATGGCTATGATTCAGCAAGATCATGATATTTTTCATGCCTTTCGTGCTTGGGAATGTGAAACGCTACACATACACATTACAGTATATATATATATATACATCTGGGTAAATTATCATAATTCACAAACCTGAATAGTTCGGCCGGGGGGTCATTTCCCTATTTCAAAAAACCATTTTTCGTCCACCGGGTTGGGTCGGTTTTCAGCCTATTGGGCTCACCTTCGAGGGTTCGATCTCGAGGCCAACTATCAGATTGACGAGAGGATCCAGAAGTACACCCGAGAGGCGAAAACCGGCCCTCCAGGGGGCCTCCAGGGGGCCAGGTGTTCACGTGACAAGCAAGCTACTTGACGGTTTCATGTAGTTTTATATATATATATATATAAACATATATAAACACATGTATGGTGGTTTAGTGTGTGTGGATATTTACTGTGCCCATCTACAAAAGTCTCATATTTGATGATAGGAATGGTGGTTTCCATAGTCATGGGGGTACCCCAAGCGAGCTTTGGATGGTTTATTTCATGGAAAATCCCAATCTAATTAATAGCTGGATTAAAACTATGGGTACCTCCATATACCCTCTTGTAAACGTTTACATAACGAACTGGAACATCATCATGCAAAATCATGGGTAAATCAACTATATATACCATTAGTATCCCATTAATATCCCATTAATATCCCATAATTATACCATTTTGAAGCCATTTTATGGTTAATTAATATACCATTAATATACCATTAATATACCATTAATATCCCATTAATATCCAGGCCGGGTAGTTCATCTTCAAGTCGACATTATTGGATCAATGAATGAAGTTCACTTGGAAGCCAACGTTGTTGGCCAAAAATAGGGAAAAACCTTCAATTGGGACTGCCATATCTAGGAAAGACTTTGGGACTCATTGACTCATTGTTTTGATTCAATGTTATTTTTTTAAGAATTCAAGAGTTTAGATGACCATAAATTCTCTCATCTAAATGGGGAAACCGACTGTTGAATTGTAGGTGAAGGGCTATGTTTTTGATTCAAAAAGGTGGAATATGTCCCATGTCCGGTCCTGCGAGAATCACCCAGCATGAAACATGTCATGACCGCTGGCGGTGGTTTTCATGTCCGTTTAACTAGCTACTATTTCTGGTTGGTGGTTTCAAACATTGTTTTATTTTACATAATATATGGGATAATCCTTCCCATTGACTTTCATATGTTTCAAAATGGTTAAAACCACCAACCAGAACTAGCTACTCTTTGATCATGTGTCAATTGGCTGATGTTATAGGTATAATCTCCAATCATCAACCAATCGTCATTTCTCCGAATTTATTCAAAATTCAATCCCCATGGTGTTTTCATTCTTTGCGTTCCTTGTTGTTCTTCTTGTTGTTGTTGTTGTTCTCGTCGGCCCATGGTGGTTGTTGTACTTGTTCTCCAACCGACCATCAATCCCTGTTGACCACGTCCAGATCGTCCAGGACAACTGCGATGATGGCAAGTTCCTTCCCATCATGAAGCACCGAGCCTCGGACCAGTAGATGATGGGTTCATACTGGTGATAAGAAATCAGAGGCTGTATTACTAGAGAATGAGATGAATGATTCTGGAAGCACGCATATATAATTACCGTGTCAACGTGAAATTGGTTGCTAAGCTTCTGGAGGATTTGCCAAGAAAAAGTCTTGAAGTATCTTAAAAAACGGGGGGTATATCATTACCATCACTGAAAAACCATAGCATTTTGAGTAAACCATAGTAAAACACCAGAAGTTTCAAGTGTCTAACAGTTGGCGACTGCTTTTTTTTTGTTTTGATGTTGTACTGCGATCATGTTGGATCATTTCGGATCCACGAGGACAAGACAAAATATCTGTTGGTCCCAGGAAATGTGCGAGTTTGTCCCAGATTCATGAGTTTAAACTCACTTGGAAAAATGTTGTTCTCTACAAAGTTCAGTATGACCAAAGAGTACTACTGGTTGGTGGTTTCAAACATGAGTTTTATTTTCCATGATAAAAAAGGGATGTCATCCTTCCCATTGACGAACTCCATCATTTTTAAAGATGGTTTTTTAACCACCAACCAGACTAAGTACTCCATGGATTTATCGCTGTGACCAAAAGACATGGGCTTAGGCGTTTTTCAGGAAGCTTTTGGTGAGTGCTCATGGACATGGGATGGCATTTCAAATTTCGGATGTGAGGTTAGCAACAACAACAGCAACAACAACAACAACAAATACAAATACAAATACAAATACAAATACAAATACAACAACAAGGTTCAACCAACAGAAGTGGAGTTTTGACAAACACGTTCCATGATGTAATTCTGAGTTTGGAATCCACGCAACCAGGGAAAAAAGCGATCAGAGCGGCAAGGGCGCTTTCAGGAAATCGGAACCGGCAAGTGTCCGTGGAGTGTATTGTCCTATTTAAATTTGGTTCAGTTCCCTACAGTTATGACCCTTAACAGCTCCAAATGGGCTTCTAATCACATATAACCTCAGTTATAGGAGTTATAATCCCATTTATAACTGTTGAGGGCCATAACTGTGGGGTGATGTTGACGAGGTATGATTCCTTCAATGGTAGGCCATGTGTGTTGCTTAAGACTCAAAGCCCTGTTTCTGTACCTAAATGTTCATGTTCCTGGCGTTTGAAGCCCAATTTTGGCTGGGTCCAAGTCCAGTTTCTGTTGGTGAATTCGGATGTTTGCTGCTTTGACTCTCACTTTTGCGTAAACCTTCAAAAATTGCATCATTTTGTCATACTTCCTCCATGTTTCATCATTTGTCTGGCTTCCACCCCTATAAAAACCCCTATCTTTTCTACAAATTTTCGGGAAGCTCGGTGGGCGCTTCATCCGGAAAGCTCCGAGGATTGGCGGTGAACATCTTCGTGGTCACCGGCTTCCACCGCCATGTGGGCTTCGTGGGGGACTACTATGCCGACCCAGGAGCGTTTTTGTGCGGTGGAGCGGGATGTGAGATCGGGATGTCATGGGTTTTTGAATGATGATCAATAAGTAACCATACAGTTATGGCCCTTAACAGTTATAAATGGGATTATAACTCCTATAACTGAGGTTATATGTCATTAGAAGCCCATATGGAGCTGTTAAGTGTCATAATCTGGTTGGTGGTTTGGAACATGTTTTTTTTCATAATAAAAAAGGGATAATCCTTCCAATTGACTTTCATATCTTTCAGAGGGGTTGAAACCACCAACCAGTAATGGACTATAAGTAAAACTATTGGAGGTTTCCTATGTTCCGAATTATTCCTCATTTGTTTCCCATTTTCTTGTCTGATGTGGGTAAAACAATGCCATAAACCACCCATGACTGGGAATGGTAAAAATAGCGCCTATTAAAATGGTGGGGGCATGGTTTATGATTGTTTCACCCACATTACAGTGATTCTGGAAAAAACTATAGCAACCTCACTGCGACGTCACTGGAATGATGGTTAGGCTTAGGTTAACCACGAGTGGTCTCATTTCAGTTCTGTGGCTTAGCGTTTTTTCCAGAGGTGATTAATACCAAACATAGTATGACAATGTAATAGGGACACAAAAAGGTTTGTGTGATTGTGAGTGTATACATACCTATAATATAATATAATTTAATATAATATAATATAATATATAATATAATTTAATATATTGTTCATAGTATATTTATTGTATATAATGAATATTCTCTTTTACATATAATATATCCAGTCTATATATATATATATACATGTAATTAATATAATATATCAATATACTGATTTTTTATCATATACAATAAATTATATACATACTAATAATATATGTATTAATATAATATACGTATGAATAATACATTATACCCATATTATCAGATATATATATATATACACATACTATCTGTATAAATTATATATATATGTATGTATATTATATATATATATGTATTTTTGTATATATATATATATATTTACATTTGTATGGGATAGTTTCCAATGCACTAACAACCACTAATTCAATAGGGAACTGGATAAACCATAGGAACTCACGGGGCGACCTCACTGACTGATGGCTAGTAGGGAGAAGCATCCCAAACATATTAAGAACAGGGGGGGGTTCTTAAAATGCGTGGCTTATAGTAGGAACAATGTTAAGAATATCTAAGATTTTTCTGTTGTAGGAATTATGGTTCTTTGGTCAGACTTCACCAGCCCAACCGGCCAAAATTTGCATTGAAGTGTCAAAAATCGGATAGTTCTGGTGAAGCGGGGACCACTGGCGGTCTGGCTTCCCCACGGAAATGATCCGTTGTTGAAGGTACATCTTTTTTGCTCAGAAACACTGGGTGTAAAACAATGGAAAGAAGCCCCAAAAACTAGGATATCATGTTGTTTTCTCACCCAAACACTAGTGAAATTGGTAAAAAAGAGGCCAATTTAGATTCGTCACTGGGCATGGCAACTCCATTGCCCAAAGTATCGTGGGTTTGTATGATTTTTTTTGGGAGACCCAAAAAAAAAGGCCATCTCTGAAAGGGAAAATGATGATAAACCATGATCATCCATTGGACTTGGATATACCCCCTGGCAATTGACCACAACTATTGAAAATCACCATGCTATTAATGGGTAAATCATTTCGGTAAATCAACTATTTCGACTGGGCCATCTTCAATAGTTATGTTACCAGAGGGTACCCAGTTTTTCAGACTAAACCAGTATTTGAAAGTAGAATGTCATTGGTTTTATAACATCGCCAGGGCGTGTGTCCCAACAAAACCGCGCCAGCATTGATTTTCATTGATTGCTCCGGCGCAGGCTTGGCAACAATGTCTTGGAAGAGTGGTGAAGCCTTTGGCAGGCACCGTTTTTCAGCTAAACAACTGGGGTCGTTGTGAAAATTGCCCAAAAAAATTGGGATTGATCCAACGTGCCGTGAATATGGGGATTTTATACAGCCAGATTTGTTTGTTGCAGAATATCTGTATCTGGATGGTGGTTTGGAACATGAATTTTATGACTTTCCTTATATTGGGAATGTCATCATCCCAACTGACGAACTCATATTTTTCAGAGGGCTTGAAACGACCAACCAGTGTATAAGATTTTCTTTGATACCACAGATTCCTTTGGCCGTGTGAACGTCGGGAACCAGTCGCCTCAGCTTCTCACTGGACGAGAGTCGTGTGCGCCACCTTTTTTCCCAAGGGACATCATTCTTTGATAATGTTAGTAAAGCAATACAATCGCCAAATTTACTATAATTAAATGGGTGCTTTGCTAACATTACAATATTTGTTGTTTTGGACGTGTTTCTTTGTTATTCATGGTGAAAGCTGCTACTCATAGACAAGCTGTTTGGGGTACCTCCTGCCTATCCAGTCTCTGATCTTGGACCTTTGCGAAAAAGGAAGAACCCCATTTTGTTTGCAAAGTTGTGTGTTATGTAGGATCTTCATGCTCCCGCTATATTCACACTGAATGAATTGGTCATTTTGGTGGTACATGTTGGTCAACATTCACCACAGAGCAGGGCCTCACCATCTGACCCTTGAAAGATGTAGATGCTCCAGAGGCTGAGACTTGTGAGTTGCTGTGGTATCGCTGTGATTTCCATGAAGTCACATGTTGCGATCACAATTTCCCACAGACTCCATAGTTACCTAGATGATTGGATAATTTTGTATTTGCAAATCTTAAAAGTCTTAGTATATGGATATGAACACCCTTCATCCTTGTCCCATAGCGTAGCTTAGTAACAACACATGCCAGCATCACGGACCATTTTCCATCAGCGCATATACAATATATCCCTACGTCCCTACCATTCTACCCAGAAGCACTGCCACTATGACCATCCATAGTATACCATTCATAATGTTAGTGAGTAAATCATAGTATACCATCTATATACCATTTATATACCATTTGTATTAACTGATTTATCATCCATAGCACCAGCATAAATTTCTGGCATGTGAATCACCACCCATATGGTTTCATCGGGCAGGCCGCGACAGCATATGATCATGTCAGTGGTGAATGTCTTCACCTCCATGCGTCAGCCTCTTTTGAAGCTTGGCCAACGACTGCCAAAAAACCAACGCGAGAGGCTGCGACAGCTGTGACTGGGGATGTCGTTTGTTTGGTATACGGAGATAGTACGAAAAAAATGAAGAGCTTGCATAACCTTTGATAAGGATATCATGATATTCAGAACCAAGTTGGATTATGTATGTGTTCTGCTCATATTTTTTTGCGAGATTAGAGCTTTCCATTTGCCGAGATCACTGAGAAATGTTTGGACATTGGGAGTTATCGACATTTCATGGAGATATGGGGCCAACAACCACCAATATGATTTGGGAATTCTTGTGTTTGTGTCCAAAAAAAACTGTGTGTGTGATCCCTAAAAAGACAATTCTGTACAGAACTTGGTGGTCAAGTAGTCAACCCATGTCAACCCTTTGCATACTCGACATTTATGCAGTTTTTGCTGGGGCTCGATGTTGCCAAACAGATCCTTCATGGAGCATGCCGGAGACGTTTTTATGGAAGCAGATTGGGCACCTGATCTGAGACAGACTTTTTTGATCGTTGCTTTTAATGTAAACCCCGGATTAATGAACTAATGAGGAGGGTACTCCTCCAATAGTCATAATCTGATACTTTTTTATGGTACCTTCCCAATTCAACAGCCGTTTGGGGTTTAGTAATCCAGGGTTGACTAGTGAAAATGAAGGAGTGGTTTTTGAACCTGACAATCAACAATCAACTTGCCTTTTGCCCTCAGATAACCTTATTCGATAATTTGCAAATATTTACCACATTGTATTGATACGTTTATTTACCATTGTTTATATCCATTTAGTGGGGTACGTGTACCACATGAAGCTCGAGATACAGAATTGACAGATGTTTATCAGTCAACCATCCGATTTATAGAGCCTGGTTGAGAAATTGAGTGCATAGTTCTGATCCAATCCTCACTGTCACGTGCGGTATCAAATGGGACCGGCAGTCCAGCTTGGTGATCGGTACTCTTCGGATGGCAGAAAAATGGATCACTGAGATATTTGTGTGAACCCTTAGGCCTTAATAGTGAAACATCCGAGGTGCAGAAAATACCAAAAGGTCTGCCAATAATATTCCCCGTCCACGTTATCCCCATTAACATCCACATGATATCCCTTTACAAAACCCATTCCCTTATGAATACATCCCATATGATCCACCAAAATGAATATATTGAATAGTTCCAATACCAAAAAACACTTTGGGGTTTCATTTGAGTATTGAAAAAGTCCGAAGGGGCGAAGGGATGAAAATCCCCCATGATGATCCCGTTTGATTTTTTCCATGAAATCTCGCTGTGTTTGATGAACCCCCCATGTTTTTAGTGGTTAAAAAGTGCAGAGCTCGGAACATGGGCCCAGGAAAGAGGACTACACCCACCTTTTCAAAGGCCTTGAGAATGAGGAAGGCTTGACCAAGGCTGGAGGACTTTTTTTCTCCCATGTTTGATGACACAGCCAGGTTTATGAACAGCAAAACCCATTAGATTTCATTAAATCACCATTCAATCCCACCAAAAAAAACTCATTAGAGTCCATTAAATCACCATGTTTCCCGTAGTGTGTTCAAAAATACTGTAAAATTATATCACCATTAGCATTAATGTTGATCTCTAGTCAAGATTTTCAGCTTCAGGCATGGCGGAATTTCCAGGCGAACCTACAGGAGGTGCCGGCTCTTGGGGGAATCCATTCTAAATAATTCATGTGTTTTTTAACGAAGGAAGAAACGGGGGTTGAAAAAAAAGGGGCTGCATCCCACTTCACTGGAATATCCCCAATTATATACATGGGACAATCTGTGACAAAAAGGAATTATATATGAACTATAAACCACGGATGCACGTCCAAGTCTGGGCTGTGACATAACTTACAATGACATACAATAGGGATTCAATGTCTGACAGAATGAATCAATACCGGATAATGTTAAGTCAGGATTAATCAACAGCCCGTTATTAATCAACCTCCTCCTCCCAAAAAAAAAATGCAATTTAAAAACAGGTGGTCCCCACAAATTAATAAACCGGTGGGCCTACCCCCGATTAATCAACCACCACTTCGGAAATCCATTTTTTTATCCAACATTTTTTATTTCCAATTCTATTTATTTCCAATTGTTTTTTACCTTTTTTTTAATCATCATTGTTATACTTCAGGTTTAAGTTGATCATTGAAAATTTCAAAAAACAACTATTCCCCAAATGATCGATTTCTAATTAAAATATTTATTAAAAACATCAGTTTGGATAGCTCCCAAAAGGTACCCCCCATGAGCCCATGTCCCCCAGTAATAATAACCATGGTTTGCCCCTAATTAATCAACCACCTTTCTGATCCATGAAATTTTAACAAATCCAATGGAATTCTATTAAGATCTAATTGACGTAAGCCATATCCAAAGTTTTATGGTTCAGAGTTGCTTATTATTATGGGGTGTTTAAGAAAATGACCTACAAAGTAGAGTTCCGACCTTCTGGGGGGGGGGGGTTGATTAATCCTGACTTGGCATTACAGGAAAACACACATGATTTCACCGCCACAAAATATGGGCTCCTAATGGTGGTGCTGGTGCTATCACCGACCTGGACGCGGCCTGGGTAAGCGCCCACCTGGTATCGCCAGTGCAGTGACAACATTTGCAAGGTAAGGCGCCCCGAGTTTTATCAGTTATAAGTTAAGTTATATAATAAACTTTAATAAACATCAAAATAAACATATACAAACATCAACCCCAGTTTTATGAGTTATAAGTCGGTCAACAAACCCATATGAAGCCATTAACTCGAGTTACATTCCCCATAAATCCCAATGTCGCTGTATGTCACCGCCAGGTTCGAGTGCCTAATTTAGAACATCTAAAGATGGCGTGTAAATATGTTAGTTTCCGCATGACACAAAACATAACGCATGACATATTTGTTTCTGTTTGTTTGCCTCAGAAAAAGACAAACACGTGATTATAATTCATCAGAGGTTAATGTTTTGTTTACTAATCTATGATATTAAATAAGTTAGATTAATGATCAGAGGTTTGATGCTCACGACCTCAGCTGCAGGTTGAAGAGGACCCGAACTCCGAAACATGGAGATGTGATGAACCATGGAGATTTCAGCAGCTAGCTCCAAGTAGCCTTAAGACTAATGTGTTTTATCTCATGAACTTAGTAGGGATCCACCATTTTTTGTGGATAAACAGGAGGATCTATGCATGAAATAGTGAGCATTTTGGAGGTTACAGGGACCTCACCGGCTGACAATTTTAAGCTGTGGGTAACCCCTGTTGATTCTTTAGGGTTCTGTAATATTTTATCAAATTTTATCTACAAAATGGGAGTTTCCATCTCCATGTCTGTTTCAGGTAAAGTAATCTGGTTGGGTAAACGACCTTCTGACCATGACCAGCTTCTGACAAAGAGCTGCACAGACGAAGGAGATCGATCGACGAAATGAAAAACGAGAGATCAAGAACATCAATATGCCGGGTAGCCTTGAGACAACTAGGCAGAAACCATGATTGGAGAGCAAGTCAAGTTTAGTAGATGAAATGATGAGCCTGTTTTAGTTATTTAATTCATCACACCCTCCAATAAAGCCAAAGCCATAACTTGACAGAAACCATGGTTTAATAGGAGATCAAACCACATGTTTGGGACTATACCATTGGGTGTCTAATAGTAGTCAGTGGTCGCATGCGTTTCGGTCGCAGTTGTTGGACTTATGACGTTTCGTCTATCCATCCATCTATCTACATGGATCTAAAAGTAGATGGCTCAACTCAAAAACCAAAATACCCATAAGATGGCACCGCGCGGTGAGAAAGAAACCGGCGCTATTTTAGCTGGAACATAAAACGAGTTCCGCCAATTGAAGGAAAACATCGCCCTACTTAAAAATGAGAAGGTAGATGGCGCAACTGCCACTCCAGTAGATGGACATAAGGGTATTGTTAACTAAGTTTACTACTTTTCCGATCATTTTTGCTTGTTTATACTGCAGATTACACATGTTTGTATTGTATGTTATATATATGAGCAACCGTAAAAACCCCGGCAATACTAAATATGTATTCGACGGACATTGGTTTATGGAAATTGATGGAAATTGTTAAAAACACGAGGTAAGCGATGGGACCTTCCCAAATTAGCGATACCCCTTTTCAAGGTTATGTCATCATATTTCTCTAATATCCACATTAGCGATACCCAAATATCACATATTATTCATAGTTCATATATATATATATAAATGCAGCAGTTTCCTGCAAGCGATACCCCCCAAGTTTACCATATATCATTATTGTACAAACGTGTGGTAAGCGATGGGACCTTCCCAAATTTGTGGATGTCCTTTCCGTGAACCTAGGGTTTTCACAATCGCTCATATATATACGGATGGGGCCCTAGGTTCTCCGATAGATGATAGGTGTTGATGATCAAACATGTGAAAAATGTGCGTTTCGCCATAGCGAAACTAGCATTTTGACATGAAGCATTGTTATGTGGAATTGGGCATCAAAACGGATGAAAAAAATATCGTCCGTTTTGAGCGCTTACAAAGTTGTGATTTACTTGATATGGGTTAGGAGGGTATAGTTGTAAATCCCCTTATAAATACAGCACAGATACGTTGCGATGGTATGCAACATATGTTGAAACATATCATTTTACCCTGTGTTTTCACAAGCAAAATAAAGGTAGCCTTATTTTACATGGTATTTGCACTACATTTGAATGTTGCTTGAAAGTGAGGAACCCTGACAGTCAGCATGTTTTTTGTTTTGTTTATCTTTCGTGCATGTGTTTTCATTGTATGTTCCCAATCGAAACTCATGCGTGGTGAATTTTCCATGGTATTTCCCATATGGATTCAAGATATTGTTTTTGTTTCGACATCTGTGCTCATGACGAGGTTTTTTTTGTGGTAATTTATGATATGATCAATGATATTGTTAATGATCACTCACTGTAAGAATGCATGTAGCTAGTTTTGTTCATACTAATGGATCATCATTGTTCACTATTATACACTGACCATGGAGCATGAACCAACGATTACTTGTCTTAATCCAAGTAATTCCAACAGCGGAGCTCTGCAGCGGAGCATCAACAACATGATCAACATTCCACGAACGATAATTCACCCCACCCCACCCCACCCCCCACCCCCCCCGTTCGCGGAGCATGATACAACGTGATCAAACATCCCACGAACGATAATACCCCATAGCACAACGTGATCAACATCCCACGAACGATAATACCCCACCCCCCACCCCACCCCGCCCTGTCGCGGAGCATGATACAACGTGATCATCTGCAGCGGAGCATCACAAACGTGATCCAACATTCCACGAACGATAATACACCCCACCCCACCCCCCCCCACCCCCCCCCCCCCCCCCCCCCGCCGTGTCGCGGAGCATGATACAACGTGATCATCTGCAGCGGAGCAACAACCGGTGTGCTGTCATCGGAGAACCTGGGTCCCCGAGGGTATATATATATATATATACATGTATGCATATAATTCCCCTAGATTTTTTATCCTAAAAATGAATTGCGCCATCTATGTCCCTTAAATCCCATTCAAACGCCAGAATTGTTTTTTTCGATGGGCAGTTCAGCAGGCTGAGGGGGGTTGGCAGTGGCACACGCATTTAGAAACAGGCTTTTGTCCTCATCATCAAGCCCTTGCCTGACTTGCTCCATCTATGTGGTTTGGAATTGTTTGGAAACAGGCCCGATTTCGGGGGCATATTTCTGCTTCAGGAAAGGAGATGCGGCATCGATGTGGCATATTTTGGTTAGGTTGGTTGATGGATGTCGGGAGATATGAGGGAGTTGCGCCATCTGTGTGGGCATTCGCAGCCTGATTTTGGCGAATGAGTGGGAGTTGAGCCATCTATGTCCCTAAAAATGACCTATTTTTTGCAATCTTCTGCGCTGGTTTCCCCCCATATTTTTTTCTCAACATCAAGCTGCCTTTTTGGGACATAGATGGCGCAACTCCCACTCATTCGCCAAGATCAGGCTGCAATATCTCCCTATATATATCTACAAATCATTACCATTGGAATTTTCTTGTTGGGCCATGTTCGACAATCTGGGCAGCTTATGGTGGGCCAAACTGGGGGGGTCCTTGGTCCGGTCAATTTTAAGTAGCAAGGACCCCCTTATTTTTGGCCCACCATAAGCTGCCCAGATTGTCGAACATGGCCCAAAATAGCTCCAACAAGCTCCAAACGGACGGGAGTTGAGCCATCTATCCCCCATTTTTTTTGACATAGATGGCGCAACTCAAGATTCTGAGCCATCTACTTTTAGGGGCGAGTATCTATCTATCTATCTATCTATCTCTCTCTCTCTCTCTCTGTCTGTCTGTCTGTCTGTCTGTCTGTCTGTCTGTCTGCTGTCTGTCTGCTGTCTGTCCTGTCTGTCCTGTCTGTCCTGTCTGTCCTGTCTGTCCTGTCTGTCCTGTCTGTCCTGTCTGTCCTGTCTGTCCTGTCTGTCCTGTCTGTCCTTCCTGTCCTGTCCTGTCCTTCCTGTCCTGTCTGTCCTGTCTGTCCTGTCCTGTCCTGTGCTGTGGCTGTCCTGTCCTGTGCTGTGCTGTGCTGTCCTGTCCTGTCCTGTCCTGTCCTGTCCTGTCTGTCTGTCTGTTTGTTCTGTCTCTATCTCTCTATCTATCTATCTATCTATCTATCTATCTATTTCTTTCTTGTTTTATCTATCTATCTATCTATCTATCTATCTATCTCTATCTATTTATTTCTTTCTTGTTTTCTTTCTATCTTTCTATCTATCTATCTATCTACCTATCTATCTATCTATCTATCTATCTATCTATCTATCTATCTATCTATCTATCTATCTATCTATCTATCTATCTATCTATCTATCTATCTATCTATCTGCTATCTATCTATCACTTATCTATCTATCTATCTATCTATCTATCTGTCTATCTATCTATCTATCTATCTATCTATCCTATCTATCTATCTATCTTTATTTCTTTCTTGTTTTCTTTCTATCTATCTATCTATCTATCTATCTATCACTTATCTATCTATCTATCTATCTATCTATCTATCTATCTATCTATCTATCTATCTATCTATCTATCTATCTATCTATCTATCTATCTATCTATCTAGTCTATCTATCTATCTGTCTATCTATCTATCTATCTGTCTATCTATCTATCTATCTATCTATCTTTATTTCTTTCTTGTTTTCTTTCTATCTATCTATCTATCTATCTATCTGACCTGTCTATCTAGTCTATCTATCCTATCTATCCTATCTATCCTGTCTATCCTATCCATCCTATCTATCCTATCTATCCTTTCTATCCTATCTATCCTTCCTATCCTATCTATCCTATCTTTCCTATCTTTCCTATCTATCCTATCTATCCTACCTATCCTATCTATCCGATCTATCCTATCTATCCTATCTTTCCTAGCTATCCTATCTATCCTATCTATCCTATCTATCCTATCTACCCTATCTATCCTATCTATCCTATCTATCCTATCTACCCTATCTATCCTATCTATCCTATCCTATCCTATCCCATGCTATGCTATCCTATCCTATCTATCCTATCTACCCTATCTATCCTATCTATCCTATCTGTCCTATCTATCCTATCTATCCTATCTATCCTGTCTATCCTGTCTATATCTATATCTATATCTATATCTATATCTATATCTATCTATCTTTCTTATCTGTCTATTTCTTTCTATTTCTTTCTATTTCTATCTATTTCTATCTATTTCTATCTAACTATCTATCTACCTATCTACCTACCTACCGATCTATCTACCGATCTATCTACCGATCTATCTATCTATTTATCTATCTGTCTATCTATCTCTCTAGCTACATATATACATATACATATATATATATATATTTACACATATATCTATCTATCTATCCATCTATCTATTTTTCTTTCTATATACTTTTCTATCCTATCCTATCCCATGCTATGCTATCCTATCCTATCTATCCTATCTACCCTATCTATCCTATCTATCCTATCTGTCCTATCTATCCTATCTATCCTATCTATCCTGTCTATCCTGTCTATCCTGTCTATGTCTATATCTATATCTATATCTATCTCTATCTGTCTATCTATCTATCTATCTACCTACATATATATATATATATGTGTGTGTGCGTAATGTTTTCTTTACTATAAGACGACTTCGTTTCAGTCACATATCTCCTTCCCAAGCTGTTTCATTTAACCATTTAATCAGGTTTTACAGCTTCAATGTTTATACATAGTGGTGTTTCACTACCTATATATCAATTTCAATCAATACATCTTAGATTAAGATGTGAGAACATGTGGTGTTTCGCTACTTACATATCAATCATTTTAATTTAACCACATTCATGTAGTGGTCATTTCAGAAACCATCATGTGTTATTTACCTAATAACACATGGTTTTTTGCAGCTTCACTACCTGCGTTATTTCTTTCAACTGAACATTCACGAGCCGACGAGCCGAAACATGTTCGGACACTAGAGATTTAAATCCAATCGGTGATAGTTCGCCACAGTGAAATGGCCATGAAAACTAGTGGAATGATTGGTGATTTCTATGGGATTAGAGCTAATAACCAGTTATAACTAATCAATGGCCACAGAAATAACCAGTTATGGCCATTTTTTCTGTACATGGGTTTTTCTTGGTACTTATAACTGGTTTATTTCGGGCCATAACTGCAGGTGAACTACTGGATAAAATGACCCAAAGTTATGCCCGAAGTGATTTGCTGAGGTCTCCCAAAGTGGTGGAGAGCGCTGTGTCCAAATAGTTCGCAATGCTCAGTTCAACCCTTTGGCTTCATAGTTTCACTTGGGGTTATTACTATAATATATATACCCATAGGAACCATGTATGGTATATATGCTAACATTTGGGGTATATTCATGGTAAATGTTACCATAATTATATAGCATACGTGGATCCTATGGGATATATACCATGACCATTCATGAGCCATAAAAATAGATAATTTTCAGAAAACTGTAAAATGGTGATGTTCCACATCTACGTGATAGTTTAGAGTTGGAAAACTGATTCAATAACATTTTTTATGTATTTGATAACTAACCTGACGAAACCAATTAACGACAATTACCGACTACAACTTTGATCCGCCAACTGGGAATCTCGCCAACTGGGTAAATTGAGATCATTTCAGGGGTGAACTGCGCCGTGTCCAAATGATTTCCGCAGAGTCTGAAGCGGAGAGACTTTTTCAGCCAACTGGATGGTCATTCGGGGATGGATGAAGATGATTTTCCATGTTGAAGCAACCATTATTGAACATAGAACGTCCAAAGAATTTCTGGTTGGTGGTTTGGAACATGGTTTTTATGATTTTCCACATATTGGGAATAATCATCCCAATTAACTTTTATATGTTTCAGAGGGGTTGAAACCACCAACCAGATTTAGTTCTTCAAAAAATAAGAAAATGGATGTCAACAAAAACAAGAGACATCCTGTCTGGGAAAATAGTTTGGAAAATGGAGGATTTTCCACTGGCATCTTAGATTATATACGAGAGGGAAATTTGCGATTTGTGACCAACTCTGAAGGGGATATGCTGCGATATGGTCATTGGGGCGTGTCTGAAAATGGGGTATACCTCAAATTAGCTACTGATTGTGGGGATAATGATGATGATTAGATTTGCATCAATTTTGGAGGTGTGCCCCGGGTTTCTCTTCCCCAGAGAATCTCAGTGACTGCACAGAGAACAGAGACTTTTCATCACCTCAATCAAACCTCCAAAGAAAAGCGCCCAAAACCAATGATTGCGCTTGGCTGGGAAGCCAGTTTAGCTGGGAAGCCAGTCATGCCGCAGCATGGCGACCGCCTGGGGTTTGAGGTGATGATCCCCACAAATGCTGCGGGATGCCAAGCGATTTTTCCTGCTTACCTACAGTATGTTGACTGGGTAAACCTTGGTTTCGTAGGTTTATGCTTGAAATTGTTGCTGGAGGAACACAGCCAGCCATGGTATCTAAGAATGTCCAAAAGAAGATTGTCGGAATGGATGACAATTTGGAGCCGGAAAAAAAACCAGGGCACATCAGCATGGCAAAACTATAGAAACTACAATAGGTTGAGGCTGGGAAATCCAGGGGTGTCATCATTCAACTGGTGGCAACCTCGGAGGCAATGTAGGAACCAACATTTTTTAGGCACCCCATCCCACAGATGTTCATTATTGTTCGTTCAGATATGTTTCCAAAGTAAACACGGACCATCAAATTTTGTGGGTGCAAACAAACAAATATTCTTGCAACACAATTCATCTAAGATTATTTCCAAACCAAACCAACTTGTTCCAGCTTCAATGATCCGAAAACCCTTGTGTTTTTTTGAAATAAACAAAGGCCAGATCTGCCTGAGCTTGGGGGAGAACATCGCCGACCCCAGGGGCAGCACGTGAGACTCGCCGGGAATCGTTTACAGTTTACAATGAGGAAAAAGAGACTCAACTTCTGGGACACCTGGAATAGTGGTGATGTGTGGCCCCACGGAGAATCCAAGATTAGAGGAATCTATACGATATATGATATAATACATATATATATATGTGTATATGTATGAATATAATGTAGAATTGCGTATGATTTTATTCAATCTTCAGCAATGTCTCTTTTTTTCTCTGAGCTTCAAGTTCGATGAATCCAGGCTCGAAACCGTTGAAACGGTTTTTGGCAAAGCGTTTTTGGGGCGAGGTTTGAAAGTGGGAAGTGTCCCACTTATGCACAGGATTATACATTTGTTTTTTGGTATATGTGCCATGATCGAAACATTTTTATGTGATGTTCTCAGAAACTGCGGGATGGTCATCAGTCCATTTTTATAAGCTATTAATTTCCAATTGTTTGAGGATTCCTTCAGGACGGTGGTATGACCCTACTCTCATGTCAACTTTATGGCAATTTGACCATTGCACCTCAGATCAAAAAGAACAAACCAGGCATTTCCTGGGTAAACCACTGATTGGGTAGTTTAGGACTTCAATCTTTTGCTTATCTTTACCAACCAGCAGATGAATGCAGATTTGATTTTGCAGGGTATCCAAGAAATACATAGAAATACTTGATACTTACTTATTGATTAGGATGATTTAAGAACTATTAAGAACTACTTTTTACTTGGTACTCCCTGGGAACCCTTGAGTTCTGTTCCCACAACCTATGGAAACGCGACTGCACAGCGTCGCTGAGGTGCCACGGCACCTTGAAACCAGTCGATTGCTGCAGGTGGGGGACCTGGCCATCCTGGCCATGTCGAGCATATCATCAACCAACCCATATCAATAGGAAATTCAATGGGAATGATGATATGCTATAAATCATAGGATATGGGAATTTCAATGGTAATTTATCATCAACATCCCAATAAATCAATAGGAAATTCAGGATCCTAAATTGGAGGTACTGTACCATATTTCTGGCCATATTTTGTGGGGATATTCCCTGAAATTAAAGCCTGAAAAATAGGCCTTATATATGGTAGGTACCTCCAATGAATCGGTTCCTGAAATGGCCATTGACATATGCGAACCATGGTGCTGGTATATATGCACACCTACATGACTGGCTGATTTTTGGTGGTAAATGCTGGTGTGCACATGCAAAAGCACCATGGAATGTGCATTTGGCCAAAGTATGAATAAGAGTTATGAAGAAGAGTTATGAATGAATAATCACGTAATTATTAACAATATAACTATAACTATGTTCTAAGATGTTCGACTTTGTTTTTGTTTTTGTGTTTAATTAATTAAGTTGTGTGAATTATATCCTATTTTGCTCAGAGGTGTGGTAATTCTGGGTTGGGCCTTTTTCAGTCCCGTCAGTGGGACCCATGTTTGATAATTTGGGTCCCCGAATCAGCTTACGACAATGTTTTGGTTGAAGACATACTTGTGAAGTGGTCAATGATGGTATAGATAGCCTTAGACTAAGCTGGTCACCATTACCGTAGTTTTGATCATCATACCCGGCACCCCCAATTATAAGTTGGTTTATAAACCCCATGAACTATAGATAATTGTAGATGTAGATATAGTTGCCATAGACCCTACATATATGAGTCATTACATTTTATTGGTTGTATAAGTTATGAACCAACTTAGCGATTCCATGCTGTTTTTTTGTTTGACCTGACTATGAACGGGCCTCCATATGGACACACCAAATCTGCGAAGAAAAATGATCTGAAAGGGTGTATCAGGTGTATTTGTATTTGAGTGATAGTAGCAATATTATGGTTCTAGAGTTCCATATGCTAGTTCTGCCTTTTTTTTGCTCATGAATATTTGGAACTATAGTATGCATGTACTATAGAAGTTCATTATTACCCATATGCTCCATGTGTAGTATATTTACCTACATTTGGCTGATGAATTGTTCGGGTAAATGTTGGTGTGCATATTCCAGCACCATGGAGCGTTGACCCCTCAGCTCCCAGAGCCAGGAAGCCCTCCAGGCAGGAAGTCCCGCTGATGGAATTCTACATGGATGGGAATGGATCACATTTTAAGGCCCCAAAAACTACAGATCTTAGTCTAAAAATGTGTTCACCATCGTATGAAGCTACCCAATTTTGACTCTCGCCCAGATGTTCATGTTCTTGAGGCTGCTGAAAAATTGTATGAGGCCGCCATCTTTTTGCGGTCGTGATGACAACAGCCAATCAGCCAACAGGACCTGATTGGGACGATCAGCTACTTCCCAACAGTGATGGCTTCTGTTTCCAGTTGCACATGGGGCCACACAATCAACTCCAATAGAATCCCTGCATCCCCAGTAACATTGATAGTTATAGATAGGTTTAGTAGAACCAGATGAACTTATTATTTGATGGTAGGCTTTTTCTTCAGGCCCGTCATTGTGGAGTGGGCTACCAAGTACCCTTTTGCAGTTCAACATTGCTAAAAAGTCAATGTGATGTCTATGTATTTTGAATCATGAATTGATCCTCCACAAGCAGATCTTTTTTTGGGAAAAACACTCTGTGAATCGATACGCTCCAGACAAAAGGGGTCCCCAAACAAATAGAAAAAGGCTTTCCAGGACATTATAGATAGATGATGTCTTCAGAATTTTCAGGTGTTTTTTGTTCTATCTATGACTAGGGATTACAATATTTCCATGGGAGGTTTGAAAACCGCTTTTCCACGTTCGCGTGTCAGGCGGCTGATGCCAGGCGGAGTTGGGGCGGTGTTGTTCCCAAGCAACTCAGCATCGACAACAAAAAAGCGGTGACATCCGAATAACTAAGAAACAGGAAAAGCGAAGTGAAGTTGCAAGAGAAAGTAGGGATTGAACAACAAAATGATATATATATATATAACTATATATATATATCATGTTAATAATAATATCATATGTAAATTGTATTTATCAATAACAATTGGAGGAAAATAAGTGAAATACAAGAAATGTCGTTCTGAAATACCACATTTCTGGTATCTTGAGATATATCGGCGATTAAATTTTCCGGCATCCAAGATGTTTTAATTATTTTGTTCTTGTTATCCAGGCTGCTTTTTTTGTTTAAACCCATTTCATGGCATGTTGATGGTGTGCAAATATTCGGGACTTGTAGGTTCTGTTCATGTCAATGACACTCTTCCCTGTAATTTTCATGTAATATGTAGTTGTTCAAGCTGATTCTTCACTGGCAGAAATGACATGAAACAATTCACAACAATATGTTCCCAGACACTGTTATGTCTTTAATTTAGTTACGTTCAAGAGTAGCCCTTGGTCCCCATGAGTTGTTGTTTGAAAATGGGCCCTGGCTGCCAGGGACAAAATTGTTGTTCCATTAGCATTTGACATCTACAGGTTCATTACAATCAAATTATGCCTGGCAATGGTGACCCATTCTTGTAGCCACTCCCCAAGAAGCTCCCGAGCTGTTCGGATATGCAATGATATATATATATATATACATACTCAACAAGTCAACATTATTATGCTTTATCAAATTACGTAGCTCACTGGCGCACCACGGAACGCAATGTAGCACGTTTGACCCACAGTAAAACAGTAGTGTCAGAGCAATGTGTCTCAGACAGACACAGATGATTGAGATGTTGGCTATTCCCTGAAACAGGCAAAGAAGGATCTTCTCCCAAAATGAAGCTAGTCATCCTCAATTCATGCCTATAGAATGACACCAATGCGTCGATTCGATGTATCCATCGACCTGCAGTCATTTTTCCACTCAAACTTGAGATTCAATCGGGCCCCGGTTGGAAGTACACCCTATACTTCTTCGGCCCTAAATCTTTGAATTCCAGGCGGCCATGCCCGGTTTTGGCCTTGCCTTCCTTTTGAGTCGTTTGGGCGATGGTGCACGTGGAGCGTCCGCTCTGGCCAAACGCGCCACAGCCGTGCGGCTCCCGTTGCGACCGCGACAGACCTCCATTGTTGCAACAAGAGCAGCTAAAGAGCCACCAACGCAAGCGGGGTAGCTTGGTTGGCGACTGGGAAACATAGAGAATTGGCCTCGAACGATGAGAGTTTGGGTCATTTCATCAACAGGTAGATTTAGATTGGGATTGAAAGTTCGGGATTTAAATTTGTTGGTGGTTTCAACCCATCCCTAAAATCTTAAGTCAAGTCGGGCTATCGTCAGACTGGAATGGAATATACTGTACCAATTATTTCAAACAATTCACCGGACGAAGACCGATTTCAATCGGGAGTTGAATGGTCCGAAGATTCGAAAAACATAGAGATGCAACAAATGACCAGTTCTTTTGTGGCTTTGCGGGCCGAAACTTTTAAAGATCTCATGTTGAAGTCCCTTTCCAGCCTTGGACCTTAGGTCCAAAGTGGAGGATTTTAGATGCCCATTCCTCTTGAAGTTGGTTCATATCCATGACTGCCGGTGTATTGTTGCTTTTTCCTCCAACAACGCAGCCACCTCCAAGCTAAGAAACTGGGCGAAGAGAGCGTAGGCGAAAGCCAGTTAATTTGAATGCAAGCATCACTCAATCAGATGAACTCATGTAATGGCGGCACAAAATTATATAAGCTGAATTTGTTTGCGTCAAATTTGGAGGCACACCCCATCAAGAAAGCGAAGATATGATCAGGGAAGTGGAAGGAATGAGAAATGTGCAGGGATGCAACATGGCAAAAACAAAAACTCAGGCAATGTGTAGATCTCAGGGCATTGATGGACCGTTGGTGGGATTGGAACAGTCGCATGGCAGCTCGCTTGAACCTTTGGACAAGCACTTTTAAAGTCATGGATTGGTTTATGAAACCTGGAAAGCATTCAAACTGGAAAACAAAGTCTGCCACAATTTCAACCCACGACATTCTACGATCTATGCGACCCAACGACGCACGCAGATTGTGAGAAAATATCGCAAATAGATGCAAATAGCGCCAGCTGCACTGGGACTAAGCCGCGCCGGTCCTCCATCAGTCAAAACTGCAGGATCTGGACTTGCGACCAATGGCTGCCACATTTCTTAGGGATCAGCGATGGCGATATACCTGTTATGGTGAGAAGATACTCTAGTTCTGACAGGAGGGCTAGTTGCTTCGCCTCGCTTAACGCAAGAAATGAATATGTTTTCGGCGACACCGGCACGGATTACAAGTGGGCCACATGTCCCAGAACACAGAGGCAAAAATCTCGAGGTTTGGGGGGCACCAGAGCATACAAAAGAAGACATATGGACCAAATGGGCTTGCAGTGACATGGCCACTGCAAGCTCTTCGCAGGCCGTTTGTTGGCGGGTTTCAAGGAAAGCCCAAGCGGTATCCTTTGCTAACTTATCAGCACAAGAGTTACCTTCGGTGAGAAATGGGTCTTGACAAAGGACATGTTTACGACAGTGGGCCTTTACTTTTTTAAATTACCTGGTGAAAGGCTGGCCGCGCTTGTTGGCCAATTGGAGAAACAATTGCGTTGCAAGAAGGAAGTTGACAATTCTAACAACATTTGCGCAATCGGAAAAATCGTGATATTTCCGACGCAACGCCATAAAGCTGCAATTGTTGCAGTAAGTGACTGGATGTGGTTCATCGGATGTTTGCTTACCTTTTTATTCTAGCATTTGTTGGACGGTCAACTGCTGATGCCTTTTTGTTGCCGGACATATCCTCATTTTTCGTCGTTGTTGAACCTTGTTGGCACTGTGCACGTAAGTGGCGGCCACACGCGAGACATATTGAAGCATTGCGCGTTGAAATCCCATTAAATGGTCCAAACGTCCCCCAGGTTCCAAAGAAGTTTGTGTGTATTCACTCGCATGATTTCTACAGCATTGCTTCGTCCAATGTTTTACCATGCTTTACCCATATTTACAGTCTCCCAATCATGATCCATTATTTTCCATTTGCCCGTTAATCTTTGTTGTGAATTAATTGTCTGTCCAGTTTAGCACGCGTTAACATTTTTTACACATTTTAGTAGTGTCCCACTACTGTTATTACCCATGCTAATTGCGAATTATCATGCGGTATCCCCGTTCTGATTGTTTAAAATCACTACTTTTTCGTGGGCGTGGACACCTCCTTCCCAATGAATTTTGGTAGGTTCAAGGTAGTGCCCCCTATAGTTACAAGTTGGCGTATCACCAAAAACTTTGCGACTCGGAACCACCAAATGATGACATATGAGGGCACTCTTGACCCACAAGATCAATAACTCTTACAGCCAAACATGACCCATATCTAGTTTCATTAACTGACCTTTAGTATCCATTATGTCCCATGATTTTGGTTTATCAACCAACCTTAGTATGGTTACAGTCATCAGGGGCGTAACAAATACTTTAGTGACCCAGAGCGAATTACACCAATTTAGCCCACAACAACGGGGTGCCTTGCAAGATTCAATTTCATGTCATACCCCACGATCTTGTCATTATACCCATGATACTCACATGAAACCACAAATAAATCACCATTTTTAGTACAAGGTGAAGCCCCTGGATAGCTGTTTTGGTTTACAAGCCCCATTCACATCCCCCTAATCAGCCCAAACGTTAACCAAGTGATCTGTCCTTAGCACTTCGCTATCATAAACCAATTCCGAATCCCGTGAAATCCCTATTTTTGTTATTTAGTTAAATCACAATTTTCTTATGGTTAAAACAGCTATAAATTTAATAATATGCCCATGATATTCAGCAGAAATCACCATTTTCCCATGTTTTCCTTTGGTTTTCCCGAGGTCCAAGCGAAGTTTGGCCACCTTAGCACTGGTGGCGGGCGCCTTCCGCAGCACCAAGCGCCGCGAGCAGCGCTTGCGGCGCATCGGCAGCTCGCGGGTGGCCTTGGGAGGACGCCGCCTTGGGACGCCTGTGGAGTTTGGAGATGCAGGGAATTTTTCATTTGGGTAAATTATAATAATTCACTAACCTGAATTAAGGCCATCTGGGGATGATTTCCATCATTAACCATGATTCCAGTGAGATCGCAGTGAGGTCGTTATAATTTACCCAGATATATGGCATAGGCCAGCAAATTACCACCAATATATATGGTATTAATGGTCCTACTGGTGGTTCATCACACTTACTAAGTAGGCTATAGCCCTGGTGAATTCAGTGGGATAAGTAGGGTTAATCTACTTATAACTAGGGTTGTAACCCACTTACTAACTGGGATGAACCACCAAGTATAATCAGCAAACATATATGCGCAATATAGTTTGGATTCTTTTAATGGTTAGTATAAGTTAATGGCATATTAATAGTACCATTTGTAGTTTGGAATAATACATGGTTAGTTTACCCATCACTAATCACCATCATTAATACGTATATATATATATACATACATATTAATGGTATTAACGGCATGGAGTTGACTATTACTAACCATGGTATAATACTATTAATGGTATTAATACTATTAATGGGTATTAATTATACTTAATGGTGGATATTTTCTCAAAAATCTCACCATATATAATGTTTAAAAATGCCAGTGGTTAGCAGTGGTTAATGGTGATTCATTGTTATTTTACGAAGCCTCCATATGTGATTAGTGGTGATTAATGGTTGATAGTTTTTCAGAAAATTGGTATTAATGTGTGAATGGGTTTGATTTATTAATGGTTAATGGGTATCAATGGTTTATATTCGGTTAATGGTTATTAATGATGATTAATGGGTCAATATATATGAGGAATGATGGTGAACCAATAGTGGCTTTTAAAAATGGTGAGTATTGGTGATTAATGGTGCTTATACAGGTTTATATATATATGGTGATTAATAGTGATGAGTGGGGATTAATGGTGATTCATGTTTTCTTTTCATAGTCAAGTAGCCTAACATGGGGCTACCCCAAATCATTAAAAACACACCAATGAAAACACATTTTCAGGCAAACCCAACTATCGCATCAAGCTGGTTAACTATAGATCCCCTGACACATCTCATATTGTGTGCCCATAGTTGGCTTACCCCATTTTGGAGGTATGACCACATGTTCAGACATACCAAAATATAAGCAGGGGTTGCACGCGATGGGGATGCGTGAAGTTACCTATTACTATCATATGAATCAGGCGTTTTAGGGTACCTAGCTGTCCGTATGGACTATGGATGTTGCCTAAAATAGGAGTATCCCAGATCCTCCAAGTCATTATACCATGACTTAGCGTTGAAGCCCATGATTTGGGGTTACCATTATTTTACGAAACCTCCATATATGCTTAATAGTGGTTAATGGTGATGAACTTATGGGGACTCATGGGACAATATATTGGTATTGTGGGGTCATTGTGGGATATATATATATATATATATTTAATTATATATACATATACACATGATAATTGAATGATGGTGTCATTATCTCATAATGATAGTTATTTTCCACATTGACAATAAGCTGAATATCGGCTATCTAGGGTTTGAAGAGTCATACAGAACACTGATAAGTTGAAGGCCCCTTCTTGAAGTGTTTCCCCTCCTGTAATGGTCCTGTCATGTTCAAGTCAGAGAGGCATCAGCACCCAATGGTTCTACAGTGTATATGGCTATGGATCAATACTGGCTACCCTCTGGTAATTAAACATAGCTATTGAAAATTGTAATTTATAGTTGGTTTACAGTACCCATTCAAAATTGTGATTTTCCATAGCTATGTTAGTTTACCAGAGGGTACTCTAGCTTTGATATGATATTTGGTGCTCATGTGTGTTCTTGCCACCCATTCAGAGTTCTTTTCCGCCAATAGGCAATAAGTTTGGCACCCTGGTGAACATGAATAGTTGGTGCTCAGGGATGTTTATCACCCCACCACCATCAAGATGCAAAAATCCAAGCTGCTGGCCCATTTCCAGGGGTTGAAGACATGGGAATTGTTCAAAATCACAAAAACCTTCCTGTAAACTGTCATAGATTTGGAAAATCACAATTTTCTATAGGTAAATCATCTATATTTCCGGGCCATTCTCCACATCTATGCTGGTTTACCCCAGGTACCACAAAATTGCTGACGAAACGTTGAGCTCAGAATGCAATGGTACATCATTCTGGAGATGGCTACTCAGATGGGCCAATGGAGTTTGTTAATCGGTAATCATACATGGGCAATCTTTATTCATATACATATATATATATATATGTATATATATATACAGAATGGGGCCCCATAGTTTTCTAAGTCTCTAAGTTGGTTTAGAACTAAGATAACAATAGTGTATGATACTTATAACTATATTTAGATGGGGTTATAAACCAACTTATTTGGGGGCCCATCCTGTACACATATATTCCATTATCCCATTAGATCCGCTAACATGATATTGGGGATCCCAGTTGCGCCATGGCATGCCATGGCCAGGAATGATGCGAATGATCAGCCCAGATGAAGCACTTCCAGGTGCCGGAAATTTTCGTTCAGGTTGCGGGTGTTCACTTATTTCGGTGAATGATATTATATTTAATATATATTTAATTATATATATATATACGTCTGGTTAAATTATAACGACCTCACTGCGATCTCACTAGAATGATGAGAAAGGGGTAAGTATTATTATAATTTACCCGTATGTATGTATATATATATATAACCTCCGATTGGTGTGCCTAAATAGAATGAGGGGGCAGAAGCCCCTTTTAAAATAAAATAATAATAAAATAAAATGGGTCAGACCCCAGCATTTTATTTTGTGGGTGCATTTTATTTTTTGAGGTGCCTAACCCATCAAGACCCAGAGATTTGGAATCACTTGGACATTAACTTCGAAAACGGGTTGGCCCCCCTCATTTTCTATTGCCTTCCTTGGCCAACAAAAGGCACACGGGCAGCTTACAGCAGCCAATGAGATTTCTTCAGTTTATTTATATTTATTTGTATCTTTTCTAGAAACCATCCAGATGTCAGAAGTGGAACCAATTATATATATATATATATTATATTGATCGAAATCCGCACGATTTTTCCTGTGCCAACAGTGAAAAGGCTAAACAAGACTAAACAAGATCAACCAATCAAATAAGGAAACAATGTAAAGGACTAAACAAGACTAAACATGGTTCAAACCAATCAAATAAGGAAACAAGACTAAACAAGATCAACCCAAAAGAAAATGCCGGAGCCCGAGGTCCAACAGTTGCCAGGTGGAGGGTGCCTGACGTCAAATTCTTTTTGTACCTGTCCATTGTATTTTGCTTGGGTTTTCCTATCTTACCTTATGCCCTCTCATTTTATTGGCATTTTGTCCTTAGGCCCCTGCATTTGATTTTATTTTTTTAGGGGTCTCACCCCCCCTGGCACCAGCCGGGGGATATATATATATATATATATATTGAACATGTTGTGTATACAATGTGTATGTATATGATATATGTATGTATTTTACATTTGGATATAAGTGATGCGTTCCAATGTGATGATTTACATTTATATTTATTATACATATAATATGACTGAGGTTTCACTTGTCTCCATGATATATTTGGAACGACGATCCCACAGTGGGATCTGTTTTTTGTCATGTTTCCCTATAGGGCGTCTCCACCATCGGCAAGAGAAGTCTCTGGCCAATCCCACATCAGAGATGTATCAGCAGCCATGGGTTTATTTCACCAACATATGGGTGGTGCTAAAATAGGGGGATCCCAAAAATGGATGGTTTATATGAAAAATCCTTCGAGAATGGATGATTTTGGGGTACCCCAGTCTTGGAAACCTCCATATTGCACTGGGGTTTACAAAATCACAATAGATTACGGGCAATCAGGGCAATCATTCAACCACGCAACTGTTGAGATCCCATAATGTCACCTCAGTTTCTGGTGGAAGTTGGGATTGAACTGTCACAAAGGTCCAATTCGGGAGGGTTCACTACCCGCCCATTCTAGTAAGTCATTGGGAAAGTCAATGTGGCACCATCTGGCAAAGTAGCATAGCTATGGAAAATCATCATTCAAATAGCAACATGTAGAAGATGAACTATAAATTAAACGGACCATTTTCAGCAGCTATGTTAGTTTGCCACATTTATAGATGATTTCACATCAAAACTTCATTTAAGTGTATTTTCCACTGCCACGTTTTATTACCCGAGAGTAAACCCCAATGCCATAGCGCCCCCTTGGGGATGTCAGCTCTCAACAAAGGTCGGGAGACTGAGCTGCCGATTTCGTCCACGCACGCGGTGCTCGGAACGCCCATGAAGGGACCCTGGCCGGAAGGCATGGAGCCGATCTTTAACCACAACAAACTTGTCCCATCCCCTTAATGGAATTAGACATATTGGATGATTCTATGCAAGTATATTGGATGTGTTTTCTCATGGGGCTATCACGCGATTATAATATCGATGATAATCCCATCTACCCAATATTAACCCTCCCTGAATGGTTCCAAACATGTGTAAATCCCCTACTAAACCATGGTTTATGGTGTTTAATATTTAGAGTATTGGATCGAATCTTGACAGTATTTCATCACTGTTTTGAGGCAACGCCCCCATGAAGGAATTATATAATCAGGTGAACATTAAACAGCTGCTGTATGGGAAACAAGGGGTTAACCCATTAAGTATAATGGGTTAATCTCTAAAGTATACAAGGGGCCTGTAAATGATGGGTTAGTTGGTTAGGCTAAGTATCAGACTTATGGTTTCGATGGTGGCTTGGATTCCTGAGACTACCCCATAGCGTGTGGGGATGGGTCAAAACCTATGTATCCAGAAAGTAAACAAATTGCCTGAAGAAGTTTATGGTTGTTGCCACCAAAACAACAAGATTCTCTCAGAATGTTTCAGACTAGTTTAATGATTGAAATTGAAACATCACAAAAAGATTGCATGTTCCTTGCCATGTGTGTGGGTGTGTGTCCATACTATTCGGTTCACAGCCGGGTCCCAAATGGTCTGGTCATGCGCTTTCAGTGCATGCGTTTTCGACCAATCTTGCTGGGTTTGCGGGTTTGGTCAAAGATATTGGGATACCCCAGCATAGTGGATATAATAACTATAATATATATATATATATATATTACATACCAGGTTTTTGATAGATAAATATACCAGGTTATTGGTAGAAAAATATAGCAGGTGGCTTGGAACATTAATTTTTATGACTTTCCATATTTTGGGAATGTCATAATCCCAACTGACGAACTCATATTTTTCAGATGGGTTGAAACCACCAACCAGATAACTATAATATATACCAGGTTATTGATAGATAATATATGACTAATGATTCATGGTTATATGATTCACTATAATATAATTCATATATGATTAATGATCAATGACTATCAACGGATATACATACATACATATATGTATATAGTGTAAATGGTGGATATCTCTATAATGGGGAAATTATCTATTCTGAGCTGAAACAACAATTTACCCAGGCTACAATGATCTTTCCAGCGTTAGCCAGTTGAGTTTTCACTTCCACCCAGCAAGTCATTGCCTTGTTTGACTGAGAGTAGCGAATGCAATGTTTGACCCACACCTGTTTGGGCAGTGCCCAAAATAACATGCGGTTGATTATTATAGGAGTTCTGTTACTGGTACCTCTTTAATCTTGGGATTGCAACAAACAAAGAAAAGGGCATTTGCCAAGTTTAAGCCAAGCTGGGAGGTTTGAAACGTGCATCTACCTAGCTTGATACATCTACCATAAATATCAATAAATCCAAGTGAAATATGAGTGAAACGAACCAACTTAGCTATCATGACTTAGCTATAAATCCCATATAATCCCATTTTATTTTTCCCGAGAGCGTCTGAGCGAAGGGTTCTTCTAATAGTGGGGGTCTGTTAATGATACATCTTCACATCTTCACATCTTCACATCCCCACATATCGTATCATCTTCACATCTTCACATCTTCACATTTTCACATCTTCACATCTTCACATCTTCTCTCTCTCTCTCTCTCTCCCTCTCTCTCTCTCTCTATCCCTCTCTCTCTCTCTCTCCCTCTCCCTCTCCCTCTCCCTCTCCCTCTCCCCCTCTCCCTCTCCCTCTCCTCACCTCTCCCTCACCTCACCCTCACCGACCGCTCACCCTCATCCCTCACCCTCCCCCTCCCCTCACCCTCAACCCTGACCCTTACGCTGCGACCTCCAAACACCCCTTACCCTGACCCTCCCCCGTCACCCCACCTCAAGCACCACGAACCTCACCCTCCCCCTCCCCCTCACCTCCCCCTCCCCCCTCCAATTGCCGACCCGACTCGCCCCGGAGGGCCCCGGCCTCTGAGCCTCGCCTTCCAGGCCGCCTCGCCCTCACCCTCACCCTCACCCTCACCCTCACCCTCACCCTCACCCTCACCCTCACCCTCCCTCTCCCTCTCTCTCTCTCTCTCTCTCTGTCTCTGTCTCTCTCTCTCTCTCTCTCCCCCTCTCTCCCTCTCTCTCTCTCTCTCTTGCCTTCCGTCACGGTCTCTCTCTCCTTCTTTTTCTTTTTTTCTGTCTTAAGGCCGCGAGCGGTACCGACGAGGCGCCACGAAATGGCAACCTTTTCGAACCAAATGAGGTTCGGTCGTCAAAAACTGATGTAAAATCGTGATTTAACATCCTCGGCGGCAACCCTTTCGCACGAAATGAGCTTCGATCGTCAAAAACTGAGGTAAAATTGCGATTTAACCTCTGCGTCGGCAACTTTTTTCGCACGAAATGAGGTTCGATTGTCAGGGTTTTTTGCGACTTTGGTTGGTCCCGCGGCAACCCATTCGCACGAAATGAGGTTCGATCGTCAAAAACTGAGGGTTTTTTGCGACTTTGGTTGTTCCGGCGGCAACCCTTTTGCACGAAATGAGGTTCGAGTGTGAAAAACTGATGTTTTTTGCGAATTCGGATGAATTTGGTTGGTCCTGTTAAAGGGTCTGTGTGTAAAAGTGTCTGTGTGTAAAGGGTTCTGTGTGCAAAGCTTCTGTGCGTAAAAGCGTCAGTGTGTAAAGGTTTCTGTGTGTAAAAGCGTCTATGTGTAAAAACGACTGCGTGTAAAAGCGTCTGTGTGTAAAAGCGTCTGCGTGTAAAGCATCTGTGTGTAAAAATTTCTGTGTGTATGAGCGTCTGTGTGTGAACGTGTACTAGAGTTTGTGTGTAAAAAAAATTGTGTGTAAGAGTGTCTGTGTGTAAAGGCGTTTGTGTGTAAAAATGTTTGTGTGTAAAGGGTTCAGTGTGTAAAGGGTTCTGTGTGTAAAAGTTTCTGTGTGTAAAAGCTTCTCCGCACTGCCGTGTGTCTTCTCAATTTTTCTTCATGTGTCTTCTTCGTTTCATCTTCCTGTGTCTTCTCAAGTTTTCTTCCTGTGTCTTCTTCGTTTCATCTTCCTTTTCTTCCTCTTTCAACTTTTCTTCCTTTCTTCAATGTCTGCACCATGTTTCTTCATTTTTAAACATCATCGTATATTTCTTTATTTATGTTTTCCCTAAGTCTCGAAAGCTAGTAATTTTACTAATTTAGTAATTTTACTAACCCAGAAGATTTTACGTAATTTTTTTGTTGATTTTTGCAAAATTAGTAAAATGTAAAAAAAAGGAAAAGTGCATCAAAAGTGCATCAAAAGTGCATCAAGAATGCGCCAAGAGATGTGTGATAGTTTTTCGAATTTCCTTGAATTTGATACAGGAGGCAGAAGGAATGTCCAAATATTGTTGAGGAATGTGCAGAAATTAGCACGTGGAACCTGTAAAAGGATATGTCCTTTGCTGCAAAATGTTAATACTATGAAAGAAAAATGAAATTTCTCCCAGTGACTTCTCAAGTAAAAGTAAATGTTCTGAAGTAAAATCATCTTCCTATAGCAAGCGATTTCTGAAGAAAAAGATGTTATGAAATAAAGTCAATGTAATACATGTTGAAGGTATGTACTTGACATTGATTTGGCTCGTTGGCTTTTGCGGTTTCTTGGCTTTTGTAGTTTTTTACTTCTGAATTTATATGCATTTTTTTGTGAGAGGAATTGACATATGTTTTCAAAAAGTGTCCCAACTAGCCCTTTTTTGAGCTCTGAAAACAGTATTTCAGGACACTTGTTGAAATCTATTCTCCCACTATATCTACTTGATTTGTGCTTCACCACGTTTTCCATGACTGTCACGGTTCTGCGCCTCAACCTACGTTCCATATATATGGTCACAAGATGCATGTTGCCCAGTATAGACACCCAATATATATATATAGATACATGTTTACTTGAGTTTACTTGAGACTGCATGCAGTGAACTTTACTTGAGTTTACTTGAGACTGCATCCAGAGAGCTTTCCTTGAGTTTACTTGAGCCTGCATCCAATGAACTTTACGTGGGACTGCATTCATTGAACTTTACTTGGGACTGCATCCAATGAACTTTACTTGGGACAGCATCCAGTGAACTTTACTTGAGCCTGCCCCCAATGAACTTAACTTGGGACTGCATTCATTGAACTTTACTTGGGACTGCATCCAATGAACTTTAATTGATTTTACTTGAGACAGCATCCAATGAACTTTACTTGAGTTTACTTGAGCCTGCATCCAGTGAACTTTACTTGGGACTGCATTCATTGAACTTTACTTGGGACTCCATTCATTGAACTTTACTTGGGACAGCATCCAGTGAACTTTACTTGGGCCTACCCCCATTGAACTTAACTTGGGGGCTGCATTCATTGATTTTTTACTTGGGACTGCATCCAATGAACTTTATTTGGTTTTTCTTGAGACAGCATCCAATGAACTTTACTTGGGTTTACTTGAGCCTGCCCCCAATGAACTTTACTTGGGACTGCATTCATTGAACTTTACATGGGACTGCATCCAATGAACTTTATTTGGTTTTACTTGAGACAGCATCCAATGAACTTTACTTGAGTTTACTTGAGACTGCATCCTCTTTGTTTACTCGAATTTACTTGAGACAGCGCCCAGAGAACTTTACTTGGGTTTACTTGAGACTGCATCCAGTCAACTGTGATTGAGTTTACTTGAGCATGCATCCAGTGAACTTTACTTGAGGTGACTGGAGGCTGCGTCCAGTGAACTTTGCCCAGGTTTGCCTCCAGTGAACTGACTTGGCACTTGCTGCATACATTTTTCAAGATTTTTTTGGATTTTGTTTCCATTTCCTAAGAAAACATTCAAAATTGATGATGCACTTTTGGTGCACTTTTGATGCACTTTTGATGCACTTTTGATGCACTTTTGATGCACTTTTCAAAAGTGCATCAAAAGTGCATCAAAAACAAGGAAAAGTGCATCAAAAGTGCATCACTTTTAAAAGTTATCAAAAGTGCATCAAAATTGCATCAAAAATGCATCAAAAGTGCACCAAAAGTGCATCAAATGTGCATCAAAAGTGCATCAAAAGTGCATCAAAAGTGCATCAAAAGTGCACCAAAAGTGTATCACTTTTAAAAGTGCATCAAAAGTGCATCAAAAATGCATCAAAAGTGCACCAAAAGTGCATCAAAAGTGCATCAAAAGTGCATCAAAAGTGCATCAAAAGTGCATCAAAAGTGCATCAAAAGTGCATCATGTTTTTGACCATGTTCAAGCATTTTTCTGAAAAAACATCTTTAGACAGATGAAAAAATAAAATTCCCCTGTGGAATTGAAAGTGGAGTAAGGGTCTCACTAAGACTTCTTGGCTGCATCCTTTCAAGCCAGCCAAAGGTTTACAAAGATTTCATCCAGACCTTCTCCAAAATTTTTTGATGAGAAAAAAATGCCACAAGAGTCTATGAGTTTCCTTTTAAGTTGAGTCTTGAAACAGGCAAGTCTTCAGACCGCATGGGCAAATTTTTATGTAATTTGATCAAGGTTTGTAGCAAGCATACCTGAGTTAAGAAGGTTGGGTCTCACTAAGACTTCTTGGCTGTATCCTTTCAAGCCAGCCAAAGGTTTACAAGGATTTCATCCAGACCTTCTCCAATTTTTTTGATGAGACAAAAAAGTACCGCTAGAATCTATGAGTTTCCTTTCAAATTGAGTCTTGAAACAGGCATGTCTTCAGTTCCCATGGACAATTTTTTTTATCTTTGAGATTTCACCAAGTTTCATTTACCAAAGAAAATATCTAGATTTTGTTTTGCAAATGTAAATGCTTTGCAATGACTTCTTAAAGTCAAGATCCAATGTAAATTCTTTTTGTGGCTTCATCTATACTTATGTAAATCCAGTCTGTATGTTCATATGCTTCTTTTGCACCAGGTAGGTCCCAAAGTAAATTCCATACATATATATATATATTCTAATTCACCTATCCTGAAAGAAATTTCTTCTGTTCTTGAGATGAGTTTTGCAAGCCACTGCAGTGCACCAATGGATTTCATGCATTGTCTTGGTATTTGATTTCAGGATTACTGTAAACCTTTTGGTACAGTCACAAGCAATATAATATATAGATAGATAGATAGATAGATAGATAGACAGATAGATAGATAGATAGATAGATAGAAACATGATTTCACACAAAAAAAACAAATAAAATCTCAAGTATAGTCTCGCGCAAGTATCAAAGACACCTCAAATAAAGTCTCAAGTAGTCTCCAGTGCAATCTCAAGTAAAGTAACTCTTAAACACTCTACTACAGAAACAGCAACATATCGATTGAAATCCTCCAGCGGAAAGACCCCATTCATAGCCAAATCATCACAATCCACAACCACACACATCCAAAAAAGAACAAAATCAATCGAAAAAAAATGCAAAACAAACATATTTTTCATCATGCATTAAAACATGCAAAATTTTACTAACGTTAGTAAAATCATTTACTAACATTAGTAAAATTTTACTAACGTTAGTAAATTTTACTAACGTTAGTAAAATTTTACGTAAAATAACGTTAGTAAAACAGTCGATTTTACGTAAAATTCAGGGCGAGTAAAATTACTAACTTTCGAGACTTAGGGTTATCATCCCATAATTATGTCTATATTTCCTGTTTCATGCTATAACATCTTCATACTTACACATCTCACTACGCTTCTCTACGCTCTCGGGCCATCCGTCGTCTAGTTTTTTTGGTAAAATCACCAGGTTCCTGGGGTTTGCTGGGAGGTATGGACATGTTTGTCTTTGCGAACGGCTGCTTCTGGGGCAGCGAGAAGGGTGTCTGGCGGCTGCCTGGGGGTGGCATCTATGCCACCGCGGTGGGCTATGCTGGAGGATTCACACCCAATCCAACCTATGAGGCGCCGTGGGAAAGTGACGGGGTACCGATCATCCCAAGAATTTTTAAATTGACCCATGTATAAAATTGTATAAATGGGATAATCTACTGGCAAGTTGGTTATACTGGATTTCACCTTCACAATCCTTCAGACACATTGGGAGTGGAATTTGCAAGATCATCCCACGGATTGTCCCATTAGACATGGGTGATGTGTGGTGATGTTATACCCCCAGTAGCCAGTTACAAGTCGTGGGATGACCCTCCTCTGGGTTAAGAACAACGCATGGAGGGGTTTTGGCCGTAATTAGTTTTGAAGTATGGTATGTTATTTTATTACATGATTGCTTCCAATTTCGGAAGCCATGTGAATGTACCTAGAGTATAATACTTGGTTTTAATCTATAATCGCGCACGTGATAGGTCCCTCAGCACTCCAGCCATGTGTATTGGAAACATATCGAAACCCAGTCGATCTCATCCACCCAGACCGGTTTTCGAGTTCATCTCCCCCGGCGAGTTGTCGCTTCTACCCCTCACATTTGATGGTGAAAAATTCGATCCTTGGTTGCTTCTATCCAAAAAATGTTGCCCGATATCCGATTGTCCCACGTGTGTTGATGTGTGTTGTTGAGTGTTTATTCTGGCTGAATATGGACTGAACCCTGCAACGTCGCAGGGTGGATGCTTAGGATTGGGCAATCCCAAAAATTAACAAACAGTTCACCTTAGCTTAGTCAACTGTTCTATTTTCCAGATTAACAGGTATTAAATGGGGGTATCTTAAAATGGGGGATCCGCAAGTCACTCTAGAGGTTTCCATACTAAGTCATGATCATTCATGACGACTGGACGATTCTGGGATATTTTGGGGTACCCTCTGGTAAACTAACCTAACAATGGGAAATCACCATCTTTTATAGGTGAATCAACTATAAATGGCCATGCTACGTTAAATTTCCTGAGGGTACCTCCATAAATAGCCATTCTTCACCAGCTTGACTTACCCCTGTTCTCCTGGTCGAACAGCGGTAATCGGCAGGAAGCCTGCAGCGGCCTGACGGGCCACACTGAAGCAGTGCTGTGGCGAAACCATGGGATACCTTGGGGGGTTTATCCCATTTGGCAAGTCGGGCATATAACGGTTTTAGACCTGGTTATGTTAACTAAGTTGCAGAAGTAGACTTAGTCCAATTACAATTGGGCAACTTACATATGAACTGTGGTGAACCCCCCAAGTAGCTGTTTGGACTCACTGAGTCACTGTCAAGTTTAATCAAAGGATTGGTTTAGGGGAAAATTTAAAGGAAAACCGTTTTTTTCATGGTATTTTAACCATGGTTTCCGGTTAAAAATGTCCCAACAAAACCAATCCATTGACTTAAGGACTTGAAGTCATCCATGTCTACATTGAGCAATAAATGGCCTTGGCAAAATCCACAGGGCCTCCATCACTCCATCGATTATCATAGACACACTGTTGAATTCTGTGAATTGAATATATTAGTTGTATCTATACATATTACATACATATATATATATATATATATATAGATAATATAGATATAGATAGATATATATATATATCTATATAATGTAATACATAATATATCATATTTAATATCTAATATATTATATATATATATATAAAATAAATAAATATATAACATATAATATATAATATATAATAAACAATTTATAATGTATAATGTAATATATATATATATAAATAATATATAATATAAAATATATAATATATATAATTCTTATTATATATAATATATATATAATATATATAATATAATATATAATATATATAATATATAGAAGATATATAATATATACAATAAATATAATATATTTAATATATATAATATACATTAGATATATAAGATATATAATATGTATAATATATATATATATTTATATTATATAATTAATAATATATGTATAATATAATATATAATATATATATAATATGTAGAATATAATATATATAATATATATATAATAATATATATATATATATTATATTTAATATATATATAATATAATATATATATATATATTATATTTGATATATATATATACACATGAGCATACCATATTATGTAGGTCCTGTTTTCGGTAGTAACAGGTGTCTGTTCGTGTTTCCTTTATCGGAATCGCAAGATTTCCCAAGAGGACCACCGGTGTGTCCCCGGGGCGCCTTTTCGCGCCTGAGGTGAAGGTGGTGTTTGACCCGGAGAAGATCCTTGGCTCAGCCAATGGGTGCAGTTGAGGGTATACCCTCTGGTAAATGAACTTGTTGAACCTGAAAATACCCTAGTTTTAATGGAAACTAATCTTCCAAACCCTATTTGCCAGGGTCTATGTTAATTTACCAGAGGGTAAATGCGTAATCAAAATTATACAAGGTGGTGCCCCATAGATAGCTAAGTTGGTGCAAAGAACTCCAATAACTATGGTTTCTGGTAGATATATCGAACTACTTACTATGGTTTATAAACCAACTTATAACTGGGGGGCACAACCTTGTAGGAGCCCCATATCCCAATGTATGGTGGTTAAAATCCTATAGTAGTTTTAAGTTTTACTTATTGATAACCTCAACTGCACCCTCCCAGCAATACTGGTTTTCTCCGGAAAATTAACATCAAATCTCCAAATCCATTGGGACATCATCAACTTTCGATTGCGTGGAAACTTTGAGAACTATATGGATGTGGGTCAAAATGGAAGACCTAGGGAACCACAGATGTTAGTCTAGTTCAGTATTAACCATCCATAATTTTGGGGTACCTAATTTTGACCCATAGTCATATAGAACTATATGATGTGGGCACAAAGCCATACCGCGTCCTATGGGCAACGACCACGATGTTATTGGCCAATGGGAAAACCAATAGGCCTCTTTTAGTGCCAACTGGAGTTCTCGGGCCTCACGGGTGCCTGACAGCGCCTTTCGTGTATTACATCAAAGACATGCCCCAAAAGTGCTGGTGATGAATTCCAGGATTGAAATTCTGCTGCTTGGATATATGCCATGTCAGGTTTGGGATCAATCTGTACCACTAGACCTTTTCTCTGGTGAATGAAAGGGTCCATGTTCAGCCATAAATGGAGGAATTATACACAGCTCGCTCAAAATATATCCAGAGTGGTTTTTGTTATCATCTTTTATCACTTGTTTTCTTAGGGTATCTGAGAATCTAAGGTTCGTCATCATGATGTTGATGACATTCTGATATGGATTAGGGTATCTAACATCATACCTAACATTTGCCATGGTGATATTCTGATCCTATTGACCATTACCCTCTGATCATCAAACGTGGCTGGCTGGAAAATCCCTTCTAAATGGAGGTTTCTCGCTGGGCCAAGGATCTATAAATGGTGATTTATTCCAGCAAGCCACGTTTGACTACCAGAAGGTATATCTCATTGTTGTCCCATTATTAACCATAGATTGGTGGTAAACCATAGTTATTTTGATGGTTGAAACTGTGAAAAGCCATGGTGGAGTGTGTCCCTGTTGGAAATCCCATTAGATATCCATCATTCCCATGATATTCCCAGCAGATTCCCAAAATATTCCCATAATATTCCTCTTGAATTCTCAATCTAGCTGATCTTCCCATTGAACATCCATTTGTTAGATGATATTCCCATAATGTTCCCGTAATATCCCTTATAGATGGTGAATTTTCCAGATTTTCCAGCCACGTTTGACACAACGGGTATCCCGAGGATCAGCTTGGTGGACATTCTCCGCTGGTTCTGGGAGGCACACGACCCGACCCAGGGCATGGGACAAGGCAACGACCGGGGGACACAGCCACTTGGCAGCGATTCGACTTTCAACGGCTGTGGTGTTTGTTGGTGCTTTGGAACCCTGGAATCAATACCTATTAATATAGCAGCTATTTAGGGGAAATGGGTATGACACCATACCCTATGGTATTCCAAAGTGGAATGGATTACCATATGAATATGGAATGGATGATGACTTTCCATATGGCTATGGATCAATACCTATGAAAATACCAGCTATTTAGGGGGAACATCCATAAATCTCAGCTATTTTGATGTGAACAGAAGGGGTACAAGGTTTTGACCCATCCCCATATACCCTCCGGTTATTTAGCGTAGCCATGGAAAATGGCCCATTTGTAGTTGGTTTACCTATTAAAAATGGTGATGTTCCATGGCTATATGAAATAACCAAATGGTATTGGGAAGAATAATCCTAACTGACGAACTCCATCATTTTTCAGAGGGGTAGGTATACCACCAACCAGGATTGTGTTGTAAAGTTGTGAGCCCCATATATATGCGAACCATGGTGTTGGTATATGCACACCTACATGACTGGGTGATTTTGTTCGGGTAAATGCTGGTGTGCATATTCCAGCACCATGGAGCATTTGGGTACTAGATCAATAGGAGGTGATATTTCAGTGGTGTCATTTTAGTGATGTGTTCAAATATTGTTGCGTGATGTACTTACTTTTTACCAGTGGAGGTTATGATAGCCATAGTGATGCAACTGTTTAAAGACGTTATGCTAGCCATAGGTCCTAGATGATCTCCGTGAGGATAGGCGTTTAGAATTTGCCAAGTTCAGGGTGCCCCAAGGGTGCCCCAAATTCGATTTCGCCCCGGTCATTACCCCAGCACGTGTGCATGAGATTCTTTGGGTGCCGCTAACCATGACTACTGGCTACTGCACAAACTTTAAGGATCATCTTTGAACGAACACAAACTGTATCATGATCTGTCCATGAAATATTCAGCAAAATAGTTGGCTTGAATGATACCTTACTTTCTTCGTAAACCCACTATTCAGGATGTGGCAATGCCATGGTTTCACATCCCCATATTCTCCGTCGAAATTGGGGCGATTTCTCCCCCGCTTGTTGTTGGACACTGATGTTACTCATCAGTACTCATTATATCTGGATTCCCATGCTGGTGGGATGCCAAAAAAGGGGGCCCATGTTTATCCCTTCTTCGCCATGTTCCAAGGTACCGCAGTGGTCTCTATTTTTTCAACGACGAGCAGCGGCGCATCTTCGAAGCGAGTGCCTGGATCCCGCAAGATCTGAGATTTTTGTGGAGATCAGAGATCCCCAAGTCACCATGGGTTTCAATACTAAGTCATGGTCTAATTTTTGGATGTTTTGGGGGTACCCCCCATGACCATCCATGACCTATAGGAAACCTCCAAATTGGGTCGATTAAAGCAGCGAAAATGGGAATGTGGTTGGGGTTTTGACAAGTACACGTCAGACCTTTACCCGCCAAACATGGGGAGAAAACATCATTTGGTATCATTCAGGACATTGGAAGAGCAGGTTTTGCTGAGGAATTCGTGTTGATACAGAAAACAGGGACCAATCCTTAATCTTTCAGCCTCTGGTGATACAACCTGCAACTTATCCTGAGAATTCCTGAGAGCTGAGACCCAACTGGATCCCCAACTCGCCGTTTGTGACAGGTAAGGCGGCCTACGATAAAGCCCTGCAAGGCGTGAACCGTGGACGCGGCCCCATCACCACGGAGCGATTTTTCGGCCGTGGCCGGATCCATGAGAAAAGTGGAGAAATCTTTTTTCGGAAGTGAAAATGACTTGAAATTTGATTTATAACATATTCTATTTCAACATTATGTATACATGAATTTGATATCCTGGATAATTGTTGAGATTGAAATCCAATTGGTTTGGGATTGAAAACTGAATAAATTTGATCCAGTCTTGGGCTCTGCATCTTAGGTTTTGGAATACACAACCCCCCTCAATTGATGTTCCATTTTGATGAGAAGATGATACAGACTTTGGTTTTAGGGGTAGTCGCTCTTTTCGGAGAAAGCCATTTGTGTCCTGATTGGGGGATCGATTTATAATGATTTATAGGTGCTGGAAACTACCAGAAAACCCACCTCAATGAACAAACATGACTGGTCGGAAAGCGCAAATCATCTTCGCCCCCAAAAACAAAGATCACTGATTTGAAAGGGAAAATCGTCTTTCCAGCCACAAAAATGGGTTATAACATGTTATAACTTATAACCCATCCATGCTGTGATACGTTGCCAAGCTGCCTGGCGACACTTTCCAGGAGATCGTGGCTGCAGCCGACTTCCCGGACAACCAGGTCTTCTACTACGCAGAGGTCGGTACATGGTCGGTTAGATTTAGCCGGTGGTCAGCGAAATCTCAAAGTTGGTGCGTTGAGAACTCCAATTTCACGTTTGGGTTTCTGCATACATAATATATATATATATATATATTGATGGGGATTATGATTATAAACCAACAAACATAACTAGGGGGGCACCACATTGTGTAGGCAAAAAGCCTGGCAGATGAGGTTCTTCAATGAGAAATCTTCACCAATATTTGATTGATGGTTGATTAGTTGTTACATGGGTTATGCTATGTGGTTGATTGGGGTTTATTATCACCTACGACGTGGAATCTGTACCAGCCAAGCAGTGTAAAAGAACGAAGTTGCAGGTTTTGAACACTGATCAATGTCAAATGATGGCGGTTTCAGACAGACCTGACTCGAAATGTTCTTTTTGTGGGGGAAATGATCCTCAAAGAAATTGCAGCTTTGGGAAATTGCCCAAGAATCTGCGAGGTTGCAACCGCTTGCTCCAATACGTGATGATTATTTAAGAGGGAAACAGCACCCTACAATGGGCCAACGTTTTAGGTCGGCGATTTCTCATGACATCACCAGAATCATTTCTCCTGATCGAACGTATGCAGGGTTCTATGTTGTGTTTTTTAAAGATGTGATATGCCCGGTATGCCCATCTAGGTGACAATCGTTTTTCAACATCCTTCAATTTGGATTGAACAAACATCGAAAACAGTACGGATGCGATACGGATATGTGGCAAAATTTGAGGCCAAATGTGGTCACGTGGACCACTTTTTTTTTGGGGGGGGGTGCATTTTCACCAAGAGCCCAAACTTTTTCTTGTGCCTGTGTGAAGGCTGTGAAGGCTGTGCATGTTCCATCCCCATCTTGAAAGGGTCACTGGCTGGCTGACCGTCTGGCAGATCAATACTCTTTGGTTTGACCCTTTGACCCATACTCTGGAAGAATCCCACATTGATAGATTCGAAGTTGCATCTGCTAGTTATGTTTTGTGCCATTGTGTTGGTTCGGAATGTACCTAGCCCACTATTCTTTTTTTTGTCAAGCCGCGTACATGTCCACACGGCTGTGTCATCATAGTGAAAAAGGCTATCACTTATATACATGTTGCTTGGTATTAAGTCAAAGTCTTGTATGCCCGATATCCCATGTTCAATTTTTGTGTTTTGCATTGCTTAGTTACTTCAAATTCCAATCTCTAATCATACTTGGAACACATAGCTATCGTCAAATCCACTTGTGGGTTCAATCCCTTACTGTTGCTTTTAGCCTTCAATGTTTGCCAATGGATTCCGTGTTTGTGCAGTTGAAATCCCACTGTTTGTTGCTTAAAGCCTGAAGCCTGGCTGTTGATTTGTTTCAATTCTTGATGGTTCACCATGCTTGATGGTGAAAGATGATTATTCAAACCCTTTCCAAATTGGTGAAATATGGTTGTATACTTATGGTTGCATACCCTTTGCTAATAAATTACGGCACTGGAACAAAAAAAGTTGTATATACTAGCTGATTTCATCTATGAAAACCTGCCATTCCATAGCCAGATTAGACCACCAAAAGGTAATGCGTGGGGTATATCATAACGACCTCACTGCGACTGGAATTGATGCTTAGTGGGGGGAACAATCCGCTAATCATTAATCACTTCATTTCGACCTTACTTTCAGGTTTGTGAATTATTACAGGTTGACTATGTCCCATATTTCCATGATAGTCTCAGTATATCCCCAGAATATGTCCCAACATCCCAATAAATCAATGGGAATTTCAGGATCCTAAAATGGAGGTACTGTACCATATAGGGCCATATTTTGCTGGGATATTCCCTTGCATAGGCCTTACATAGGCCTTATATATCCTTATATATGGTAGGTACCTGCAATTTAGGTTCCTGAAATGGCCATTGAATAAAGAGATCCTATAATATCTCAGTATATCTGTATATTGGGATATTCTGGTTGCTGGTTTCCAACATTTTTTATTTTCCATAATATATGGGATAATCCTTCCCATTGACTAATATTTTCCAAGATGGTTAAAACCACCAACCCGTTCCTCTTAAAGATCCCAATCTCCCAGCTAGACATCAACCGGTTTTGTCGCGGCGGTTTACGCTGCCAGGACTACCATCAACAATACCTGGCGAAGCCCAGGGCTCGTCCCTATTGTGCTTGGGAGAAAAACTCAGGTTAGTGGTGGCGGTGGCAAACTTAAACGTTTTTTTTTTTTTTAATGGTGATTTAACCAAGAAAAATGGTGATTGAATATGATTTAGTAACTTAATGAGATCTATAGCGGATTTATGATAGCTAAGGGGTGAAAACTATCCTTAAACATTGGGTTTAAGCCAATAGCTTTAGGACTTTGACCTAATTGATGGTTGATGCTTGGAGGATAGTTTTAGAATAACCGGGATAATCCTCCATGGTGCTGGAATATGCACACCAACACTCCCGAACAAAATCACCCAGTCATGCAGGTGTGCAATACCAGCACCATGGTTCGCATATGGGTATTTTTTTGAAACAGGTACTGTTTGACATCAAAGCGACTGGATGGGACCTTCATTACCAGTTCGTTGTCTACCATCAACGTGATGATATGGTCCAGGCAAGGGAATAGCTACAGGATGGTGCCACCCAGTGATGGAACGTTGGTTTATAAACCCCATTAACTATAGTTATATCCGCCATAAACCATTAATAGATATAATAGAATTTTAAAATAGTTATATCCCCATTTATAAACTCCATTAACTACAGAATATTATAGATATAACCCCCTAATCAACCATAGTTATAGGAGTTATTTGCACCAACTGAACGCTAACGAACTGGGGCACCACCGCACGTAGAAACAACTCTTTTGGGACGAAGGGTTTGCTCAACAGCAGTTGTAACATGTTCTCTGTGATCAGTAAGTCACCTCATTTATGGAATGATCACATCATTTATAACATTTTATAACCATAACATAGCTGGTTTCCACGGCTTTTAAATCTGTGCTTGACTGGGTGATCTCTATGGAAGAAATGGAGCTGGACCCAGGAAGAGTTGCTGGTGGTCTGTTGACGTTCAAATGAACAAAATATATACCCTCATAGCTTTTGAGAACTATATACCCTAGTAAAAAAGCTAGATACCATTTCGATATTTATTTTGTAAAAAAAAAATGGTAAACTAACAGTTTGCTATTGAAAATGCCGATGTAGTTCGTTGATTTACTTTTAATGGTGATGTTCCAGTTCGCTATGTTAGTTTACCAAAGGGTAACGGACAGAACCTTGGTGAAAGGACGGCCTTTTTTTGTTAGCCACAATTTGTGCGGGTTCTTTGCCCAGTTCAGCCTGTTTTGTGTTGTGTTTTTCCTTGCGGGGCTAACCATTTGCGGCCCACGGTTTGAGCGGGAAACAACCTCTTTGCGGTTGAAACAGTTCGAAAACATTATTGGGTTATTAATGATATTAATATGGCTATTAATCCAGTAATATAGCTATTGATATATGGGTATTAATCCTCTAATCCCTCTTTGGGTTTCCAAAATCAATGAGCCGACTGTGGCTCACAAAGATGGGCTCGAGCCCGAGATGTTGCAAAAAACAGACCACTCAAGGATTTGATAAACCCTAAAACTGATTTCTTATTATGATATATATATATATATATGTATATATTATATATATAGATATACGTATCTATGATTATGTTTCGCGATTGCTTAGAACCGCAATTACGAAGTGGATTAATTCTACTTGCCCTGGTATTTTTTTCGCCACCGGTTCGTTGGATGAACCACGAGTGGTATCAAGCATTCACTTTCTTTGGTTATCCATTGAAGTTGGTGAAGAAAAATCAATGTTCTCAGGTTCAATCAATTATATATATATATATAATTGGTCGGGGGTTAAACATTTTTTTATGTTCCATAATATATGGGATAATCCTTCCCATTGACTAATATTTTTCAAGATGATTACAACCACCAAGCAGATATATATATATATATGGGTAAATTATAACGACCTCACTGGTCTCCCTCGCTGGAATCATGGTTAATAAGAGGAATCATCCCCACATGGCCCAACAATTCAGGTTAGTGAACTATTATTATTATATATATATTATGTGTGTTGAATCCATTACACAAGGTTTTACCCATGTGCTGTTCATCACCAATGGTTGGTTCAATCCATTATCTATTTGTTGGTCTCTGAAAGGGCGCTCTCGCTTTCAGGTTCGGCGCAGCCACAAGTGGTGCCTTGGGCGTGGGAAGGGGAGAGCCCCTAAAGCAGTGTGGGAAAGCCATTTCGATAGCGTTCAGTTGGTGCAAGGAATTCCAATTTCACTATGGTTTATGGATGGTAATAACTATAGTTACTGTGGTGAAACTAAATCCTCTTGTAACTGGGGGGGCAAATTGTAGTAACCATAAATGCTGGTCACCAAAAGAAAAAGCAAATCATCCCCAAAATAATTATCAATGGTTGGTAAAAACCGTCCCCAACTAATCACTTTTGTGGGTAATGCACATATATAATTATATATATATATACCCTCTGGTAATTTAACATAGCTATGGAAAATCACCATTTTTAATGGGAAAATCCACTATAAATGGCCATTTTCAATAGCTATGTTAAATTACCAGAGGGTATGACTTACTATACCCCATATGTTCCATGTATGGTATATTTACCTACATTTGGGTGATTTTTAGGGTACATGTTGGTAAAGATTCCATACATGGAGCATTTGGGTACTACTATCATAGTATGTTTTGACCATCTATCTTCACTTGTAGTTTGCTTATCATCTATAACCTACTATACCATAGTATGATATACCGATATACCTAGATATACCCATACAATGATTGGAAGTACCTCGTTGGTGGTCGTCCACTTATCGGGTGTATGAAATATCACCCGAAAAGCTACCTACGGAAGCCTGTGGTGAAACCGGGTGGTATTGTTAAAAGTTGGATCCAGCTTCGACCCCTACCCGGATTTGTCTGGAAAACAGCGGTATGGCGTTGCAATGATTGATTATGTCATGTTCTTTGTGGATATCATGATTGCATCAGTTGTGTTATCTATAATTCTACACTCGTAGATAGGAGTTGCATATATCCCAACTAATGTAGGTTACCATCGTGGTTAGGCCCATTTAAACCCCATCTGCACCCCAAGTGTAACACTCTCAAGCGACACCCAACTTGGGTGTGTTTGACCTCGGACGTGGTTTTTCTTTAAGTCTCTGGTAAACATACAAAAAACTATGGAAAATCACCATGTTTCATGGGAAAATCCACTATAAATAGCCATTTTCAATAGCTATTTGTTAGATTACCAGAGGGTAAGTCTCTGGTAGTTTAAGATAGCTATGGTAGCTATGGATGAACGTGGTCCACTTTGCAAACTGTCAGTCAGCACCAGAGGGTATATATCCCACTAATATCCCATAGGGTAGAAAACTTCGGAGTTTTGAAAGTAGGACCTAAGGGCATACGGGATCATCCGGATCATCCTTTTTCAGCATGGTTCCCCGATACTCATGGAGCACCAAGGACCAAGGGTTTTGGTGATAGCCAAATCCAGCCCAAATGATCTACATAAGTACAGATACATAGTAATTATATATGATATATATATATACATATAAATATATACTATTATATATATATATATACATCATATCCCATCAAACCACAAGTTAACCCAGTTGTTATCCGCGTTTTCGACGAAAGCGTTTCAGTTTCGACGGCCACAGGTTGCTCTGCCGGACTTCGAATCCTGGTGTCCTGAGGACTTGCAGGAGCCTGGGACCATCTGGGACCATAGGGACACCAGGATTTCTAATGGGAAAAACATAGGAAAAACATGGAAAACATCGGAAAAATCTCGGAAAACATGGGAAAGTGCTGGGATTTGGAGGAATTCCCTGGTAAACATACAAAAGACTATGGAAAATCACCATTAAAGTAAGTAAAGCAACTATTTCTATGGGCCATGTTCAATAGCGAACTGTTACTCGTTGGTGCTTTGGAACATGAATTTTATTTTTCCATATATTGGGAATGTCATCATCCCAACTGACGAAGTCATATTTTTCAGAGGGGTAGGCTCAACCACCAAGCATGTTATATAAATTACCAGAGGGTAGCTGGTCAATGGCTGTCTACTCATCGATGGTAATGCTAGGTTTTGACCCCATCGCTATGCTGATCACCTCCATAAGTGATATGATCATCAATCCCTACGTTTTGATCATGGCTCACCCAAAATTAACTGGGATTTGTGGTGAAAAACATTGGTTTTGACATCCATCCCTGTCAAGATGTGGCAAGCGGCTTGCAGGAAGATTGTGGGGGATTGGGCGCCACTGGATAAGGAGACATGAATGAAAAACATTGTGAAAACACAATAGCGGAGATCGAAAACACGACCAACTGGTGTCTAAACAAGGTTAGGATGGAACTTGGAACACATAGAAATTATGGGTATCACAAACAGATGATGGCTTGAATGGGAATCTCCTTGGCCCAGACATGTTGACGGGACTTTGACATGTAGCCATGAGACTAGTGCAGTGTCTTTTCCGCGAGAAAGACAGGGACTAACAATATTGACAATAGTAGAGTACAAATCATATATGTTCAAACATGGGAACCCAAGCATGGCCATCAGGGTGGCCAATTGTGCTAAATAATGGGATGCTGGAGGATTCCCAATTTTGAGACGAACATTGATTAGATATCCGAAATGCTCCATGTATAGAATATGTACCAACATTTACCCTAAAAATCACCCAAATGTAGGTAAATATGCCGTACATGGAGCATTTGGGTATTATATTGCAATGAAACCGGCGCCTCATGGCCCCATTTTTTAGTCCCGGCAAAGTTGATCTGTGGTTCCCAAGAAAAACAGACACAAATTCCAGGCAAGGCGAAACAGCAGGTGAGTTGTTGAGTGTAAATGTGGATGTTTGGCCAGAACAGGTTCAATGACTAAGGATTCTTGTAGGTCAACGTGTTGGATTTTGCTGATAAACATGGACTCAGCCAGCTAAAACAATCTTGTTTGTATGCTATCTACATGTATCTACGGATCTCATGGTGTCCAAATATTGAGTACCCCAAAAATTCAATGCTTTATCATCATCTTCTCCAAACGAACATGCAAAACCTCGACGATATGCCACATTGGGGCCCTCAGGAGAAGTACAAGCCGAAATTGACCGAGGAGCCGCATGGTTGCGTCTTATCAGTTCCCATGATTCATGAAAAGAATCATGAACAATGTCAACATGCTGATACATTAAACAACATTAAACATCATTAGACAGCATTAAACACCATCAAACACCATTAAACACCATTGAACATTATCAAACATCATTAAACATCATTAAACATCATTAAGCATCATAAAACATCATTAAACATTATCAAACAACATTAAACACCATTAAACATAATTAAAAACAATTAAACACCAGCAAACATTATTAAACATAATTAAACAACATTAAGCATCATTCAACAACTCTAAACAACATTAAACACGATCAAAGAACATTAATCATCATTAAACAATATGAGACATCGTTAAACATCATTAACCAATATGAATATGAGACATCATTAAGCATCATTAAACATCATTAAACATTATTAAACAATATTAAACGCCATTAAACATCATTAAACATCATTAAACAACATTAAACACTATTAAACATCATTAAACAACATTAAACATCATTCAACAACTCTAAACAACATTAAACACGATCAAACAACATTAATCATCATTAAACAATATGAGACATCATTAAACATCATTAAACATCAATAAACATCACTAAACATCAGCACACATTATTAAGCATCATTAAGCAACATTAATCATTAAACATCATCCAGCATCATTAAACAACATTAAGCATCATCAAACATCATTAAGCATCATGATTGTTCATGTTGGTGCTATGCCCACCTCAAAAAAAATGCCCGTATTTGCCAAAAACCCGGCAGAACATGTAGCAACATGTAGCACATATGAATTGCTATCGTTGATTCATGATGATTAATGTTGAATGGAATTTGTTGATTAACCACTCCAATACACACATAAGTATGTTATCATTGAATTATACTGACCTCACGTGACGTCAATGGAGTGATGGGAATTGTAAGGGGAATCATCCCCATAGCTGGCTGTATCACAACACCTATTTTCAGGCTGGTGAATTATTCCAATGCAGCCATGCAGCAATCATTACAGATGCGTGAGCATTGGCCTTTGCCAGGATGACCGGAAACTTTCATCAACAATGACTCTTCCATTGAACTGTTATGATGCAGTAGAGAAGTGCCTGAATATGTAAGTACACAAATACTTCGCAGCCACCATTGCGTATTTTCATGTACCCAAAATGATCTACCGTGCTTGCTCAGGTCATATTTTGGGGATTCTTGGGTGATTTTCCTTCAAGTTAAGGCTTTGTATAGACCGTACAGAGATTGGGTACCTCCAAAGCGGTTCACTCACCGATGCTGTTGCTCCTTGTCTGCCCGCGAGTGGGGCTGAAAATCATCTATCAAATTTCGGAGATACTCAAACATATCTTCGCAATTATTTGATCAATAGATACCAATAGCCAATTTCACTCAGTTTGAGACAGTTGGCCAGTGGGTTTTTGTGTTTTTTTCCGCCTCCAGGAGTTTTGGCAACAACATGGTCCCACGCCCCATTGCGTGATCATGGCGCCGAACGAACCCATCCTGTTCCCGTGAGGCCGTTGAATCAAGAGGTTCTCAGATATTGCAGAGACTGTAAACGTTGTGAAAAACGATTATATAATATTATATATATAATATAATATACATGCGTGAAAAAATAATCAACAAAAACGATGGTCAATCAACTATCATGCATATGTTGATATGTATATGTATGTATGTATATATATATATTTATGGTGATATTACTGGCATATAAGTTTAACCACAAGTATGATACTTGCGTGTGTTTGAACATGGGGAATACCTCAGTATGTGCCGTTTTGTTAGCGAGCATGATGATAAACGAATTTTGAGGTACCCCCTATTTTCAGAAAAGCCCGCATTAGTCTACCTATATCTACCTACCACATACTGGTAAGTTCATACAAATCAAATTTATGTGTGTGTTCCTTTGATGTGATATTTGTTTTACTGATTGAGGGGAAATGAACCACTTACTTGACTCTCACCGTGGTACATCCCAGTACAAAATTGACAACATTCGAGGATGTCCACATCTCCTCCATGTTGGACTCTCTCCAAAAACTATTCACAGTGAATGCGTGAGCACAACCAAGACTTGGAGCAAACACCGCTCTGACTACCATGTTCGACAAGTAGTTTGGCAGATAAGACACATGTTAGCATTTGTTGTTTTTGATGCAAATAACATATTGGCTGACTTGCAACACACCTTAGGCGGAGCTCCTTGTTTCAAGAATCATTTGTAGTGGACAAGCAAGAGAGCTTGTCAAGCAGATGTTAGATACTGTATTGGAATTGCAACAAATAGATGATATACACACCAATTGCACGGATACCAATAAACATAGGTATTAGATATATTTATATATATATGTATATACGTATATTCGAAGGAAGTTTAGAAGTCAAACTTCCGACAATATGGAGAGATGAAAAGCAGAGCAGGGAAGAGGCAGAGAGAAGAGAAAGATTAGAAGAAAGAAGAGTAGAAGAGAAAGAGTAAGTAGAAAGAAGATGCAGATGCGAGAAAAGGTAGGAAAGTCGCGAAACACTGTGTTTTCCAATGATTTGGGGCTCCGGAAGGTCGAAAAGTAGGCTCGCTAAAGCGGCGGGTGCGGAGCCAGCTGGCCAGATGAGAGATGAAAAATTGCACGCCGTTGTGGCGCGAAGCACATTTCCAAGTCAAAATGTAAAAAACACACCATTGTCGGACCACTTTTGGAAGTTGCTTGTCGAAAAAGTGGGCGCCGTTGTGGCGCAAAGCACATTTCCAAGTGAAAATGTACAAAACACTAGGGGTTCGGACCACTTTTGGAGGTTCAGATGTCGCTTCGCCGCTTCGCGTCACTACACTACACTACGTTACATTACACCACACTCCACTATACTACACTACATTACACTACACTACACTCCACAGCACTACAACTACAACAACACAACTAGACTACACTCCACTACACTCCACTACATTAAATTTCACTACGCTACATTACACTACACTACGCTCCACTACACTACACTACATTAAATTACTCCACTACACTACATTACACTACACTACGCTCCACAAAACTACAACTGCAACTACACAACTAGACGCCACTACACTCCACTACACTAAATCAATACACTACATTACACTACACTACACTCCACTACACTACACTACACTCCACTACACTACACTACACTACATTACACTACACTACCTTCCACTACACTTCACTACATTACACTACACTACACTACAACTACAACTA